ATTCGGATCACGACACGAACTCCTCCGCCACTCAGATAACCGGTCTGAGCCGTAAGGTGCGCCCTTCACCGCACTGACCCTGCTCAAACGTCAAGCCTCCTCACATTTCCACCTTCCGGCTCTCACCCAGTTGGCACATGCAAGTGGCTGACCTCCCCTCGAAACCCCTTCCGTACCATCCTCAAACACTCAACTCGGCCCCGACCCTGTGGCGGTATTGACTCGAGTGGCGCTTTCAGTAGCTGCGTTGGGTTCGAACTCGGGACAATTCGGATCACAACACAAACTCCTCCGCCACTCAGATAACCGGTCTGAGCCGTAAGGTGTGCCCTTCACCGCACTGACCCTGCTCAAACGTCAGGCCTCCTCACATTTGCACCTTCTGGCTCTCACCCAGTTGGCACATGCAAGTGGCTGACCTGCCCTCGAAACCTCTTCCGTACAATCCTCAAACACTCAACTCGGCCCCGACCCTGTAGCGGTATTGACTCGAGTGGCGCTTTCAGTAGCTGCGTTGGGTTCGAACTCGGGACAATTCGGATCACGACACGAACTCCTCCGCCACTCAGATAACCGGTCTGAGCCGTAAGGTGTGCCCTTCACCGCACTGACCCTGCTCAAACGTCAGGCCTCCTCACATTTGGGTCATGGGAGGAAGAAGAAACCAGACAAGAGAAGGCGTTGACGGTGACGGCAGATGCGTGCAGAGCTTCGTGGGGCCTCGAGGAATCGGTCTCATCCATAGCTTTTGCACGACGATGGATGGCAACGCCACTCAGGTGAGAGAACGAGCCCTCACGTGAATCATCATGGCATCATATCATGAGTCATCGGGTGTGCTGTCTGGGTGTGATTGTGTGATTCGCTTTGGAGCAGATGAGTGAAATGGCGACGAGGGATCAGATGCTCAAGCAGATTCAGGCCTATCAGACCAATCAGACGAGGGTAGGTAATCGGCACACATCACTCTCATTCAGTGCATCCGTCGCTCATCGGTTGCTTCGTGTTCTTTGTGTGTGCTGTGGTGTGCAGGTCAACAATGGCATCGGCCGACTCACTCAGATGGACACCGCTGCGATCACACCACTGGTGCGGCGAGACTGCCACACACAATGACAGCACAACGGCCTCTGTGTCATGGTCTCTCGTGTGATTCATCAGGTGGTGGCCAAGGTCAGTCGTCAACTCGCCAACGGCTGGCGGACGACATCGACTCAACCATCGCACTCACAACACACACCCGCACTCATTCGGACGAGTGGATGGAGATCGAAAAGGCATTCGACTGGGGCAAGCCGAAGAATAAGAAGGCGGCCAATCCTCAGGAGGGCCAGTGAGTGGCTGAGTGAGTGAGTGAGGTGGGCGCGGGGGACGGACAGTGACGGTACGGTGTAGATACATACCATAGATATATATCGCTGATGGGGTGGGCTGATGGGTGGGATCAGGAAGACGACAGCATTCCTTATGGATGTGTGAGTGAGTGGATGAATGAATGGATGGACGGACGGACGGCTGGTTGTGGTGTGTGTTGTGCTGACATGTATGTATGTATGTATGTATGTGGGTGTGCCTGACGCGATGGAGTGCGGTGGTGTGGCTGGCTGCATCGAAATTTCATTGGATGACTGAATGTGCTATGCATCAGTACATGCAGGCAGTAGTCAGACACGTCACTCACGCACTGGTATCAGCGTGGCCGTAATCCATCCGTCCATCGACGCATGGACCCACACACTCCAGCCAGCCACCAAACCTAAATCAGCTTGTCTACTGCAAGCGTCCAGGAGAGAAAACGGCACGCGCACGATACACAGGCGACCACAAAAATGCTGCACGTGGCACGGTTTATATAGGCAAACACTATGTATTATAGACGCATACTAAGCACACAAAAAGGCAAACGGCCGAAAAAGAGGCGGATGCATGAAGGCATGAACGTGTCCGAGCGCCGCGCCCGCCCCCGCCTCACGCGCACACACCTCACGCGTGAGCCCGAGCGGAAGTCGTGATATTGGCATTCTTGTGCTTGAGCTCTATGTCCTCGGGGAGGATCTCGTCAGCAACACCCGCCCGGAGGCGACGGTTCGGGCACGAGAAGTTCACGTACACGTTGCCGTCCGGTCCGATGCGGCTGTTCGTTGGTGTCATGCTGAGAGAGCGGCCCTTACACATTGTGCTCAGGCTGCTGCCCGACCATAGCTTCCCGTCACTGAAGGTCTCCGCGAAGTGGTACATCGACGTGCTATCGGTCTGGATGCGGCTGCCGCTGGTTGCGAGGAAATCCCCTGTGTGCGGCTCGACTGACCACCAGCATTCGGTGACCCACCCGCGGCTCGAATCTCGGTAGTGGAGGGCGACATCAATCCCCTCATAGCACGAATTGGAAACGTAGATGTTCCTCCCCTGCTCACAGACAGACGACAGACAGACAGAGCAACACAATAAGAATCCAAGGATGACCACTTGTTGGCGTCCTTTGTGTATTCAGTCACACCGCATTGCACACAGCAGCGGCCAGCAGGACGGCGACAGCAAGGCGCAGGATGGGCTTCGTCATTGGGGAGAAGCTTGAGAGGAGTCGTTCCGCTGCCGAAGAGAACGTGAGGGACTGATGGCAGAACAGATGCCGATGAGCCGGGAAGGGATCTGAGGCCAAGACAGAGACACCACCCATGGGACACCACGACAGAGAGAAGAGAACGGTGGAAGGACAGCAGAGAGATCTATCGCACGGGCGGTGCGAGGATGTCATCTGATTCGTTCGATCTGCTCTTTCTTGGCGTGAGAGTTTTGAGCAAACTATGCCGGGATCTGACGGGAAATCTCTGCGCCATATACGGCTTTTGGGGTTTGGGTTTGGGAGAGCGGTTTCACGCAATGTCCTAAGTGGCCGGGGTTCTCCTCATGGATTCGTTCAGCGGTGACGGCCCTGGCGATATCGATGGCGAGAAGGAGTACCCCTATGACGGGTATGACGAGTTCGGCTACGACGGGCCGCAGGGCATTGATGACGACCTGGCGTCGGTGGCGTCGGTGGATGTAGATGATGACCTGGGCGACGAGCCCAACCCTCAGGACGCGCAGAAGAGCGGCCGACACTACTTCGGTACTGAAGTGGGTGAGTGAGCGGGATGGATGCGGGAGATGACAGACAGACACTTTTGGAGCGGCATGTGCATGTGTGTGGCAGCTGCTGAGCCGTACATCTCTTCGGATGAGTGGATGGAGATCGAAAAGGCATTCGACTGGGGCAAGCCGAAGAACAAGAAGGCGGCCAATCCTCAGGAGGGCATGTGAGTGACTGAGTGAGTGAGGTGGGCGAGGGGGACGGACAGTGACGGTACGGTGTAGATACATACCATAGATATATATCGCTGATGAATGGATGGGTGGACGGGCGGCTCTGTTGTGTGTGTGCTGCTGACGCGATGGAGTGCGGTGGTATGGCTGGCTGCGTCGAATTCAGTTTGATCAATGAATGCGCTGTGCATCAGCACACGCATGAATCAGTCAGTCAAACACGTCATTGAACGTTGGTTGCACCCTTGATCCATCCGTCCATCGATGCACCCACACACTCCAGCCAGCCAGCCACCAAACCTAAATTGTCTTGTCACTGTGAGTGAGCTTACATGAAACGAACACACACACACACACACACACGACAGTGATATCACGCGACACGGTTTATATACCCCAACATATGTATCACACACACACACACACAGAGAGTGTGTGTGGGTTGCCATTGGACACTATCGGCCTTCGTTCCTACAAGCAGACAAATACCTAACACACACAACAGTGCGGCAACCTGCTGCTGCTCATGTTTATATACCACCTATAGATACATCGACAGCACAGACATACACACGACCTGCCTCCATATGCACAACAAACAAACAAACACGCCACACAAACGACCCTCCATCCATCCATCCATCCACTCATCTGGGCTGGTAGCACCACGGCACGCCCTGCCTGTCCGTCTCCCCATAGCAGCACCCCCTACTGTGACACCCATCCTCACCCAGACCAGCATAACCGCACTCACGCCGGTTCTCCGCCACATCACCGTCACACGTCCACTGCGCGTGGTAGCACACAGGCGCCCCGCCCTGCTCACTCCAGCAGCAGCCCCGCGACCTGCACACCGCCTCCCAGTCCCCCGGCACGCCACAGGGGGCGGCGATGGACTTGTCTGTGGTGCATGTGAGTGAGTATCCCTCTGCTTGGGGCTGGTCGGTTGCGGCCCTTGGGTGGAAGCACCATGGTGGGGAGTCGGGGGACGTCATTGTGTCGGAGGGGCGGTAGCAGCAGCCGCGGTTGTGGCATTCCTGTGCTTTGATGAATGGGTGGTCTGCGGCACAGTCCCGCCTGGTTTGGTCGTCGAGTGCACACAGGGCGCCCTGCGACTCACACCAGGGCGATGACACGATCGCAGAGGGGGTCATCGGATTGCCTGAACACACACACACATTTTGTGTGTGTGTGTGTCTCGGTTGGGGCTGTCTGCTGGCTGGGTGGGTGGCTGACCCTCATTGTCTACGGGGACGACTTGGTAGTGTATACACTGGTCGATGGGCGTCCACTGCTCGAATATATCTCGGGCCTTGTTGAAGTCGATCCACTGTTCATACCGCCACTTGGCCACCTCCCATATCAACTACACACACACGAGCCCCACAGAGAGAGAGAGAGAGAGAGACGCATCACCAATTGGCCGGCAATGCGTGTTTTTCTCACCTGGTCGGGAGCCTCTGGGTCAGTGCCAGCATAGACCTTCCACCGCCTCACCTGTGTCGCCCCGTTCCACGAGTACCTCAGCTTCACGTTGTCGCCACCAGACACATCCAGCAGCAGGGTGGGGGCCGTCCTCGGCCGCCCCGCCCACTCGCCCTTGAAGGCCCGATAAGAGGTCCAGGGCTGGAGGAACTGGAGCTCGACGACTGTGGTGCCGCTGGCACCGTCCAGCTCGGTGTAGAAGGGGTTGCGCTGAGGCTCCACGCCCGCCCAGCCCACCACCGTGTTGCCGTTCGACAGCGTCTGGTGGCTGCCCATTGCGAGGCCGTAGACGTCCTCGGGCTGGTGTCTGTGCTCCCAAATGAGTGTGGCAGTCCTGCTGTGTTCGTCGAGCTGGTAGGCCACCGCGCGGCTCCGCTCCGGCGACTTGCGGTTGCCGTTGTCATAGAGCGTCACGATGGCTGACATGAACCACATCATGACGCTCACAGACACAAATACGGTCGTGCCGTGGTGCTTACGTGGGTCGATTTGTGTCATCTTGGCGTCGTGTTGGTAGGTGAATCCCCGATCTGTGTCGTTGACAAACGAAAAGTCGCTCGACGCCCCGCCGAGACGCCACAATATCTCGCCTGAACGCGCGCACGAGTGTGTCCAAATGGCGTTCTGCCTTTCTACCTGCGGACCCACCGGTGTCTCTGTCGATCTTGATGACCTGGTCCAAGTGGCGAAGTGACACAAGGATGTGGTTGTCGGGGGTCCAATCCACTGAAGGCAACACATTCACGCACGGTGTATGTCAAGGGGGCTTTCCGTGCCTGCGTGTCCCTCTGTGCTGACCGCTGTTAGGGTGCAGGTGGTCGACGTTGTTGCTGAAGAGTTCCTTGGGGTCTTGCCGCGACTCCAGATACTGCCGGCCGATGGGCAGGTCGTTCCAGCTCGTCCACTCAAACAACACGGCACCGTCCTCATCCAACTCTGACACACACACGGAGGTCATCCAGTGTTCCCACAGAGGCCATCCATGCCGCCGGTTTTGCTCACCCTGGATGGCGAAGTCCAGCACTTGTGCCTTGTGCGAGCCGCCATCGAGGACGGCTGAGAGGTCGAGCCCCGAGCGGAATCGGTTTGCAAGTAGGAGGGCGTGGCCGTTGTCGCCGATGACGAAGCAGTGGCCGTTGGAGCGGTAGGTGTGCTTGGGTTCGATGAAGCCCACCTCCTCGTACGAGTCGTTGACAATATGCCACCCCTGGGCATACGCATGTGTGTGTGGGTGGATGCACGTGTGTCTGGGTGCTGTGCATGATTGCCCACCCACTTGTTTGTGGCTGTCGTGCCATGACAGCACCCCTGTCGGGTGTTTCTTGAAGTCCCTGACAGACCAGCCCCTCCAGTTCTCGTTCCTCTCATCCAGACGCTGCCACCACACCGGCTCGCCGCTCGTCTCTGACATACAAGACAAGACAACACGCCGCAGCCCATGCTGCACACACGCAATCCCGCCCTCTCATCTCTCCCTCACCCAGTATGAGCAGGAAGTTGTTGAACTGTCTGTCAGGATGCCCGATGGTGGCCACAAATATGTACCCCCCGGCGGCATTGCTCAAGTTCCCCACCACCGTCCTGGCGATGGGCGGGAAGTCCTCAGGCAGCGTCTTGTACATGTCGGTCCTCACCCACGTCCTCGCGTCTCCCAGCTCCTGCGGTAGGCCCCCCTCCACCTCACCCCACCACTGGGCTGCCACGCTTGCCCTCAGGCCGGTGGCGCCCTCTATGCTGTCGTCATTTGCCATCCAGGTCTCCACGTATTCGTCCAGAATGTCATCGCCATCCATCAGCGGTGGGCCGTCGGTCGTGTCGTCGTCATAGATCTGCAGGGTGTCGGCCTGCAGTTTCTGGAGTGTGCTACCGGCGGTGGCTGTTGGCCTGTCAGGGACGATGCTGCCCCAGCCGGCCTCAAAGGCTGTCGAGTGGGCAACCGGTGCGCCTTGTGCAGTGGCTTCAGGAAGCCTTGGCACGTCGAAGAATGTGGCGGTGGGCTCGTCTTGATTCAGAATGGATATGCTTTCAGACAGGGAGGCGTCGTTGCTCTGTGTGAAGAGGACCTCGTCGCTCCGCAGCAGCGTGTCGCCCGGCCGCATTCCCGTCCTGAATGACCAGCTGTAGCCTCCCAGCTCATCGAGCCCTCCGGTGGTCTCGTTCCTCACCCAAATACCCGGCAAGACATCCACAGTGACCATCTCGCTGTCATGGAAGGCCTGGTGCGGCAGGAAGAGCACCGTCCTGTCGTCCTTGGCCACCCTCACCACCCCGCCCCTGTTGCCCGACCTCGCTCCCGTCACCACGAACTTGCCGCCGACTGATGAAGGGTCGACCTCCCCGCCACCTCCACGCACGCCGATGGTGATGTAGCCGGGGAGATCCGTGTGGCCTGGTCGGGGATAGACATAGCGGAACGGGCCAAAAGCCGGCGGCTCGTCATACGATGACCAGCTGAGAGAGTGGGTGGGGGAGGGCGCGTCCAGAGCGGCGAGGGAAGGGATGTCGAGGAGGGCGAAGAAGAAGCCTGCGACAGGTAGTCCCAGAAGGGACCTCTTCGACGATGCCAGCAAGAAAAGAGCCCAGAAGCTCTTGGGTGGCGTGTTCTCAGCCAGAGCTTTTATGCTCGCTGAGACCCACAAGAAGCACAGAACCGACCACAGAACACACGTCCTTTCCAGGTTCATCTTTGTGGCAGTGGGGAGAATTATAGGACAGCGAGATTTTTATTTTGGAGCTCAACTTGCAGATCCTTCCAGCTCGCACTCGAGATCAGACGCTCTGGTCGCTTTCCGTGACGTTAACGCACGGAAAGGAGAGAAGGCCATCTGATCTCACCTTTGCCCTTTGCTGTCTTTCTGCTTCGCGCACTCATGACGATCGCCGCCAAGCGTCAGATCTCCATCGAGTTCGTCATCCACTGTGCCGCATCCCGTGCGGAGCTGCTCCTGGAGCTGTTGGCTGTGCTTCACACGCCATTTGGACACAGACAGGTCGAGCGACCGACACACACGAACGCACTGGGGCGGATATCTATCATCATGTCATGATGTGTGTTCGGCTTTGTGCAGCTGTCGCGTCTGTCACTTTATCGTACGAGCCGAGGATGGGTCAGCGACATTCCCATTCTCGCCAAGTGGCCGGCCAACCGCCTGGCGTGACCGTCATATTCCGGGTGCTGTGGCTTGAGCACAGGATGCCCAACCAAACAAGTAGGGCAACACACACACACACTCATGACTCCGTCCACTGTGTGTGTGTGTGTGTGTTTGGTTGGTTGGCCAGTCGGGGTGATGGGTGACTGTCATGCGCTTGGCTACTGGAACCGTGTGCTGGCTCTGGAGAAGAAGCCCTGCGGCGAGTGGGCGGCGTCCGTGGAAATGCCCCCGGGGACATTCCAGTACAAGTACATCTCCATGGTATAGATGCAGCACACACAGGTCTACCGCGGTGTGTGCAGGTACGTGGTGATAGACCGGCATGGGCGCATTGTGTTGGACCACCGCGGCCGGGTGACGCGGCAGCTGACTGTGCCTGAGGGAGGGGGCGTGCTGATCACTGACGACACGCTTGGGTACATCACGGCGGCTCCACCCACACACCTCAAGGTCGGTCAGCAAGCCAGATGGATGGATGGGAGGGAACTGTGGGCTGGTTGGCTGGTGTAGTGTGTGTCAGATGTACCATCGAGGGCACACGTGCTGAATTGACTGAGCTGGTCGAGGTCAGTTTTTATGCAGCATCTCCTTTTTTGCTCCCCATGCCTGTGAGTGATGTGTGGGAGCAGACGACGGGTCCGCCGTTACTAATTGGGTGGACAGTTGGTCCAACCGACGCCACGCCCTCTCATGTGTGTGTGTTGCCACACTGGCCTGTGAAAGGGTGAAAGGTGACGCCGTCTTTTTGCTCTGGGCGTATGTGCGCCGATTTTTTCGTTTTTAGTAAGAGACGACTGGCGGGCTCAAAGTAGCGGAGCGATTTCTTTGCAGAGTGAGTCAGAGTTGGGTCGGCTCTTTGGGGCGGGGATATGCCTTTTTGTGGTGGAGGGCGCACTTGCTTCAGAGAGGATGGCGATTTCGTGTAGCAGCCTTTTTGCAGTTTAGTGCTTTATTGATATGGCACACAGACAGGTAGGTACGTCAGCCAGGCACACAGACGGATGCCTTCACGGACAGATGAGCAGACCAACATGTACATGCTGCCGTCAAGTCAGTTTCAACGGCACTGTTGCTCGCGTCAGCTTCAACCCCAACAGCGCCTCTCAACAAACATACACACACAGACGCTGCACGTCCACACGAGGGGGTCAGTCAGTTGACGAGTATCTTCTTTTTGCTCTGTATGAGCTGGAAGATGCGCGTAGCCAGCGACTCACGGTCAGGATTCTTGTCCTGCACACACACACATAGTCGCCTCCACACCCATTCCCATCACAGCACGTGCATCTGTTGTATACCGACCGGGTGCCACTCGAAGAGCATCGTGCGCAGATGTCTCCTGCGCTCCTCAATCGGCAGACACAACAACTCAGCCTGCAGGACACAGACGTGAAGCTATCACTGACTCGCACAATCTCATTTGGTTGGTGAATGAATGTGTCAACTCGACTTCACCAGTCGCTGCCGGATTTGGCATTCCGTGATCATTTCGTCCTGCATGCACCCCGCCCGACACACATGTGTCTCACTCGTACCTGCCTGCTCATGTGCCCACTCACCTGCACCCTCACATGCTCTTCACTCCTTCGATCGGGGGCCTCTCGCCGCGACGATGCCCTAAACGAGTGAACCGTCCCTGGCCGATACCCACCCTGAAGACCAGTGGCAGCACTGGCAGCACTGGCAGCAGCAGCACCTCCCTGCCGCCCGCTGAAAGCCGACCTGGACCTCACAAACCACCTCGTCATCCTGGCCCCGCCACAGTGCATGTGCACATGGCCGTGGCGGTGGCCGCCCCACGATGCAGCATACGACATGTGCTCAGCCGTCCAGTGCACCGGCGCTCGCCTCACAAATGACGACGAGTGGCGGGGTGGTGGTGGGGGTGGCGGGAAAGTGGGAAAGGGCTTCTTAGGGGACAGAGAAGGGCCTGACGGCCGACCGTGGGAGGGGGAGGGGAGCCTGGCTGAGAAGCGGGCAGATGCCGCGGCAGTGCTGTAGCATGAGGGCGTGAATGAGAGCCGCGTGCTGGACGAGAGGACTCGCCTTCCTGTGAAGGGCGGGGACCGGTCGTCTGTCTGCCGAGATGGAGACGATGTCGGCTTTGGGCCGCTCTCGCGCTGCGGCGTGGTCCACGCGGCCTTCTCATGTCTCTCTGTCACGGCCGGATTGTCAGCTGCTTCCGGGGGCGGCGCATTCGCTGGCTCTTCGCATACGGGAGTTTTTTTTGCCCCCATTGCCGCGTCGGCTGATTGGTCATTGTTGATCTTGTTGGTGTTGTTGTTGCTGCTGGCTGTTATGGTGTTGGTTTGGTCTGTCGGCGCCTCAGGTGCTGTGTCAGCTTCATCCGGTCCCTCCTTTTCGTTTTGTTTCTTCATCCGGCCGCACTGCACCGCCACGTCTCGCCGGTGTGCTGGAGGGATGGGGAGATCTTCACCGCTGTGAGCCGATGCTGGGGTCTTCTTGTCGGCTCTCTTCGTGGCGTGTTCGGTCTTCCGTGAGTGTCTCTGCTTCTTCTGCCATTTGCGATAGTGCCGCAGCCACCTCGGCGTCTCGTGCGTACTGTTGTCGTCATCCTTGCCCGTGTTTGCAATTCCATCCGTCTCATTGTCCCGAGAGGAGACACCACGAGCAGGTGAAGGTCCTTCGGATTTCGATGTTTCCTTCTTTGAGGGGCTTTCGGAGCAGAGGAGGTCGTAGAGGTTGGGGTAGGCGGCCAGCCGAGTGTGCCGTGTCTCGTCTTCAGCCATGGATAATGCCTTCGTAGTGGTGGCTGAAGCCGCCTTTGATTCCATCGAGGTCTTGACAGGTGATTTGGCGGCCAATGTTGTGTCCTTTGGCAGGTGCGCAGGTAAATGAGGTAGAGGGCGATTTGGCAGCAAGTCCGCATACCGCTGACACGCAAAGAGGAAGAGAGAGAGAAACAGAGAGACAAGCAGGCAGGCAGACAGACAGACAGCCAACCAGACCGTGAGATTGAAATGGTGTCTGTGTCCTGGTCGGGCTCACCATCACTTTGGTGTCTCGCGGTCCTCCTCTGAAATCGACCTGTGACCGAATGTTCTGCAGCCGGCTCTGCAGAGCCTCTACCTGCATAGTACATTCGACAGAAAGAAAAGCTTGACACACATGATGCAGGCCAACTTCCCCGGGCCAGCTCCCAGGCCGCACATACCTGCTGGCCCCACTCCTCGAGCATCGTCATGACGCGTGCAGAAGTAACGTCGCCGCCCACAATGCCCTCACTCACAGTCACTTCACCGTGACGAACATCGTGACCATCACGACAGCCCTTCTGCGCCACGCCTGTGCATGCAAACAGTGTCGTTTCATGCCCTTCCTTCCCAATCGATTCCCTTGCACATATATAGCACCTGCACCTGAGGGGGAATGAGAGTCCGGGCCACGCTTCCCTGCTTCCCAGAGCGCCGTGCGCCCTTGCAGAGCTTTCTCAGCCGCCCGTTCTCTGTGGAAGGCTTTCGGCATCGGTGGAGAGAGAGGCCGCCGGGGCTCGGCGAAAGACAGGGAGCTCGTGTGAACTGTTTGTGCCCGCGATACACTCAGCATCTCTGCGGGAGGCTAGAAACTCAATTGCGAGCTTGGAGTCTGCGAGCTTAGACGTCTGTCCCAAGAGTGGGAGAGATGGGAAGAATGGGAAGGGTGATAACGAGGAGGGTGGCGATGGATCCGTGAAGGAGAGGGCGTTGTTTGTTTTTCATGATCGTGTCGTCGACGACAGCACACGCCAAGCATCGCGCTGGCATGCTCACCAACACACTCGCCGCTGCCGGGCCCTCGAGGCCGAGACCTGCACCGCTCGTCAACGGTCCCACTTCCTCACCATCCACTCATCGTCACGACATCGACGCCCACTACCGGCCTCAGCACCGCGCGTCCCTCCCTCTACCCTTCCCCCCTCAGCCAAGTGGCGCACCGCACGGTGGTGCCAATGCGCAGATTGGCGGCCGCAGGAGGCAATCAGCCAGACAGGGAGAAGGAGGAGGAATGTCGACGATGGCCATGGCCGGTGGTGCCAATGCCATTCCCACACACGTCAGCCCCCGACCCCCTCCCCCGCCACCCGTCCGCCACCCCCCGCGAGCCTTCTCGTCCGTGGCGGCCAATGCCTGTGGCACCGCTGCTCTCTCGCCAGCGTCGTCGCCTCCCGTGTGGAACACGCACTCATGGGGCGGGGTGCCACCCCCGCCGCCTCTGGCGACTAGTCGGCCGCCGAGTGTGGCTGTCGTATCTGTGGACGACGTCATTGGGAGGGCGACTGAGAAGAAGGCTGCTGCTGCACAGGGGGATTTCTGGGCCAAGTATCAGGACATTCAGACCATGAGTAATGCCACAAAGAAGGAGGACATCATTGCGGTAGGCACACGAGCATGACGATAGAGGGGGAGGGAGAGGGGAGGGGAGGGGGAAGGAGGTGTGCACTCATCTGTGTGTGTGTGTGTGTGTGTGTGTGTGGTTGTGTGCGTCAGATTTTGGACAACTTTGCGATGATTCATCGCAAGCACGTGTACATGTTCCAGCGTCTGAAGAGCACCATCCTGACCCACATGCGCGACTACGACGCCAAGGAGCTGGCCTCCATCGTCCACTCGTTCGTCGTCCTGGGCTTCCTGCACGAAGACTTCGTCATGGCCATGACGCCGCAGGTAGGTACCTCGCACCTCTCCCAACACCCACCTCACCCCCGTGACACACACGCATGGATTTCTCTGTCCGTGTGTGTGTAGGTGATCGCCACAGCCCACCTGTGCACGCCCTCCGAGCTCACGCGGCTGCTCGACTCCTACGCCTCCCTCCGCTGTCACGTGTCTGGCGCCATCGAGGTGCTCACGCGCGAGACCCTCAGGAAGGTCTCAGACTTCACCATCAGCGACCTCATGACGCACGCCTCATCATTCGCCCGCCTCAACCTGCACCACGCCCCCCTGTTTAGGTCGATAGCTGCCGAGATGCAGCGGCAGGGGGCCGATGGGGAGGGGGGGAAGCTGACGGCGAGGGAGCTGACGCTGGCGGCGTACAGCTTCGCGAAGCTGGGGTTCCATTTCCCGCATGTCTTTGAGTTCGCGTCGCGACACGCTAAGGAGGTGATTCGGGACTTCACCGCACACCAGCTGCAGATGGTGAGAGTGTGTGTGGGCATCTGAGGTGGTCAGTTCAGACGTCTCATGTATGGGCGTGTGTGGTTGGATGTGTGTGTGTGTGTGTGTCAGATGGCCGTTGCGTTTCAGCGGGCGGGTGTGCGTGACGTGGCCCTCTTCCAGGAGATGTCAATCCAGGCGCAGCGACGAATGGCACAATTCAATGCCGAGTCCATCGCCCTGCTCCTCAGGCAAACACACACACACACACACACACCACCACACCAATCTCTCTGTGTCCTTGCCATCCGTCCACTGCAGGTCGTTCTCTCTGTTTGACATCAAGGACGAGAGCCTTTTCACGCGTGTGGTGGTGCAGCTGCCCCGGCTGATCCTCACCTTCAGGCCCATCGACATCGCCACCACACTCAACGCCTTCGCACGGCTGCAGGTGGTCTCCCCGGCTCTCATGGAAATCGTTGTCCCTGCCGTCCAGGAGCAGATCAGACAGTTCACGGCGGCCGACATGCAGGTGAGAGCACACGAACAACACAACACGTGAGCCTGTGTGTGCCGCCGCGCATGTGGTGGTTGCTGTCTGGTCTCTCCTCTCTATAGAGCATTCTGCATGCCTTTGCGCGTCTGGGCTTCGTGGACTGCACCTTCCTGGCGACCTACCTGAAGCACTGCACGGTGTCGCACCTGACGGCCCAGCAGCTGGTGCATGTGGCGACGGACCTGGCGAAGCTGTCGTTCAGGAACGAGGCCTTCATGCAGGCCGTCAGCCAGGAGGTGCTGCACAAGATGCCCTACCTCACGCCATCGATGTTGGCCCAGGTCTATGCGGCCTATGTGCAGGTGCACACACCACACACACACACACAGAGGGAGAGAGGTCGATTTGTTTGCCAGTGTGTGTGGATGTGTGTGTGTGTGTGTGTCTGTGTCTGTGTGTATATGGTGCGCAGCTTGGTCTGACGAGCGGGGCTTTCTCTGAGTTCCAACGGACTCTGGCCAAGCACATCCGCTATGCCTGGGGGTACAACCAGTGGGCCCACCAATACGCACATCAATACCGGCAACAGCAACAGCAGCAGCACCACAAGGCAGTCCGCGCCGCCCCCGCATCGATGTCCCCCTCGTCACACACAAACACATCGCCCAGTGTGGATCCCTCCGGCGGCCTGCTGCCCCTCCCACCGCCCCCACCATCTCACACAGCGCACCCCCGATGCCCCTACCCCTATGACGTCACGCCTCTCTCGCCCCTCTCGCCCGGCATGGCGGACAACGACATCTACTCGCCTCATCCCCCGCCCCCGCCCCATCTCGGCGGCATCGGCATCGGCATCGGCATGGCTGGCAGTGTGCCGCCCAACGCGAGCAGCGCGTCGAGCTTTGTGTTCGGCCAGGGCGGACCGCAGCAGCCCCCACCGCCACCCTCGTCGCCTCTTCTGGCGCTCTCGCCGTGCTCGCCGAGCATGGACCCATCGGATGTGGTGGCGAGGGTGCCGGGAGTGGGGGAGAATGCGCCCGCCCCCCTGTCGTTGTCGAGCTGCGTGACACTGTGTTTCGCGTCGCTGATGGCGCCGCCCCCTCCTGCACCGCTGCGGCCGATCGTTGCGTCGAGTGATACACCGAAGGGGGAGGGTGTTGGTGTAGGTGGCGGGAAGAGTGTGCCGCCCCCACCTGTGCTGGGGGAGGGTTGGGGCAGCACTGCTGAACACCCGGTGGACCCGGTGCTCCTCGTCGGTAAGCACAGAGGGAGAGAGGGGGGCAGTGATGGGCAAAGATGGACTTGGTGTGTGGTGTGTGTTGTGTGTTGTGTGCTGAATGTCAGGTCGGTGCATATCTGAGAAGGACTGTCTGAGTGAGGAGGAGGTGGGCATACTTAACTTGGTACGGGCGGGATTCTCGCTCATGCCATGGAACAGACGGGCCATACAGGTATGAATCAGCAGGGAGGGTATGGGTGGTTTGACGACACCCCATGTGCGACTTGTGGTTTGTCTGCCTGTGTGTGTGTGTCAGGCGGAGCAGAGCTTGTCGTTCACCCGTCACGCCACCATGAGCAGTGGGTGTATCCATGGCCTGCGAGCAGGCGCTCTCGAGAAGGAAACCGAGTTCGCTCTTCAGGTACATACACACACACACACACAAAAGCCCCCCACCACCACCACATCCATCCATCTCATGTGTCCATCTCCATCTCTGTGGCCAGGAGATCGGTCTCATTCTTCGCCACGAGTGCGAGATCCCCTGCGTGATGCACATGCCCGACGAGGAGACCCTAGGCGAGAGACACACCTACACCACCTACCCACACCAGCACCTCAGCCACCCCAACCAGCCGCCCCCGCCGCCGTCCCCGCCCTCTCCAATCGAGCTGGGGAGCGAGACCGCACCCTTTGAGGCGGATGCGATGAATGAGGCCAGTGCAGCTGAGGAGCCGAAGAGTGAGATCAAGGAGGCAGAGGTCGGGGAGGTGGCTGTGGCTGTGGCTGCTGCTGCTGACGGTGAGGGGGATGGCGAGGGTGAAGGTGAGAAGCCGTCTACCGTCGCCCCCGTCGATGGCGAGGACGGCGCTGCCGCTGCGGGCGGCCAGCCGGACCACAAGATCTTCGTCAACCCCTTTCACACGTACATCACCATCAACATCGACGAGCTCGCCTCCCTCAGAGACGCCGCACAAGCGCAGCAAGAGGCCTCCAGCGCACCACAGGACGGTCAGGATGAGGATGCCATCAGTGTGGTCTCTGTGGGCAGCTACAACTCATCCGAGAGCGAGGAGAGCCAGCTCGACGAGGGCGAGGGCGACGGTAGTGGTCTGAAGGCGAGTCACCACCACCACCACCACCACCATGTGCCCGGCCATCCGTGTGCTGGGGGGTGGGTGGGGACTGGCATGGCTGGTGCGGCAGAGAGGGCGGAGGAGGAGGCCAGTGGGGCGACGATGGCGGCGAACCATGGGCATGGTCACCAGAAGCAGGTGGCGATACTGTGGGGGTCGTCTATGCACTACTGGCACGACGTGGGGTCCACCTACAAGTACCCCCCCAGCCAAAATGACTTCCTATTCCCCACCTCGGACCACACGAAGGCACCAGGTGCGTGCCTCTATACACACAACACACCCACGTCATTACGATCACACCGACACTTATGTGTGGCCACTCACGGTGGTTGGCTTGTGTTAATGTAGGTTTCCTCCTGACCCCAGCTGCCAAGTTTCAGCTGCGGTGCTTCCAGGAGCGGATGCGCAACACCTTCCAACGAGTGTACCTCATCCCCCACTATCACTGGTACGCCCTTCCCTCTCCTCCCCTCCCCTCCCCCGGCCATCCGTCATCCGTTATGTGTCTGCCGTCTGCATATGATATGATGCCTGCAGGAACGCACTGCAGTCGCCCGAGGCCAAGAAGGGGTACATCCAGAACCTGCTGCACAAGGGCGCCTCCCCGGTCCCACCCAACGTGCAGCCCGACTCACGGCCATCGCGCTCCACCAAGGCACGGGCGCGGCGCGCTGTGAGCGAGCGGCACACGCCTTTGAGGGGCGAGGCCGCCGAGGCGTCAGCCTGATCGATCTAGCAACGAGGGAGGGAGGGAGGGAGGGGGAGGCTTTTCGGCCGGTCTGATGATGAATGGTGGTGTGTGTGGAGCTGTCCTGGGTTGCTGTCTGCCGTCTGATGCCGTGAGGGAGATGAGAGGCAAGAAGATGGGATGAGATGGGATACGTACGTACGTGGCTGAGCTATGGGAGGGAGTCTTTGTTGTTGTGAGGCCTCTTCGGTGCATCCTGTGGCTCAGGAGCAGTATGATCCCCACATGCTTCTGTTGTGCCAGCCACTCCGTTCTGATGGGTGGCACATCAGAGCCGTGTGGGCGAGTGACTGCTTCTCGGCTAGGGAGGCGATGAAGGGCGGCATGAACCAGCAAGCAAGAACTGTAGGGGTCATGTTTTCCTCTTGTCGGCTTGGAGCCGTCCGCCTTTATGGCCGTGCGGCTCCGAATGAGGCATCATCATGTCGACTTGGGTGGCGTGCGCTCAATGGGGCGGGCGGTCGATGCTGACAAGAGCAGAACGAGGGGATGAGGGGAGACAGCGCGGGAGTGGGGAATCGATGATTGATTGTGGAATGAAGTGAGAGAGGCTCGTGTGGTGTGTGTCGTGGCTGCCGGGAGGCACATTTATCGATCATCCATCTACCCACCCACCCATCTTTCTCTCTGGGTGCATTCATCCATTCATCCATCCAGTCAGTCATTCACTCATGCAGTCAGTCAGTCAGTCAGTTCATCGTCGTACATAGCAGCAGAATTCGCTGGTGCTTGGAGACCTTCCCGAGCCTATAGGTCTTGGCACCATCGATCTTTTTCTCCAGTGTGGTGCAGTCAGTCAGGTCAGTGTACAGAGCGTTTCGGCATGTGTGAGTGTTCGCCTGATGGGCTCCCTACTTCTCTCTCCCTCGGTGCATGCTGCAGTGGGTGCGATGCAGTGAGAGTGAGTGGGTACTACCGATATGTATACGTGCCTTTGAATGACACGGGGATGGACCATGGAACGAACAATCATTTTTGTGCGGCATCAATCAGTCTCGTGCAAATAAATGAATGCCTGTCTGGTGGTCTTGTGCACACAAGACACACATGCAGTCAATCAAACCATCGACGGCCGAAGAACAACGGGGTTATTTGCTTTCACAGAAGCATGGGGTCGACCAGCGCATCTGATCTAGAGTCGGCAATGTATAGTATTCGCACGCAGGCAAAGGCACAGGCAATCACAGAAACACAAGCGCGCCAAGAAGAACAACGGTCAACGGCTGCTGATCTCGCACTTGTCCTCAGCGCATCGGAGGGCCTTTCAAGCAGCAAACGCCCACATCGACATCGACATCCCCCCTCTCTCTCTCCCTCTCTGCCATCCCCCTGAGATGGCATCATCAACGGCACTCCTCGCTCCCCCCCCGGCGATGGTGCCGTTCGGCCCTCCCTCCCAGCCCTCAGCCACCACCCACGCCGCCCCTGCCCTCACAGAGCCGCCTGCTCTGCTGAGGGACAGGGAGGTCAGCGACTACGGCTTCTTCGGCCGTCGGCTGGGCGAGGAGACACACGCCCCAGTGTCCCCTCTGCTGGCGGCGTACCGGAGCCCCGAGCTCCTCGAGGACAGGCGAATGGCGCGGGGGCAGCTGGGCGCCCTCGGACCTGGGGCCCTCAGGAGGCTCCAGCGGCGCGACGTGCACCTCTGGAAGAGGGTGCTCGCCGCCAGGGACGCGGTGAGGGACGGGACGAGGGTGCAGCTGTCGGCCGACCTCTACGGCCTCCGGCATGTCGACAACGCCTCCAAGGCCGTCATCGATGCCGGATTTCGCCGCACATGTAAGCAAAGCAACGAGTAGGGCTGCGGGGTGTGTTGCAGTGGGCGAAGTGGACGTTAGGGACCCTTTTATCGCACACAATAAGTCAAGAATGTGGTCGCCAACGATGTGCCTCTAACCCGCAAATGTACGCTGACTCGGCTGCATGGGCCTTGCCACCCCATGCGAAGACCTGCATGAGACGAGTCCGTCTCGCCGATGTGTTGGCTTGTGGCGGCTTGGGCTGAACGGTTGTTTTTCTTCTGTGTGTGTCTGTCTTCTGTATGTGCAGTGGCCAAAGACAGTCGGCTGCACCCGGACAGGGGAGGCACGGAAACGTAAGCATGCAACACAACAGAGCTAGAGGGGGGACGGGAGGGAGGGAGGGAGGGAGGGAGAAGAGAGAACTTGTTGGGGAAAGGAGAGCTGCACCACCACAACAAACAGTCTGTTTGTCTGCGTGTGTGCGTGCGTGCAGCCTGCAGAGGATGCAGGCTCTGGCCGCCGACCGGGACAAGCTCTGCGAGTTCAGCGCAGAGTTCGGTCCCGCCCCCCTCCCCGACCCTGACGCCCTGGACGCCGAGCGGCCGACCGTCTGGAGGGAGAAGGACCTCTTCCTCGGCCCCCGCCGCTACTTTGGGCCACCACCATTAACGTCTCCACCCACACCAAGGGGGAAGGGCCGATCGGCCTGGGGGGACAGACAGGACCGCGTCCGCATGGCCCGCTCGGGCCACTTCTCCTGCCCCCACACCCCCCGCACCGGCCCCCCACACACACCCCTCAACAAGCGAGACGAGGCGCCCCCCTACGCCCCCATGAGGACGGCTGCGGATGTCGGCGGTGTGGTGTCCGGGCCGAGTGGATGCTGCGGGTGGGTGCAGTGGGTGCATGAGTGGTGGCAGTGTTTCTCGAATTGGCTGAGGGGGTGCTTTCCTTGCTGCTGCTAGGGAGGGTGGGAAAGGGTTTTGTGTGTGTGTGTGTGTGTGTGAGGTCCATGGGGTTGTTTTTGCAGTGAGGTGATTGTGGTGTTGTGGCGTTTGTGTCTGTGTACTCTACAGGTTTTCTCGGTGTGTGACGTTGTGTTGTCGGTTTCTCGGACGTGGCTGAGCCATCGATGATGGTCAGCTGTGCAGTGTGCATGAATACGCTTTGGACTCACACATGTCAACCAACCTATCTGTCCGTCCACACAAATGTCAACACGCTCTTATTGTACAAGCTCTCTGCTCTTTGCGGCAGCACTGACCAACACATCTGTCTGTCCACTGACTGACGTGATCAATCTGACCTGCAGCCCAGCTCACAAAGCCTCCACCTACCACTGACGAATGCAACTGAGACGCAGAGTAGTAGTATGTCATATCCACATCAATACGACTTGTCGATGATGACGGTAAAGGTTGTCTCATTGTGGTTGCCTGTCGCCAAGTCAGCCAATGAGACCGTCAGAATGCCGCTGATGTCGACAGCAAATGTGACCTGACGCACACACATGCCCACAGAGAAATGAATGAAATGTCGGTGAAGCCGCTCGGTGTGTCTCGGTCTCAATGTACCTGTATCTTAGGCACTCCCTTGGGGGCGGGGCTGACATCAGATAGCGACACTTGCCCCAGCAGGTAGCTCTGGTTCAGTGGCAGAGAACCGTCACCTTCATACACCTGCACACTCACACGCACTGACTTATCCACAGATAAGTGGCGAGTGTGTTGAGCCTCTGACGTCGAAAGGAACGTCCGTCTGCTTGTCGTTGGTTGTCGTATATATCATGCTCCTGTTGGCGGGCAGGGCAGTGTCGCGGTGGATGAACGCCTCCATTGACGCGCCGCCATCGATCGCGAGATCGAATTGGGTCGTCACGATGAGAGGTCCCGACGCACCTGCAGCCACGTGGGTGGCGAAGAGCATCGTGTGCATGCATTTCTCGTCCACAGCGTTGCAGACCTCGCTGGAATGGTGCGGTGTTTCCACGGATGCGTGCGGGTCGGTCTTCAGGAACGGCTTCGATGATGTCTCCGTCCATCACGCCCAGGCTGTCCGTCGTGTCGTCACCATACACGGGCTCACCTCGATAGAAAAACCTGTGAGACGTCACACACAGGGAACTCTGGCAGATGATGGCTGGCTGTGTGTCCACTGGCACCTGTATGTGTTTGGATTTGAACGGAACTCCTTTTGCCAGGCATATATCAAATAACTCATGCGCTTGGTCCATTTTCTGCTGACAGACACAGAGACAAAGGCGCAGCATCGCATGCGCCAGGAAGCCAGGAAGCCCTTCGATTGCTGTGGGCTGCTTACCCTGCAGTGAAGTAGAGCTCCTTCCCCTCGTCCCCACACATCACCTACACACACAGAGGCGACACCACACATGACATGACCCTCTCACGTCCATGTGTTGTGTTCGGCTGACTTTGATATGGGGGGGAGAAACGTGGGAGAGCTGTGTCATGGCGAGCTGAGGCATGGTGATGTTTGCGCGATTGGCCGTCCCTTTCTCCTCGGCTGACACAGTGATGATGCCATCCTCGGCGATTGAGAACGTCACCTGCACACACACATGCACGCACATGAATGGACGTCACGCGACACCTGCGCACACATGAATGGATGGACATACCAGAATGTCAGCGGCGCCTTTCGGTGCTGGCGTCAGGTCTTCGAGATTGAGGACGTCCCGCTGCAGCAGATTAGGGCCTGCCTGCATGCAGCAGTGCTTGCATTCGAAGACCTGCACGCAAGCGAAGAATGTACGTGATAGCAGCAAAGCGCCCGAGCACTTCCAAGCATGTCTCACCTTAAAATGGAAGGTATCCTGGCCGTATTCTGAGGTTTTGGTCGAATAGATTTTGACGGTTGAAATGTAGGTGCCCTTCGGGACGACGACTGTGAACGATCTCCATCTCTCCCACAGCCCGATCTCGGATGTCGTGATGGAGACACGGTTCCTGGGGCCGATCAGCGCCGCTTCGGACGGCATTGCTAAGATAATGTCGCCCTCCTTGATGCCCAGCAGGTGGGGTGTGTCGTGTCTGCTGATGCGGCGGCCATTGTACACGAAACTGACGGACGACACACACAAGGGCGAGAGGGATGGATGGATGGATGAATGAAATCAGCCCTCTCTCTCTGTCTCTGTGTGTGAGTGTGTGTCTCACCCCTCCCTTCCATCCTTTTGCTCACGTGTATGTGTTCGGTGAAAGGCCCATTTTGGTGTGGTAGGTGTCCAATAAGCTGCCGAAGCTCTGCCAGCTCCTGATGCCGACAGACGCCTTCTTGCCGTTTGTGTCGACCTTGACGACCATCGGGTGATCCTCTCTGGCGATCATGATGTCATTGCGCGTGCCCGTGCCCATCTCCTGGGCTGACACAGTAAGAATTCCATCAGGCTCGACGTCAAACAACACCTACAAACACACTTTTTTTTTTTAAACCGTAACACTCGTCTGTGTGTCCGTGCAAACACACACAGTGAGGTGTTTCGTCCCTCCCTCCCTCCCTGTCTATCTGTCTGTCTGTCTGTGTACCCACCATGATTTGCGGCACCCCCGCCGGCAACAATTGGATGTCGGACAGCACGAGCACGCCCGCCAGTGTGTTGTCCTTGGCCTTGACGGACTCGCCCTCATACACCTTTATACACACGTACAGACACCCACACATCCATCTGCACCTGGCAGAGGGGGAGGGGATCCATCAAACACTGACCTGTATTGTGACTGATGATTGATTGTCTCGTGTTGTCGTGAGTACAGTGGAGTTGCGGACAGGGACGGCAGCGAATCGGTCAATCATGCGCATCATGACACCGCCAGCCAGCTCAATGCTAAGTGGTGTGTGGGTCAGCTTCACGGGCACCTTTGCCATCTCAACACGACGAGAGACACCTGTAAGCATGTGAGATAAGTACATCCATGTCGCACATGTCTTTTTTCTTGCCATATTGCGCTTTGATGCAGTCAGTTTCCAACTCGATGTCGAACCTCCTGGTGACACAACATACACGTGATTAGGTGAGCTTGTCTCGTTTCCTCAATTCTCATGCTACCTCCCTTTTTCGTGACATTGACGACTCGCAATGGATAGAGGGGGGGCAACATGACTTCTTTCTCCTCTGAATAGGTTGAGATGCCCTGCACCAGTCGCGGCACGTACGTGTACACACTCTCGAAAGGATGGAAATGAAGGCGACACCGGCGAAGGAGAATGGAAAAGAAGGCGTTCTTGTGCACCACACCCCACGGTATGTCGAACATGAACCCGCTCTGTTCTGATTCGGGATCGATCCCATGCCGGATCTCGATGCCGAGTCTCCCCAAACTCTCCAAATGGTATCCCCCGCCCCAGGCTCGTGCAAACGACTTGCTGAGTGACGTGGAGGCGAAAGATGGCCAAGAGACGGACACGCCGACTTTGTATGTCCCCTCAACCGAGGACGACCGGGCTGTGGCAATGCGATAGACGCGCCCTTCCTGACATAACGTAATGGCTTGCGTGTCTCTCTGTATGCCTGCCTGCGTGTCATCACCTGGCGGGGAGGGACAATCGCATCCAGACGACCAAGGTCCGATCGGAAGAGCAGACGAAAGATGGAGGCGATGGTTCGGTGCTCTTCTGCGCCACCATCCGATGCGAGGTCTTTGTTCATGTCACTAAAGGCACTTTTGGTATGCGCGATAAAAATCCGCTCTGCCAGAGAAAGCCATTCGTCGCCGAGCTCCACCAAGGCGTCTTTCACTTCTTTCGGGTGCGGCTCGCCATACGTCTGCCGCCACAGACGAGCAAATGTGTCGTCGAAATCCTTCTGCAGCGGGTGCAAGGTCGAATTCGTGAAGAAGATATCAACGAGCGGCCGTGGCACATGTAAAAGAAAGCCACGAGAAGCAAGCGGGTGCCCCTGGATCAGCTTAAGAAGTCCTGCCTGTGTTTGAACCACGCCCTTCAGATGCCCTTGCAAAGTGAGATCCTCCGGCAGCTCGAGCGAAGGGTCCATCGGAAGCCGCGTAGCCTTCAGGAAGAGGTCTGGCCGAAGGTCTGTTCTCGGATCCCAACTGGTCGTGCCTGCTCTGAAGAAGAAGGGCTTCTTCTTCTCATGACTGATTGAAAACAAGCGAACGAAAATACGAGATGTGCTCGTATTCTGCCCAATCGCCCTACCTGAATCGAGGACCAAAGAGACTGAATGCGCCGCATCGGAGGGAGCTCATTGCAGGAGCCAAGTGGCAGTCATCCACAGCAAGGTATGGCCATTCGCCTCCATACTCCACTGCGACATCAGAACCATCAACATTGCAGTGGTGGTGAAGAGGGCACTTCATAGAGCATCTGTTGGCAGCACTGTTGGCAGCGGTGGCCACCCAGCTGCTGCTGCGTGGGTCGAACACATGATACACACTGCATCTCGGCACTCGCAGAAGACCTGTGGATACACAAACAGCCAACAGCCGACTCCATCGCATCCGGGGATGACCATCGCATCCATTCATCCACCTGCCAGCCCGGATCTGTTGCGGTCGGCTGCTGATCTGTCCTCGCCACAGGTCCATGTGGCGTTCGAATGGGAAACGCTGTCGACAAAGCCATCTGCAGCCACAAACGCCGTGGATAGATCTGTCAGCATCGCCTCTCTATGCCTTTCTTTCTTGTGTACCATCCTGCTGGTGGGAGAAATGCCACGGGAGATGATGATATCGATTGTGGATGAACACGGCCGTGAAGAGGAACACGGCCGCACTCGCCCACCCAAAACGCGTCGCTCTTTCCTCCATCCTTTCGATCACAGATTTACTGTACATCATCTCCAGGATTTACAGTCCGGACCGCGTAAGTGGGTCACCGCGATAAGCGGGTCAGACACGTAAGTGGGTCAGCCCTGTCACTTACGCGGTCCGGACTGTACAGCGAATCCCGCTTAGTTTGAGCAAGCGCATTTATCTAATGTCTATCTGTCAGTCTGCCTGTCTGTCTGTCTGTCTGTTCGATTATCACGCCTCGATCGTCGATTTGGAGGGGCCCTTGCTTCGGATGACTCTTCTCTTGGCTGCGGGCAGCACAGGGTGCTCGCGGACATGGCAGAGGAGCCGATATCTGAGTGAAGAGTGGCACGCATTGGATGCACAGTGACTGACTAGCGATCTTGACTGACTGACTGAACGACTGACCCAACGTCGCAGGCATCCACCTTGGTGATCTTGGTGAAATCGAAACGCTCACCTGCACACATGCCTATGCTTGGTTGGCTGTCTGCATTGAGCACTGAGCAGTGTGTGTGTACCTTCCTTGAGGAGTGTTTCGTCGCAGGAGCCCTCATTGCACTCGGTGTAACACTGGTCGCCTGGCGCCATGGATTTCTTGGGGCGGCTGGAGCACTCGGCACCCAGTTTGGTCTCAGGCAGACACACGTAACGACGCATCTCGGCAGGACATCCTGGAAGATACACAGAGGCAAAGAGCGTTGAGTGCATGATGTGTTGTGTGTGTGGTCGGGCTGACTGACCCTGTGTGTCGGTTCTGAATGATGATTTGACGAATGTGTGCCGCCAGTCTGTGATCAATGACGGGCACTTGACCGACTGGATGTCCTTCGCACAGTCGCTCCAGCACACCGTCAAGTCGCCAGCTGACACACACAGCCACCACACACAGGAAGCCTTCCACGATGCACAGTGAGTGGATGTGTTGCTTCCAGTCACAGTGTACCGCTTTCAGGCCAGAGGTCTTTGCAATTGCTGATTGTCTCGCCAGTGATGATGTCAGCATGGCTGTGCGACATGTCCACGCACAGACAGAGACCGACGCCGACAGACAGAAGCAACGCAACCTGCAGGCGACTCATCATCATGATTCTGTGGTGTTGTGGTGTTGACTCACAAACACACAGCCGGCGTTGTTTGCTTGTCGTTTTGATTGTTGTGCTTGTGTATTATTGTGTGTATGTGTATATGCGCGTACCTGTTCATGTTCATATTAGCGCCCGCACTTCATCGGGCAGGATTGTCTCGTCTTGACTCAGAATCGCCTCTGCCAGACACCTGCCAAGCCACGGTGCCCACAGCAGGCCTGACGCGACAAACAGCAATGACGAAACACGCACATCGGATGCGTGTGTCACATACTCAAGCCTACCTCTCGCGCCGAGAGCCGTCATCAGCCACACATTGTTCAATCCCGCATCGTCTCCCTCACCACTTGGGAGATGCTTCACACGTCCGGCGGTTGGAATGCGGCCCTGACAAGCAAAAGCAGATAACGACAATGAGAATGCACATCCACATCGGTGGGGACCCTGCTCTCACGTGATGGGTCCTGGGCGACAGCACACGCACTCCTGATGTGCAGCCCGTGACGGGTAGGTCGGACAAAGGGGCGTATATGCGCTTCAGCTTCGGTGCAAGGAGAGCCTCAGCCTTGGCAGCATCAGGCGGCGCGTCCAGGTCATCCTGTGAATACTCCTTTGTCGCACCGCCAATCGCCTTGCCGTCATGACGAGGGACTACCCATTCACCTGAACAACAAGAAGCATCGACATGTGGCAAATTCGAAATGTGATGCATCTCACCACAAAGGAGGGCAGCGTGGAGCTCTCGTCCGCTCGTGTCGTATTCCAGCGTTTGCCCGCGAACGAACGACAGTGAAGAGCCATCCAGCAGCCCTGCCATGCCGTTGATGTACCGCATGCCCACTCCATTGCACAGACAGACCACGTCAAATGCTGCATCCAGCTCCCTCAGTGTTGACAGAGACCTCACGCTCATCCGCCGCCAAGACCGAGTCGCGCCATCCCGTGAGCAGATGAGCTTCCACAGCCCCCTAAGGAACACTATTGTGTCGACAGCAAGGCCGTCCTTGATCAGGATGCCATCAGAGCCTCCCTCAGCCTTGTCCTGCTGCTCGCGCTGCATCAATCTGCCGTCCTTCAGAGTCGCCCACTGGACCAGGTCGGGCCTCTTCTCCACCGCCTTGCGATATATCTCCTCATTCTGCTCAGTCACGATGGGGCGGAAGAGAGAGTCGCACGACACCACCGTCTCGTGACTGCTGGCACCATCCAGGAACCCCTGCACCTCACGTATCAGCTCCTTTGTCACCTCCAAACATTCCTCCCCTCGCCATATGATGCCGCACTTCGGGCTGAATGGATGAAGCAGCCCAGCTGCCACGGCCGACGCGCCACCCTGCCCCACTCCGGCCTCGTCGATGATCTCAAGGGTGATGTCTGGCTTCATCTTGGTGAGCCAGTAAGCCACTGATAGGCCTGCCAGACCACCACCCACAATGCACACCTTCGACAAAGAGGATGCAGCGCCATCAGCACGGGTGTGCAGATCAGTGACGGCCGTGTGGGAGCGACGAGGGCCGATGCGCAGTCCATGATAGGGAGGAGTGAAGCCGATAGAATGGTGTGCACCCACTGAGGGATGCGTTGCGGGTTGATAGGGATCTCCGCACATGAGAAGACGGCATCCACAGAGCATCGCTAGCAGTAGCATATGATGAATGAAACTCATCACAGACGTCCCACCCTTCATGATGTGGGCAACAGCATCAGCCTCAGGGACCTTCTCCCCCTCGTCCTTCACCTTTTTGAGCTCGCGTCTCTGTTTACGAAGCTTCCCCTTTGGCAAAATGACAGCGGAAAAGTCTGCCGAGGAACACCTGGATGAGCTCATACAACAGCATGCTGCAGGTAAGAGGAGAGCCAACCACTCACAATGGCTGAATTCTGTTGATGCGTGCCAGGTTCTTGTCTGTCAGGCTCCTGCTTCCTGTTCCCCATCGGGGCTGGCGTGTTCTTCGCCTTCTTCTTTGCCGTCGGCGGAAGTGCTGGTTGGACGCACAGCTCGATTGAACGGCCGGCAAGCGTCTTCTTCGAGGTGGCCGGGGCTGCATTGGGGTCCTTCGCTGCTGTGACGACCAACACCGATGCGCCACATAAGAGGATTGGCCTCTTCGTCATCATTGCGAGCGCCGCCATCCTCGCCAAGGTGTGCGTCTTCCTCTTCCTGCCGGCTGAGTTGAGCAACATTGTCATGTCGGCACTCTGCGTCGGCACAGGTGAGCAGAGACGGCACAAATCTGCCGCTTTATCTGCCCGTCTCCGCTTTTCTCGTCTATCAGTTGCTGGTGTGGTTGCCTGGCTGTGGGAGAGCGTGATCACGCCCCACATGAGACAAGTCAAAGCTGACAGTAGCGGGAAATTAGCGGTGTGACAGACAGACGGGATGGGTGCATGAATTGATGGATGTTGCGTGCTTGAAATACGAACAGACGGACATACCCACACGTGTACAAGGGTCATGACACATGGCACTTCCCTTTCCCTCACATGCATGCAGGTCGTCATAAAGCGGTTTCAGCATGCAGCCCCAGCACGTAAAAAGACGACTTTCGGCTCCCCTTCTGTTGCTCTGCGGTGGCTGTTGGCGGCGACTTGCGTAATTAGAGGAGCTGCCATTTCCCGTGAGGACGGCAGGCACGTCAAGTGCACTCGCCAAGCGCTCTCGGTCGGCCACACCAATCTAACCAAAGCGACGTTCAAAGAGTGAGGAACGTCTACAGTGCAAAACCATTTCCACTGTTCTACTTGCAATGCGCGCAGGTACGTGAAGACTCATGATGCTCTTGTGGGGTTTGCCAGTGGTTCATGCGAGACATGCTGCTATGCAGAGGACATCTATGCGGAAATCATCCCACAGGTGGAGATTTGACATCCATTGAGCCCATGTATGCATTCGCTCTGTGTCTCAGCTGCCGTCAAGCGTCAACTTTGTCCGCATCTACGTGGATAAGTACAAGAGCCTCGCATCCAAGCATGGCGTCGATGAGCTGCCGGCCTTACTTTTCTTCAAGTACACAAAGGATGACACAACACCAAGCAATGTGGTACATTCTGTTCCCTTCCTGGCAACCCTTGCAGGCAGGGTGTGCGTCACCCCTATTTCTTCCAGAGCTATCATCACCCCGACACCATCCTGTCTTTCGTCCACAAAATTTTGCACCCAGTAAGCTCCTCAGAGAGACAACAGCGCGCTGTGTCTCCACTTCTTCTTCAGATGGCCCCGCTTCAATCAGAAGACGACATCAGGGACTTCCTCACCCCAGCTCTTTTCTTTCCCACGAACAGCAGCCGGGAAAGATGTCCATCTCCCCCGCCCTCCCTCTGCGAAGTGTCGCCTGGCCACTGGGTGAGAGGCATCCTCGTCGGTGCTCCCGGATCGCTGGATGAGGACGACGAGACAGAGCTCATTGAGGCCGCGAGACGGCTCAGTGGAAGGAATGGGTATCGATTCGGACGGATTGAGTCCCCTCTGCTGTTTGGCAGTGTGCGAAACATGGTGAAGGACTACGCTGGCCATCAGGCTGGATGCACGTCTCCCACGCTGCCTTACCTGATGCTAGTCAGCCTCTTTGACAACGAATTCGTCTCTAGTCGGCACATTAAAGTGAGACACAAAGGCCCTGACATCCTTTCGCCCCCAACACTCGCATACTCGGAGGACAAGGCCACTCTATGGGAGGTAAGAGCCGGGACATGTCCATGTTGCTGAAAGTTTCTTCTGCATGTCGTGTTGGCTATTGTGTGGTTCGTAGCTCAGATCGGTCTACGTGTCTCTCTGAGGCGGGTGAGCAGCTCACTAAAGGCTGCAAACGCAGCAGAGGAGCCTGATTTATGGCTGCTGCCTCGGGTCGAGTGCCGGTCACTCGACGAGTGGTCTCGAGTGGGGCTGTACGAGTGGCTCGTCAGCGCCAGCCTGCCACATGTGGGCGAGTTCAGCCCCATCACTTCATCCCTCTATGAGAGCGCGCGCAAGCCCATCCTCACCCTATTTGCCGACACAAACGATGACGTAGGTCAAGCATGCGCCATGGTTTGCTCTCTTAGATGTCTCTTGTGATTCCATCCAGAGGTTTCTGTCATGGCTGAGCATCTTGGAACAGTCTGCCCGCGACATTCGGCAGAGGACAACAGCGGAAGGGAGGGGAGTTGCTGCCGGCTCGCTGGGCCTGGGTGGTCAGAGCGATGCCAAGACGGGGATGGAGGCCGTGCTCTTCGCCTATGTGGACGGGAGGCTGCATGGCCACCGGATGAAGCCTCTCGGCCTGCAATCGGAGAGGTCAGTCAGTCTGCTTGCACTCTGCAGCCCTTCATCGCTGAGTGTGTCGCTTGGTTGTTCAGGCTCCCTGCATTGGCCTTCAATTTCATGACGACTCGTGTGCTGAGTTGGCAGCCTTCAAAGAAGGGCAGAGAGGAGCTGACAAAGGACGTGGTCGACTCCCTCATACACCGATTCCTTTTCGTAAGCCCATCTGCACGCTCGCCATTGGTCCTCGATCTTCTTTGTGTCAGGGAGACGACGTGGGCCGGAAGAGGAAACACGTGCCTGCCCCCCAACCGAAGAAGGCAAGCCAGTGTGGATGTCTCAGCCAAGACATCCTATTGGCTGTTTGTGCGTGTTCAGGTGCCTGAGCGTAATGTGACCAAAGGGGAGAGGAGGGTCGTTAGGGACCTCGACACACTCAGCATCGATCAGCGGTAGGTCCATATGTACACCACATTGACGCGTTCCGTTGTAATGGTGCCGGTGGGTACGGTGCCAGATTGGAGTATGTGACGCCTCTGGACTCTGATTCCTTCGATGAGCTTGTGCAGGACGTCGCCAAAGACGTCCTGGTCTACTTCTACGCATCCAAGGACTGCCAAGCGTACGGAGAGAAGGCCATAAGACAGAGAAGGCAGCGGATGTCTCTTTTCGCATTCAGGTGTCTCGAGCACGCCATCTTTGTCAACCGATGCGCCGAACGCTTTGCAGGTAAGGAAGGCACATACCAGGGATACACTGACCCTCATTGTTCTGCACGCTGCAGAGCTGAAGATTGGATCCATTGTAGTAACGCGGTAAGCAAGACGCCCGCGTGCGTGTCTCCCATCGATGTCTCCCTCCTCTATGCCACGTAGCTTTGACATGAGCAAGTATGCCCTGCCGGTGTGGATACAGCAGGTGGACGCCCTGCCTGCCCTCATCATCTTTCCCGCCTTCGACAAGGACCCCCCATTCCGCCGATTTGTGGGCCAGAAGTGGAAGGTGCAATACATCATGTGGTGGGCGCAGCAACACGCCAGCATCAAGTTCCACCTGCCGGTGAGCGCGTCGGTGGCCATCAACGCGCGCGAGATTGTCACGTGAGGTGCCTGTGTGTCTATGTGTGTCTCTGTCTGTCTGTCTGTCTGTCTCAGGAGCTGCCTCATTTGGATGAGTTAGAACGTCAGGCGTATCACGAGCAGAAGGCGCAAATGGATGCAGATAGAGGGAGACTTGAGAGGGAGACACTTTCGACTAAAGATGAGCTGTGACGTGTTGAATGGCTATCGTGTCAATTCACCACCATTCAGGTGTCCATGTAATCGCACCCACGCTGTCGACACCGATGCGACTGTTTTGCCAGTGGTGTGTGTAGACCGCCACAGCTCCATCAACACCGCCAGTAGAGGCGCATCCTCACGAACACACACACGAGTGGTGAATGACAAATAGATAGATATCTGGGCCGCATTTGGTCATCAACATCAACCACGTCTGTCTACCCCCTGAACCGATCTCGTCTCAATCAAAAGTTGGTCAGCATTCTCGAGTCGTATACCCCGACCTTGGCAAGCTGTTTGGTCACATCGTCACACATGCCCTTCTGCCCACACAATAACACACCTGAAACACACACACAAACACACGGATATGAGGAGAGCCGCCACCCCTTCTTGCCTTCCTTCCCCACTCCCTGACCCACCGGTGTTTCTCGGTCTTGCGACGCCTTCACGTGAGAGGTCCTGCTGCACATACTCCTTCTGCGCCGCTCTCGAGTACACAGGCCGCACCTCCACGCCCATCTTCTCCCACTCACTGAAGCGCTCCTTGTATGCCATGGTGTCCTCACTCCTGCAGCCGTAAAAGAGGGTTGCTGTCCTCGCCAGCAGGTCAGGCTCCTCCTGGCTCGCCAGCCTCAACACGTCGGACTCGATGACGCTGCGGATGGGGGCGATGCCCGACCCGCACGCGAAGAAGGCGATGTCGAGCACAGGCGAGTCGTACTTGTAGCTGTCGAACTCGTCGGTAATGGAAAAGCCCTTTCCCATGACATTGCTGACCTTGATGGGCGTGCCGAGTGGGGCGCTTGTCAGCCACTGGATGCTGTCGGTCTCTTTGATGAGGAACTCAAGCAGACCTGACAGTGACACACAACAAAGATGAGTCCATTGGTGTGTGCACGGGATTAACGGAAATAGTCCATTGGTGTGTTGTGTGCACGTGTCGCTATTCTCTCTTCTCTCACCTTTTCGTCCCTTTGGTGGCGGCGGCGATGCGATGGCGAAGAAGTTGGGCTTCTGCTCCTCACTCTTGTCGGTGATCTGGACGAACTGCCCAGGCACAGTGAACCCGGCCGACACCTCCTTGGGCACCTCAACAGACAGGCTCCGCATGCCTTCAGCAGCAGGGAACGAATCTGCCAATACACACCGAAACAACAACCATACACTCACATTCATGCTGATCCGCATGACAGTGTCCGATGTGCTGAGCTGACCGAGCACTTTGGCATCGTTCCATGTGGTGTCTGCCATCCGCAGAGCAGACAGGCGAAGCGGCCTCCGTGGTCTCCATGGCTGTGCTGTCGATGGTGGTGGAACAAATGCCGACCGCAGAGGGGCGGCAGGTGACAGCTGCAGGGAGGACGCCGTGACATCAGGTGTGAGGATGGCGACGGCGCACGCCAAGATGGAGATCATCCCTTGGTCAAACTTCATTGTGCGGACCAGATGAAAGAAAAGAAAGCGTGGAACGCCGCGATGCGAAGAGACGCAGTGCGAGCTCAGCTTGCAGAACGGAAATGCTTTTCACGGAGACAATGGACAAGGTTTGTGTAGATGGAATTGTGGATGGACAAGTGGATGGACGAGTGCATGTCCGTGAGAAGGGTGGCTGGCTCCCATGCACTGACTGGCCACAATCCCGTGTGCATGTGGATGTGCATCCACACGCCAGCCTTGAAAGCAGCATTCATCAGTCATGAAATGTCATCCGGCACACAACGCATACATACCTTACCAGCACGAGCGTGAATTCACAACACCGTCACACCCGTCCCACTGCCCCGCCCCAGCCCGCCAATCAGCCGCCCATGCAGTCGTGCAGTATCATGCCGCACCGATGGCCTCGCTGGTAGCCTCCAGGGCGGCATCTGCATCAAAGAGGTCTGATGCGATGCGCCAGCCGAGTGAGCCGATCATGAGATTAGCGTCGGGCAGGTGGTGCGAGGGGCAGCAGGTGGATAAGGACGGCCGCGAGTGAGCGGTGGGGGGCGAGGGCGGCATTGACAGTCCCGTGACATGGGGACCCAGTAACTTGTTGAGCACTACCGCATACTCCGTCAACACCACACCAGCTGGCGCTGGCAGCGGATGGGGTTGACGTCGGCGCCGATGAAGGGCTTGCACTGACGATGAAGGGCGGAGGATGGTACCCCCGTCAGTCGCTGGCTGCCTGTGCACCAGGTTGCCGGTGCCTTGTCCATGGGTAGCGGAATCGGGTTGAAGCAGACATGCTAATCGTCACTTGATCACCTCGGCGGGAGGAGAGGCTCGCGAGCGGCGGAATGGAAATCCGCACCGACTGGATGCTCCATGTGTTGCCCTGTCGCCCCCGTCTGCATGTCGCGTTGTCCTGCCGCTTCGAGCGCCGTTCCCTCTGAGCGCTCCGGCGTGTCGACGAAGAGCGGGTACACCGCGGTCAGCTCCCTCTCTAACTCGGGGGGCACGAGAGGGCGGCCAACACGCTCCTCCAGCTTCCTGAGATCACACACACCTGAGAAAGGGGAATGCTGCACACCGACTGCTTTGCTCACCGGACGGCGGCCGGGCCGTGTTTCCGCACCATCTTCTGTTTTTTCTCCTGCAAATAGTTTATGCACGTGGCTCGACACATCCCCACGAAATCGTCATGCTTCTCCGGAATGATCCCCTGACAGAACACAGTGCATTGCCTGCTCGTGACGGTGCGATGATGTGTGTGTGCGTGTGCGCGTTGCGTACCCCTTCGGTAGAAAGGTAGAAGTCGTCGATTTGCTTGAGTTGGTCATCGGACATGCTCATGAAGGGAATGGGGGACGTAGCCTCGTCAGCGAAGCCACCGATGCTGTGAACAGCATCTATCACCCTCACTGTTGTCTTTGCTTGCTCCTCCGAGAGGGGAGGGCCGGTCAGCACTCCTCCCATTCTCCAATTCTTCTCCCGTTCGTTTCACCTTCTCGCAGCGTTTCACGAAACACCCTAGGCGAGCTGATGCCGCGAGCGTCAAACCATTGAGATCTGTCGCCGATTTTCGAGGATCACTTGGTCCTCTTGGCGCATGAGCCGCGCGCGGCTCAAATCTGTACTTGGAGTCCTCCCCTTCCTGCTGCTAATTGCCGACGCAACGCGGCTCACGAGCACCGCATTTTCCGCCGCTTTTCATCGCCATCCACCTTCACTATTGCGAGTTCAACAACTTCCGGCCCATCAGCCCGTTGACAGCATGCCAGTGGTGACGGCAGCGGACAGTGCAGCAGAGTTCGAGTTCTCCTGGCAGCGCATTGGGGATGCAGAGTCGCTGTGGCTCAAGGGGCGCGAGTTGTCTGCAAGAAAGAATCGGCTCACCGTCGTCTTGCCTGGTGGGCTGGGCCGACTGACCCTCTGCAAAAAGCACCCTGTGCTGTGTGCGTCATTGGTCAGGCAACCCGGGGGCCGTGTCTGCTTATGGCGAATTCGCCAGTGCACTGCGCCAACTGCTCGACACTGACGTCGTTGTGCAGGGACACCCGGGTGAGTGAGTAGGTGAGAGGGGGATGGAGCACGGGATACGTATTCATGCAATGCTGTCTGGTTTGTCTGCGCAGGCCATGCGCCGCACAGCACGTCAACCTATGAGCTGCAGCATGCCATCGCCCACCACGCCAAGCAGCTGGACAGACATGCGGCTGCGTATGGGGAGATTGTCCTCCTGGGCCACAGCATCGGTCAGCACACACACACAGACATGGAGATGCCCGTTAGATGGACTCGTGTGTGCGGCAGGAGCCTACATGGCCGTGAGAGCACACCAGAGTGCCCCACCTTCAAGCCAGGAGAAGATCGCCGTCGTCGGCAGCATATGCGGCACACTCAGCAGGCAAGTCCTGCCTTCACGCCAGCCATTTCGCCTATTCCCTACCTATATGTCGTGTGTTTGCTGCAGGTTCGCGCCCCGTGGCTACGTGTGGTGTACGCTGGTGTCCAGCCGCACCGGCAAGCACCTGCTGTCGACTCTCGTGCGGGCCTTACCCAACCGACTCAAGACATGGCTGGCGCCAGACCCCCAGGTCAGCACTGCACCGAACCACACACCGGGCAAGGATGCAGATCAGCCATTAGTGTGTGCTTCGCGTGCAGATACTGGCTGAATGCGAGAGTGGCAGGTTTTTCGACAACATCATCACTCTGCTGCGGTCGGAGTTTAGGGCTCTTGAGCCAGAGCTGCCCGCGGAGACGCTGCTAGAGGTGTGCAGAGGCGCGAACCACACACACATACGGGCTCGTTTGCACTAAGGTTGGCTTCTTGCTTGCAGCTGCGTGACAAGGCGTTGCTGGTGTACGCCACTGACGACATTTATGTGACGAGGGCCACTCAGCAACAGGTACGCAGACCCATACACAACGCGCTGCCCCGCCGCAATCGAACCATTCTCCACCATTCCTTCCCTCTACCCGTCAGGCCGCGTCCTTGCTGGAGACCGTCTCACCAGCCGTGTCGAGTGTGTCCACATCCACCAAATCATCAGCCACATCCCTCGCCGCTCTCCCAGCAGCACCCCTTCTCAACCAAGTCAAGGACAGCATCGACAGCACTAGGGTGCCTGCGGCTGTTTACGTGTCGTCGATGGCCGACCTGACCCACAGCTTCTGCCTCTATCCCCGAGAGAGCATGGCCTGCGCCAGGGAGATCAAACGCATGATTGGTAAGCAGATGTGGACACACGCGCCGGCATAGTCTGAGTGCTGGATTCTCGTGTTTCTGTCTGTTCTGCTACTCAGCGGCCCGCGGTCTGCTCAATGTCGCTGATGACGATCAGGAGATTCAGGAGATTTCCGCTTCAGAGAAGGTCGCGCAGAGCAGATGGCCCGCTGAAGTGCTCAGACAGGCGCCTGTCCACGAGTGAAGAAGTAGTTAGGCAGACGGGGGTATCCTTGTAGGACATGATGCGCTCACCGCATGCGTGAGCTGCGGTTTTGCCGTTTTGTGAGGGCTGCATGGGAGATGTGGTCTGACAACCATTGGCCGCCGACGTGCCATCAGCATCTGCACCGCAGGCAGGCAGGCAATCGCGACACCCGGGAGGGGACGAGCAGTTTCACGGAATGCGTTCGGAAAGACTGCGAGCTAAGTGCTCTCGGGGAACGTAGAGAGTAGAGAGAAGACAGCAAGACATGTCCGCTGCCCAAGCGGTCTCCCTGCTGCATGTTTCTCCACCCTCCATCTTCCTTCCTCACCTCCATCTCCAACCAGCATCTCATCTCCACTGTCCATTCCCCTTGGTTGCATCAATCGTCTGCTGCTCGGGTCCGTCTCCCTGTCTTCGTTTGACCACAGCTCGACCCGACAGAGGACCAGATCACACAGCCGCCGTCATGTCGAAGCTGGTCCTATTGGCCCTCGCTCTTGCAATCTCTGCGGTGTCATCGGTAAGTGACTGACAGCTGAGGGAGGCCTGCTGAAACCTGTCTTGATGTGTCCTCCTGTATGTGACTGTCATTTTCACTCAGGCGCCCCCTTTGGGCGCGAAGCCTCGCAAGCTGATTTCGTTGGGCGACGTCACACGGCCTGTGCAGCAAGCTGCGGCGGACGTGGTGCAGGGGGCCCGAGATGTTGCTGAAAGAGCAAAACAAGAAGTCGCTGAGATACGGGAGCTGCCCCAAGGGTTCCAGGAGAGGACGCAGGCAGTGCGCGACGTCGTTGACCGAATCAACCCATTCCGCAGACTGTTTCCTCGGTCAATCGGGGACGTCACACGGCCTGTGCAGCAAGCTGGAGAGAACGTCGTCCAGGGAACCCGGGATGCAGCTGACTGGGCCTCTCAAGAAGCTGGTGAGATACGCGAGCCGCCCCAAGGGCTCCAGGAGGTGGTGGGCTCCCTTACCAGTGGATCTGGTCCATTCCGCAAGCTCTGGCCTTCCGTCCCTTCCGTCTCCGTCGGTGACATCACAGGGGCTGCAGAGAAGGCGCGCGATCAAGTCGTGAAGCCGGTGCAGGACGCGATCGACAGAGTGCAGGACGCGGGCGATCAATTTGCGGATGCCGCGAAGGACACGGCCGGCGCTGTGCAGAATATTGGGGAGCGGGCGGTAGACGTTGCACAGGATATGGGGCAGAAGGTCGACGCTCTGCAGGACAGCTTTGAGAACGCGGCCGACAACCTTCAAGAGGTGGTTCAGGAGCCCCTAGAGGACTTGCAAGAGACGGTTCAGGAGCCTATTGCTAATGCTGTGGCGCCCGTCAAGGATGCTTGGGACGGTGCTCGGCAGACCTTTGACGATGCTCAAGAGGTCTATCACGATAGTGTTTCACGTGTGCGAAACGTCGGTGAAGACCTTCGCGATCGCTTCATGGACTTCACTGGCCTCGACAACTATATCCGGGAGTGCACGAATCGGGCGGAGGTGAAGGCGGAAGTCAACGAGAGATATGAGCCGCGATGCAGCTCAGATGTTGGGGGCTTTCCATGCGGCGAAATCTTCTGGGGTGAGTGAGTGAGAGAGGGATTGGACACCACACAGACAGCTCACATTATCACATATGGTGTGTGTGTGTGTGTGTGGTGTAGGTGAGGAGATCGGATACGGCCACTATCTCCAGGCGGCGGACGCCGTCGCCAAGGACGTGTTGGGAGGAGGCATGGGGACCTTCACGGTCGCCTGGATGGTGCAGCAGGTGCAGCGGCAGATCAAGACCATCTCTCGCAAGATGGGCAAAAGCGCCAACGGGCTCATCGAGTATATCACCGACGACTTCATCGAGGACCTGGTCAAGAAACCAGGCCAGATGATGAAGCGTGTGAGCCAGGATGTGAAGATGGACATCGTCTTTGAGGTTAAGAGCTATAACTTCGGGCAGTGCGTTACCATGCCAGGGAGCGACACGGAGAGGCGCATCCCACAACCAAACAAACACCAGGTCAGTCAGCCGCCCACACACTGGTTCTCTCTCTCTCTTCACACACACACACACACACACACACGAGAGCCGGATGGATGTGTGCTTTCCCTGCGTGTGTGTGTGGTGTGTGTGCAGCCCTATTTGGCCTTCTGGATCCACCAGGACTAGAAGACCATGCCACGGTGGTGCTGGTGCGTGGCGTGCTTATTGTTGTTTGTTCATGTGGCTGACCGGTTGGCTGGCGTCACTATTCACCGGGATTGTTTGTACGTGTCAAACTGACTGACTGATGGTTGTGCCCACCTCCTTCGTGTCGTTCATACCGGGCATTTCACGTGGCGAGGGCGGCCATTTCTGGCTGCTTGTGTGTATTCTGTGTAGATAGGCACCCACCTGTTGTGATTTGGGGTGCGGACATTCGCACAGGTGTTGTATGTAGAGACAGCTGCTGGCCTGGCCCATCGAAGAGAGAGGGGGTATGGTATGTGCCTTCGTCCGAGTCCGTTGTCTGTGGAAGATAAGTTAGACCTGATCTGTACGTGTACAGGCCGTCCTTGCTGTCTGTCTGAATGGCTGTGGTCACTGTGTCTTGTATTTCGTGTTTCTACTGTGTGTGTCTGTTGAGTGCGTATGTGCGCGTGTACAGAGAGGGCATCAGTGATTGCACTGCATTGCACTGCAGTGCGTGGGGACGTGGGTGTGCCAGTGCCACCCATCTGCTGAGTGTGATGCTCTCTCGTGTGGCTGACTCTTCTTCGAGATAGTGGCTGATTGTAGGTAGATTCAACGAGCATCAATCTGTGTGAAATGCGAACTTGATAAGTGGGACGACCATCAAAAATTCAGGAATGATCATCGCTCTGTGTCGGTCCGATCTTGGTTGCCAATGCGTCAGGTCACGCACACAGAAACACAGAATGTCACGCCGTAGTATAGCTGTCGACAAATCCTTGCCCCGCTGCTCTCGTCACTCGTCAAGAAAAGCAGGTAGCTATAAAACCAACGATCCATCCATCCCTCAGTCGATCGATCGGTGTGCCCTCTGTACACAATACACAACACGTATACACGTACACAATACACATACACGTACACAATACACATACACACATACACGTACACATACATATACATATACATATACATATGCACCCCATACGTATACGTACATGCGTGTAAGGTATGCATAAAGCATATACATATGTCGATGTATCGATCCACTGATATATAACAAATCCGTGATGCGTATGCATGCCCTCTCTCTCTCTCTCTCTCGTTGAGAAACCTGCCGTCACGTGCAACATCGCCCTCTAATTGACAACACAGCCCCGTCAGTCAATCGACAACCAGTGACTAGGTAGGTAGGTAGGTAGGCAGGAGGCTGAAAAATGACCCTCTCTCTGTCGTGTGTCATTCTCTCTCGCTGTGTTTCTCTGTCTCTCTCTGGGTGGTGGCTCAGTCTCCACCTCTCCCGCCTCCTCCCTGACCGCACTGAGTCAGCAGTCTTGTGAGAACGCAAGAACGCCAAACGAGTACCACAAGGAGAAGGAAGAGAGACGGAGACGCAGCGCACCACCGACAAAGATGTCACAGGCACAATCCGTCGTCCCTTCGACAACCCACCCATCCAGCCACCAACCCATTTGTCCATCCAAGAAGCGGTGTCATGATGTGATGTGCTGTCGGCATTGCTGTGCTGCGGCATTGTGACGTCAGAGTTGTCGGCAACCAATGAGTCTGACAACCCTGCCGTCATCATGCCCCAATACAAATGCCGACAGCACGTCACAAGAACACCCGCACCAGCAGCAGATTGACGGGCAAGTGCGTGTGGTTCCTTTTGCTCTCCCCTGGCTCGCTCGAGGACAGACGAGAAACGATTGCAAAAGTACGTCGTCGGGTATGTAGAGGGAGGGACATGGTAGGCAGACAGGAACCAGCCATGTAGTCAGGTTGGGAAGGGGGCCATCTGTGTGAGGCGCACGGCCTTCCGACGGGACGGGTGGGTGAAAGAAAACGACCACACGCAACCTCGTGCATGGTTCCCCCCCGGTGTGTATGTATCAGCAAATGCACAGACGCCTCAGCAGCATTAGCCACACGCAATATTGAACACACACACACACACGTCCATGCATCCAGCCGTGTAGGCGCCACAGGCACACCAACAAAACCAACACACAGACGTAAAGACAGGTACGCAGATAGAGGGAAGGATTGCATAGCAAAACGGTCAAAACGGGAAGAGCATGGCATGCACACGGACGTCATGCGCCACCGCCGCAGACATGTCAAAACGGCCGCGCCTACGCTTCCTCTGCCTCTCCCCCTCCCTCTCCCTCTCCCTGTCCACCAGCACCCAACCGCCGATCGCATCATCGCCATCACACCGCGATACCACCGACGCACTGCCAAGCGGCGAAGACACATCACTCTCAGCCTGCATCCACCGAACGTTCAAAACAAAGTGGGTTCAGGCACTTCCTGCAGGTAGCTACCAGCTGAGGTCTGCTCACCTGTTGGCAGTGCCTCATGGTCGGTGCCTCCAGCACCCCCGCAAAGGACGGCAAGGAGCACGCCCGATGGATCTGCCGCATCCTTGTGCCTACGGTGATGTCCCCCTCGCTGCTCTCGTGCACCGAACTCCAGTCGATGTCGTCGCCCCCACACGACCCCCCTGACGCCACCGACCCCTCGTCCGTCGTCACGTCACTGCTGACGCGCCGCAAGTCGTCTTTGGCCGCCTCGGGAAGGCCCCACGACAGGTCCGTGACGATGGGCTGGTGTGTGAGTGGGAGTGGGTGTGGGTGTGGTGGGTGTGGGCGTGGGAGGCGGTGGTCGTTGTCGAGCCGCTCCCGCAATTGTGCGAATGCGCGGCTGATGGCCGGGACGAATGAGAAGGTGCGCGTGAGGGCTGCTGTCAGGTGGCCGCCGGGGATGGTGTGGTCTATCCACACGTCTGACTCACCGAGAATGGCCCGCCTGTCGAGGGGCAGCCGGGCCTTGCAGGCCGGGATCATGCGATCATGCATGGCCTCCACGCACACCACCACGCGATGCTGATGATGGCCCCTGCCGCCGCCCACATCCTCCCGCCGCCTCCGCATCTTGTGGAAGGATGTGACGGAGAAGAGCTCTGTCTCCTTCTGCAGGAAATAGTCGGTCAGCAGGGGGCCGTGCCGTGCCCACGCATGCCGCATGATGAGCTGCAGCGGCACCACTCGTCGCAGGACGCTGCCCCCGTCCATGGCCTGCATCATGGTGTGGGGGGCCGCCATGGGGATGACTGCGATGTTGCCGTCGATCATGGAAGCCGCCCACATGGCGAGGGAGCCGCCTGCCGAGAAGCCGCCGAGTCCGATGGGGACTGTGTGTGCGGTGGGGTGGCGGGCGAGTTGCCGGGAGAGGTGGTCGTGCAGCGATATGAGCTCCATTGTTGACGACAGCAACTGACAGACAGATAGGGAGACAGAAAGCACACATAACGTCAGTCAACATGACGGTAGTAGATGCTTCCTGTGTGATGCCACATAAAAATCGTTAGTTACCTGAAGCTTCCACCCCGCCACAGTGGAGATGAACGGCCCCCACTGCCCGGCCGGCTTCCGCCTCTCGTAAAAGGCGGGCATCACTATCACACTCGCAATGTGGTGCCGGCGCAGCAGCTGGTGGGCCACAGCTATCCTCTGGGGCGGAAAGATGCACTCGCCAGTGCCCGGCAGCAGAACCACCACCCCCTTGAGCAGCTCCCTGTCTGCCTGGGTGATGGGGAGCGCCGCAGCGGAGAGTGGCGGCGCCATGCCCTCATCGTCATCACCGAAATGGACGAACTGGAAAACGCACGACTGGCTCTCGCGCGGCAGGAACGCCGCACCGGGGCTGATGAAGGTGCCCTCGTGAACCCGTATTGGGTGTGGAGACCCGAGCGAGAAGAGTGTTGCGTCGACGGGGTGGATTCTGGAGTATTGGACGTGGATCTGCTGGTGCTCGGTGTCGCACGACGAGAGGGCCAGTGACCGACAGGCCTCGAAGCTCCTCTCGCAACCAACACCCTCTGCACACACCATGTTACACAGAGAGCGCACATAGCAGAGCACACAGCCGAGGTGTGAGCCTGGGACGTTCACCGCTCCCTCTTCCGTACCGTGCATCAGCTGTGCTGTGGGCACTATCTTCCCCAGCAACCAGAGCACCCAGGAGAAAACGTCGTCAAACAGGGCCAGCAGGAAGCTGCAAATGTGCAGCGCCGTGCCTGCCATCATTGACCCTGCCATCATTCACATTGGCCGCTCACAACTGGTGAAGAGTTGGGCAGCGGTTTTACAGCACAGCACCCTAAGGTTAGGTTGGAGGATCACAACCCTAAACCCTGATGGGCGTAACGGCATGTCGGCGTTGACGCTCGGTGACTTTCATTAGACGTCACGCTCGTCAGCAGACCACCTAAGCCTCGGCGGTGCCATCTAGCGGCTCCGTGTCCTACGGTGCCTTACACTGCCCTTCCTCACTCGGTGCCTGCAAAGAGAACGGCCATATCTCCCTTCGTGGCTGCTCAGATGGTGGTGCTGTCCCTCGCACGAGCCGCCCTTGTGCTTTTCTCTGCGGCGGCCGTCGAAGCCGCACTTAACGACATCAGATATGGTGCTGACACTCACTGGGAGGCGGGGAGGGAGGGGCTTTGCAACGGGTGGTGATGGTTCGTTGTGTTTGTTGTTTGTTTGTTTGCTGCTGCTTGCAGGGCGGCACAACGTGACGGGCACGGTGACGTCTGGCGAGCCGTTTGCTCCGACCTACTACAAGAAGAGCGGCATCATGTGCGCCAGGGTGAATTTCGAGCAGGCCTTCCAGGACCAGGTGGACCGGGTCAAGATCGTATTCACCACCACGCACTTCGGCAAAAGCGCCACACGGCCGTCGGACCATGGTCAGCCACCCAAGCCAAGCCAAGCCACACACACCACCGAGCAGACACCACACAGACAGACACAGACGCCATGTGTGTGTGATAAACGATGTGCAGACGCGAGCAGTGCGTGGTTCGACATCGACTGGTCGACCAACCCCACTGGCCGCTTCGACGTCTGCATCAACGACAACACCACACACGTCCGCCCTGGCGAACACCACATCCACGACAACCTGCACGTCGACTACATCGCCTTCGAGGGCGACTCACCCTTCGCTGGCGCGCAGGGGGGCCGCACTCGGTTCCCCTCTGACCCGAAGAAGCGGACCTTCCAGGGGCAGCACTGCGAGTGGGTCAAATTCGAGCCGGCCTTCCATACCGCGCCTTTGTTCTTCCCCTCGGTTGAGCATCTGCCAGTGGGCAAGAACCCCTTCAACCACTCGGACAGTGCCTGGGCGGAGGCCGTCTTCAAGGATCAGGCGCTGGTACGGATGAAGGAGACCACACACAGACACAGAACGCAACGCGTCAATCCTTGTGTGTGCGGACTGGTCTTTTTCTTGTCTGTCTGTCTGTCTGTCTGTGTTGCGCAGGTGTGTGTGGGTGACGCGCCGGTGTTCGGCGACACTGGCCACTACCCCGTGCACGTCAACTGGATGGCACTCGAGCCCTCAGAGGGCCCCCCCGGCTCCCAGGCGGGCTCAGACAAGATCTCCCTCAACCAGGACAACCACCGCTCCCGCAGTGTTCGCGGCGGCAGCAAGGACAAGTCGGCCTTTAACAAGAACGGCTGCACCGACATCATGTTCGCTCAGCGCTTCCTGACGGTGCCACACGTGCTGGCCTCGGCGGGCCACAATGGCAGCGACAAGGAGGCCATGGCCATAACCGAGGGCGACGGCGACATGCATGAGGCCAGGGCCATAACCACGTGGGTCGAGCAGATCAGCGAGAGCGGCTTCCGCGTGTGCGCGGCGGAGATGTGGTACTCGATGGGCGGCAAGGAGGAAGAAGTCTATGTCGACTGGATCGCTTTCGATGACACCTTCCTCAACGACAAGCAGCACATTCAGTGAGCGCCCCTGTGCTCCAACACACACACACACACGGTCGCCCCTCATGTGTGTGTTGTGTTGTGTGTGTCTTGGGTGTGTGTGTGTGTGTGTGCAGGGCGCGTCAGACGGTGACGGGTGTTGTGAAGCTCAAGATATCTAAGGAAGAGCTCTCAGAGGAGGACGAGCGCCAGCAGACCGAATTCCTCTCACAACTCAGAGACGTGCTGGCCGAGAGCACCGGTCAGCCAATACGCAAACACAGATCATCTTGACACGAACCACACTCCCGTATGCTGTGTGTGTGTGTTGGTTGTCCACCAGGAGTGAGTGTGGACCGTGTGGCGGCAGCTCGTGTTGGGCGTAAGGGCAGCTCCTACATCGCCAATGTGGCAGTGGGCCCTGCCAACCTGCAGACCGACGGCGATTCTCAAACCGCCCCTGCGCCAGAGGAGGTGCTTCAAGCCTTCAACGAACAGGTGCGCAGGCACACAGGCCATCCATCCATCCATCCATCCATCACACACACGTGTGTGTGGTGTGTGGTGTGGCTATGTGTGGGTTGCCATGCCAGGTCGAGGCAGACCACAGCAGCTTCAAGGAGAGCGACTTCTTCAAGACGTACGTCAAGGACGGCCGCAACATCCGGATGGACTTCTCCTCCGACTGCCTGGTCACGCCATGGCGAACTATTGAGGAGTGCACCCAGGAGACCTGTGGCGGAGACGGTACGTACCATATGGGAGAGAAGACTTCATTCTGGTGACAGCGGATGGATTTGATTTGCGTGTTGGGTGTGGTGTATCTATCTGGTCAGGTGGGCGTATGCAGCAGGTGCGTCACATTATCCGGCGAGAGATCAACGGCGGCGCCGCGTGCCCGGCGCTCATGCGCTTCATGCGCTGCAACGCAGAGCCATGCAGCCTCGCCCCGCAACCTGGTAATTAACCAAGAGCCCCGCCCCCGAAACAAACACACAAGCGTCGCATATATGTCCTTTCTTTGGCTGTCGATTCAGATGCGCGTGATCCTAAGGCGATTGTCGCGACGTCGAGTGGCGCCCCAGCAGGCGGCCCGGCGGCGCTGTCCTGCCCCGACTCGCCCCGCCACATCGCGACGAGCGAGTGGGTGCTGGTCGTCATGATCCCCATCATCATCTTGCTTTGTGGAGGGCTCACCATGTGCATGTGCGCGCGGCACTGCCGGCGGTCGGCTGCCCAGGACATGGACGAGAAGCAGGCGCGCAACGTGTTCGGCAAGAAGTCGTTTTATCGCCAACACGAGGACGACGTCGAGACGCCCCGTAAGGACGGCAAGACGGTCGACTATGACATCACCCATGCGGCGGCCAACCCCTACTCGCAGACAGAGCTACCGCCCGTGAAGCCCACACACGCGTAGACTGACTGACTGGGGTCGATCGGGTGCTGGCCGGGCCGGGTAGCTTTTCCTCTTTCAGTGCGTCTGTGTGTGTGTGTGTGTGTAAACAGGGTGGCTGGCTGCATGTATGCTGTTTATAGTGTTGATGGATGTCAATGTTTTAATTTTGATCCGTTTTGGGGGGGTGAGAGGGTGGGGGTGTTGTTGAGCAATTAATGGCATTTTCTGTGCGTGTGCAGGCAGAGGTGTACAGTACAGGTGGCCGGCCATCTGCAGGTGCCGCGCCTGTAATGGTTCATCTTACGGTGGGAGAAGGGGACGCTCTGTCTTGGATGTGTCGCGCACCGTATTCTGATCGCACATGTACTGAGACGCTCGCGATCGTAAGCAAGCAAGAGAGAGAACGTCGGATGCTATGCTGCCTATGCGCTGGATGCTCTGTTTCTCCGCTGTAATTCACCAAGACCATAACAAGACAGTGAAGGCGGTCGATGCTTCCTATGCGCTTTTCTGTTTTAACCCATCGCGCGTCCATCGACCCACACACATAGCCAGAGCATTCCACTCGACTGCTCTTACCGACGGACGTGCGCACACAAACGGCGCTTCTGTGTGTGTATGTATGTATGTGTATATGTATATGTGTGTATGTGTATATGTGTATGTGTACACAGAGGGGTGGCTGTACATACGTACGCGAGTACATGCACACACGCGTTGCATCCATCCATCTGTGGGACAGACACGCACACGTGTGGCTTTCTCGTTGACCGACCGTCTTGTTTATCATCACCTTACGGTTCCATGACCACCGACTGACTACCCATTGTGCTTGTCACTCCACCCACTGTCGTAGGATCACACACATGACGTGTGCAGCAATGTCTGTGATGTGCTGCCCACTCCTCTCTCCCCTCTCCTCTCTCCTCCCTCCTCTCCCTCCCCCTCTCTGACATGTGCCCCCGCCCCTCGTACGTCTGTCTTTTTGCCGGAGGGGGGTCAGTATGGGCACAGCGAGGTCAGTCAATTCATTCATCGGGCTCTGTCCAGGTTGCGCTGCAGGGGTGCATGTGCAGACGGGCAGGCTCGGTTTATTGTGCGTGCTGTGTATGTTGCGTGTGTATGTTGTGTGTGTGGATCTGTTGACAATGACCATATGCATGTGCCCCTTCGAAAGACGAGGGGGCCTGCAATCCATAGTAGCGGACATGAAACAGCTGACTGACTGACTGACTGATTGGCTGGCTGCCTGGCTGGCTGGCTGCCTGGCTGGCTGGCTGTGGCGCAGGGATGGGGAGGGCGACACACGTGTGCATGGACTGCAGACTCATTCACGAATTTCGAATGGTGGATCCATCATCATCGCTGTGATATTGACTGAAAATTCGCTGGCACCGGCAGTCATCCCCCTTCTGTTTTGTCGCATTCATCGAGGGAGATACGCAAACAACATCGATATCAAGCAACCAATGCCACTGCTTCCTTGCTCCATTGCCAAATCAGCAAGGCCGTCGCTCCATTGCCAGACAAACAGACAGGATCACTGCTAATACCTACGCCTGGTCATCTCGATTCATTTCTTGGCTCTGCCCAGCCGCGTGATGACCAGACCAGTGACCAGCGCACCCACACACACGCCCGCCACAGCAGCAGCAGGGTTCTCCTTGGCGGCATTGACGAGGCCGCACAAGGGATTGTCGCCCTTGCCTTCCTCCCTCTCTTTCAAGAGCTTGATGCCCTTGTAGAGGGCGACGATGATCTCGGCTTCTTTGATGCAGAACCGGGCTGACGGCGATATGTCGACCGTGCCGTCAGCCCCAACTGAGACACACATAACAGGTAGAGACACAGTGTGTATGCGACAGAGAGCCAGAGACATGTGCATGCGCACTCACTTGGTGTGTGTTCTCCGCCCATTCCCCTGACGGAGAGGCCCAACGGTTTGCAGACGGCCTTGGCCTTCTTGTCGGTGCCATCGGCCGTCAGGTTGGGCACCTTCAGATGAACAGACGCGCGCATCCCAGTGCCTGCGAAATGGCACACAGTCGCGTGAGGGCCATGCAGACTGCCGATTATTGTTGACCTTTCGTGTGTCGGCTCACCGAGGTTGGTTGGGCATGATGTGACGTATCCGAATGTTGGCGACTTGGCGAACTGGAGGCCGGGGATGGACTCGACGACGTCCAGTGCAGCCTTGAGGCGATCAAACACTTCATTGAGAAGGGTCCCCGTCTTCATACACATGATGCGCAGGTGATCCTCCTCCCCAACCTAAACAGAGAGGCACAGAGACATGAATGAGCACACCGCACATGTCAGTCAGCTCCCGTCTTTGTTAGTCGCACCGCACCCAAATGATGAAGCCCTTGTCGGCACTGACATAGCATCCTCGGCCGTGGGGCCAGTCGCTGCTGATGCCCGCCGTGGCCAAATAGGGGTCGTCAGCCATGTTCTTGAACATCAGATGCGACTTGACGAGATTCTGATACTCAGCATCACTGCACACAGCAGACTGATGGCCCCAATTGTGTGGCTACTGGCTCAATGTGCTGCTTACGAGATGTGGTCTTTATGTCCCGGCGTCAGCGAGTGGTATCGGCCGCCGTATTGGCTCATGGCGATGAGCTTGGCAAAGGCCTGGCACATCTTGGTCTCCATGTTGAGGCGGTCCTGTTTGGTCATGGCGCCTGGCAATGGGAAGTCCGCCAGGTTGCGGCCCACTCTGACGCGCATCGACAAAGGGGGCAGGCCGAGCAGCGACAGATCCAGCTTGCCGCCCGCAGGAATGCCCCGTACGCCAGCCAGGCTCCAGTCGTTGATGTGCACCTTGCCCTCCGGCACTCGGTGGTAATCGGCGATCACCTTGGAGAAGAAGGGCTTGAACCGGTCGTAATCCTCCGGCTGCAATATCGGAACAAAGCATTGGCCCACCACACCCTCGTTGTGTGATGCCTTGCCTCTGGTCAGCTGACCTGCATTGCGTAGCATCCCATGCCCGAGTCCTCGTTCTCGATGCCGCTGTTGCACACCGTCAGCAGACTGCCTTTCATGCTGTCGCTGAGGCCATCGAAGTATCCGAAATCGAAGTGTTTTGCCATCAAGTTGTTGGGGTACAGGACCTTGATGCTCATTAGGCGCTTGAGCTTGTCACCATAGCGACTGTCCTTCAAATACTTCTCCAGCAGTTCCTTTCGTGGTAGCTGGGGGCCTTCGTCACCGGACGGGAGGAGGCTGCTCAACGCCTTCAACATCGTGCAGACGGGGATCGTTGTAGAAGAAGGGATGCGTGAGGAACGTGAACTTCTTCAAGTTTCGGCGGATCGTTGGGTGGGAGGTGGGGCCTCGGGGAAGACGCCCCCCGTCTTAAAACGGACGAACTTCAACTTGCTATTAGTTCGTCCGATTCAAAGATGGCCGCTCCCACTGACGCTCCTGGAGCTGACAATGTGACTGGACCTTCGAACGACACCATCCCCGACCTTATCATCATCCCGCCGTACGCACCCGGCTGTACGTGGAAAGATCTGGCATCGGTCTTATTTCCGTGTGTCTGCAGCGTAGCTCCTGCACCCGCGGTGCCGGACTCATTCTTCGAGAGCTGTCCAGTGTCTGAGTGCCGAGTCAGGGGCTCTGTTGGCCTGCCCTTCTGCCACATCCACGTCGACGGTACTTGTGGCACTGCGTGGAAGAGAGAAACCATCACAGTGCAAATCTGATGCATTACAGGTCGGTACCACTTTCGCCAGTCGTGCAGCCTTGTGCATGCCGACGGGTCATTGGTCGTGTACACTCCGCAGACTCTCTCGTTCGTGGACGTGTCCAATGACCTCGAGACACTCCTCATCAGCCCTCTGCTGCCACCACCATTCGAGCAGGCGGACTCGATCAGCAATGCGACAGTCAGCGACGCACGGACACAATGTACAGAGCATCGCGCACTTAAGTTGCTTGCCTTCTGCTCATTTGCAGAACGCGACCGTTGCTCCTGTCCCGCCGCCGACTGACGGGGGTGATGGAAGTAGTGACGATGATGATGAGTCGCTTGACGGCGTGTGTGACGAGTGCTGGCTCACACCTACCGCTTTGACGAAGGCCCTGCCAGAGGGAGGATACGCAACGCTCAACGGATCGCTGTGCAGGTCGAGACACGCAAGCGGAACACTCAAACGGTCTCATCTTGCTTGTCTGTCTCTGTGCATTCAGGTGTCGTCGTTACCAGCCGCAGAAAGCCGGACTGGGTGAGTTCTGCGACCTCTCCATCCAGTGTGCAGAGGGTTCTTGCGCGCTGCCCTGCGACGCTTACCTCACTCAAATCGACTGCGACGCCGCACCATTCGGCTGTGTGTGGGACGATGCGACTAAGACCTGCGGCCGCCGGCCTTTCCCATCGTCTGATGAGGCATACACGCCCGGCAACATCACCACAAGCGTCATGCTGCCGATCACCCGCATCCCGCGGCCACCTGAGCTCTTCTCCCTGCCTTTCGACGCGCCGAGTTATGGCTGCCCTTGCTGGGGAGTACAGCCTTGCGAGAATCAAGAGACAATGCAGTGCCAGGCAATTACGTAAGACCAATGAAGATTACTTCGTTAACCGCGTGTACAACTGATGTCGCTCTGCCTTGGCTGTGCATGTGCAGCTCTCTTGGTCGCTGCCCGTCAGGCACGCGGCTGTGTGCTGCGTCAGAAGACCGCATTGTCCACGCTCCAGCCGTGTCTCCAAGATGCATGCTCATGAGGAAAGTCCACCAGCCCTGCAAGTGAGCTGACGCTGGCGCTCGATCGATGCACCACGGACTGGGAATGTGTAGGTCCGACGCTGACTGCGCGTTTGGGAGTCGGCAGTGCAGGAATCGGCTCTGTCAGCCCCTGCCATGGACTGTTCGATGCAGGACAGACTTTGACTGCGATCCGGTGAGACCCCATGGAGACCTTCTTGTGCTTGTGGTAGAGATGGACACCCATTTGTGCGATGCAGCTGCACTCGTTCTGTCATCCAACCTTTTCGTGCCTTCATTTGGGCAAAGAGGTAAAAGACTGATTGCTCTGACAAGTCTTAGGCATGGCCATATGGTTGTGTCTCTGTCTCAGGGCGAGCGGTGTTTGGAAGACCGCGAGTGCGTCCACTCGCTCCGCTGCAACATGGCGGAAGCGTCAGACATGGACCCGGAAGGAAGATGCAGACCGCTTTTCGGTCTGCGTCTCGGCACGCCTTCGTCACAGCCGTTTTTGTGTGTGGAAGGATGGTTGGACACAAACGGCAAGTGCGCACAAGCGGCCAGATCCAAACAGGTGCACGGATGAAGAGAGACAAGCGCGGAGACACATCTCGTATGGCACATGGTTGTACCTGTATGTGTGTTCGCTAGGTGGGTCGTGGTTGCAACAATGACGATACTCAATGCCTCACATCCGACCCATTTGGACAGAAGGCTGAGTGCCGCTGCAAAGTAAGACAGACGCCGAGGCGGGTAGGTATAGACCATGTCTCGTCCGTCATTCCATTGTCAGTCCTGGTGGGACCCAAGTGCGCCTGGGCCGATAGGCGGCAGCAGCCGATACTGCCATCCGCTGATTGGAGATTACAGCGACAGGGCAGCCAAGCTGAAGACATGGCTCGAATTCAGAGCTAGCAGATGCGGCACGTCCCACATACAGAAATGAACACAATTGATGGACAAACAGAGAGACACGTGGCATGTCTCTCTCTGTGTGTAGGGTATGCGTGGTCCGACGCCGAGTGCGCTGCCTTCGCAGGCAGCGATGGGCCTCGGCTGCTGTTCAGTCTGTTGTGTGAGGAGCAGCAGCTGTCGGGCGGGCCGTACCTTCCGCAGCCAGAGTGCGACCTGCCCTTGGACAACCCTGTTGCCACGAGGACAAACGCATTCTATGGCCGAGAGACGGACACTGAGTAAGAATGAGCGAACACTAGACCCATTTCCGTGCCCAGTGGTCATTTCCCTGTGTGGGGTTGGTCGTTTTGTATCAGGTTGCATGATTACTGCGATTTGTATGCTCACGCGGTGAGAAGCGGCGCGGAGCATTCCGTGCCACAGATGTCGATAGTGCATGTTGTGGTTGTGGGGGTGTGGCTGATGCGGTGGCTGCGCAGAGCGCTTGCACATGCACATGGATAGATTAAAAGAAAACCGTCTGTTGGGTGTCTGTGGGGGTGAATGAGTCTTCCTCTACTCGTCACTCAAGTGCGTCCATTGCCTGTCACTACGCGCACTCACTCTCTCAGATGCGCAGCTGGATGGTCTGTCTGTTGCGGCGCCACTACATGCATCTGCATCCTTCTCACAGGGGACGCCAACACGAAAAGCAAGTCGAAAAAAGCACTACGCACGCACGATCGATGGTCGTTGGCTGCACGTCTGTCTGGAAGCAAGAAAAATGACTGTTCTCGATGGCGGCTGGCTGCTGAGATCGATTGATCCAAGGGAAAATATTGTATACACGTGTGTGTGAGGATGCTATGCTATGCATGCATATGTTATGCCTTGTGAGAACAAAGAAGAATAACAACTGTACAACAGAGGAGCTGAGAGGCCCCCTGTGTCCAAAGACATTCACGCAATAGAGAGCTCATGGTGTAGGCCCCCAATCTGTCTGTCTGTCTGCCCGTCTGTCGGTCTTTCTGTCTCGGGTTGTTAGTTAACAACATACATTCACAAATCAATCAACAGGTGAGACTGAATTGACTGACAGGAAGGTAGGGAGGAGGAAAAGACACCGACGTCCCGTCTGGACGACATCCCCCCTGCCCACTCCCCCACATGTGCACGCACAGCCGCAGCCATAATACACTCCTGCCCCTGCCACCCCCTCTCTCGCCCTCTCCCACGTGACGTCTCTTCCCTCTATGCAATATGTATACACGCACGCGTCCGCCCGTATGCATTCCCCGAGCAAGAAGACCGAAAACGGGCTCTGTAGAGAACCCTGTGCTCGGAATCGGATACATACAGTCGGTCAGATTGAGTGAGCATGTGACGGTTCGCAGTCAGTGTAGCAGTCAGATCCTCCACCCACTCCATTCCGTTGCATTCCATCAACACACAGTCAGTCACAGCTATGGTACACCCACGCCAGGCCACACCACATCACGCCACACGCTGCGCCACGACTGCCCCCCATCCCCTCTGTCTGCCTGTCTAGATGTATCTCAGCGTGGTGGTCGTGGTCTCATTCCTCCGCCTCTCTTGCCCCTCGTCCGTCGCTTCTTGCCCGAACCATCTGTGGTGCCGGTGCGGTGGTGGGCCGGGGGGGTTGATCTGGAAGGCTCGTTGCCACGCCTCTCGAAAAACCTTTGACAGGCCCGGCTGCTCGTCGTCTTCTCGCCGTGGGAAGGGCCAGTGGGGCCACTTGGGTTCAGGCCGCGTTTCTCGCCACCTCTTGACCATGTCCTGTGCGTCCCTGTTGCCCTGCGCATACATGTCCCTCAGCTCCTCCGGATCGAAGTCTGGACGAATGGGCACACCAACCGATTGCAGACGTAGGCGTCTGATTTTTGGTGTCATTCGTGTGACAGACTGACCGAGTGAGTTGCCCGGGAAAGATGCGTTGGGGTAGATGAGGAAGCGGAAGGAAGCGTTGGGGAAAGTGGTGGTCGCTCTCTCCAGCATACGCACTGCGCCTGAATATGGAGGTCAACATTGATATATGCAGGAAGGGGCCGATAGTCGGCCTGCGTGCCTTGGTTCTCTCTCTTACTGTTGAAGTTTCTGATAGCTTCTGCCCTGAGGAGCACCCTGATGGTGTTCTCGTTAGACACGTTCCGGATCGGCTGGTGAGCTGCTGAACACAATCGTCAAGATGCAGCCATAATTATAATGCGTGTTCGTACGTAGGTCTGTTGTGCGTCTGTCGTACCAGGCGAGCACAGTATGATGTCAATAATGACGTCTCGTTCTCGCTTGGCCTGAAAAGGGCAGCACAACATTCCCGTCACCTTCAGCTCAATGCACGGTTTCCCTACTGATTGATTCAGTGACTCACCCCTCCGTCCATGAGGCATCTCCCGATGGCGGCCTCGATGTTCAGGTCCGCAAGAATGCCGCCATCGTTGTACGCCACACCGTCTATCGTCAGGGGAGGAAAGATCCCCGGCAAAGCCGCACTAGCGGAAACCGCGCTGATCAGCTTCGAGAGGGGCTCCGTCTCGTTCCACGTCTTGAGCGTCGCGAAGGTCATGTCAGTGGCAGCTGACATGGCCATGACAGACAAAAGATATCACATGTGGCTGTGTTGATTCACTGTTGACACTCACTTATCAGCAACTTTCGGTCCTTCTTTTCGAAGTCGGCGAAGATTCGGTGCAGGTGGGTCTGCAGGGGGCTGCTGTCGTAGAGAGAAGGCTTGAACAGCAGCCCCTGCGGCAATCCGAAGGGCCAGTTCCGATAGACGTACTCCTTGCGAATGGACATCCACGTTCTCTCGAGAAACGACGCCCACTCAGCCTCGTCGCCGACCCTTTCAAGACACACACAAACACACATACATACACAGACAGGTGAATGAGCTTCTTCCTGTTGGTGTCGTCCCCTGTGCACACGCCGCTAACTTGTAGTGGAGTGAGGGCATCGCATTGAGGGCACCGACAGACACGCCAGAGACGACCTTCCACGCCCTCTCTGCCTCATCAAGCGACTCAACCAGCCCCTTGATGGCACCAGCCTCGTACGCACCCTTGTCACCACCTGCACAGCAGCACAACAGGCAGTATGAGAACGCCCCTCCCTCCACTCTGTCTTCTTATCGTGACCCACCTCCACTCAGAATGAGCGCGTGGCACTTCCTCGCGAGAGATCGCCACGCGTAGCAGCTGGCCAGCACGCACAGCAGACTGAGTGTCCTCCAGGACCGCCAGAGCCTCAGATAAGGCCGATGCATCAGTCAGTCAGTCTTGGAAAGTCTGGAGGCCAAACTCGCACGACGTCCGGGCCGCCCCTGGTTGCTTCCTTCGTCTCAAGACCAAGATCCAAGCGGGGGGAAAGAACACGGGAAAGAAGGGGAGAGGAGATTCGAATGGTCAGGGTAGGGTTTGCAAGCTAAGGTCCAGGGTTTCTCCGTTCGCCCCCTCCTCTCGGCTGCGAGGGGGTACCTGCACTGCCGTGTATTGGCTTCTCCGTCCCTCGGGAACTGAAAGTCGTCTGCCACTCGGGTTTCGTGCAGCGCAAGACGCACCCATCGCCTTGCCCCATTGCAATGGCAGCAGCTGCTGGTGGCGGGGGGCCACCATCGGTGAGTGAGGCACGGAATCGGCTGGCTACTTGCACAGTCTGCACCTCTAATTGGCGGCGCCAGTGCTGTATGCCATTCGGGTGTGTTGCAGGGCGACGCAGATGGCGGTGCGGGAAATGGCGAGGGCAATGGGGCTCAGACTGAGGTGGACCGCCTCCTGCAGCAAATACAGACACTGCAGAACCGCGTCGAGTCAGTTGCGCCGGGAGGGAAGCCAGAGGGACCGATGGGTGTGATTGTGGATGTCTTCTGTGCATGCAGCGAGTTGACGGGGCACAATCAGACGCTCGAGCAGCAGCAGAAGGAGTTCGAAAAGAGGCTGGAGAAAGGTCACATCTGAGAAGAGACAGAGCAATCGACCTGTCCCAGAGCTATGAACGTGTCTCCTCTCAGCCCTGTGCCCCCTTTCACCCTTGCAGAGATGGAGAAGATGGGCCAGCGGATGCAGCAGAAGGACAAGGAAGTGCGGGAGGCCAACGAGCGGTGCGGACTGCTCCAGGAGCGGCTCGCCTTGTGCGAGAAACAATACAAAGACGCCACCGGTACACATAAGTCCATCTGTCACCTGTCCATACGTCGCACCTTGCGTCCGCTGGCTTCAGGCCGCGATCCCTCCTACAAGGGCGAAGAGGCGGAGCGTGACGAGGCGGGGGAGCCCGTTACTCCCCTCCGTCGTGCGCAGAATGAGATGGGCCGCATGCGGGAGGTGATAGCCAAGCAGCGCAGCGTCATCGAGGAGATCGAGCAGGAGATGGACAAGCTCAGGAGTGACAGGGAAAAGTATCGGAGAGGCGAGACACTCATGTCGCAAAGGCTGAGCAAGGCGAAGGCCGAGCTGAAGACGAAAGACACGGTAAGCGAGCAGGCCCGGCACAGCGGGGCATTGCATTGATGGCACTGTGTCTCTTCAACCAACGACATACATTCCAGGAGCTGGGTCAGGCCCACCGCTCGCTGATGGTAGTGGAGCAAAAAGGCCGGGAGTACCAGGAGAAGCTGAACGAAATGATGGGCTACGTCAAGTTCACAGGCCTCTACTCCCCCCAGTCCCGCTCACGCCAGCGGGCGAGGGAGGCCCGTGCCCGCTTCATGCCCCAAGACTCCGTGGAGGAGGTCGATCTCAACGTCGAGGAAGAAGAGGAATCAGAGGAATCAGAGGAAAGCAAAGCTGAGAAAGCGGCACCGGCAGCAGGACCTGGAAGGTGTCAGTCTCCCTGAGAGTGAGGTATCTGATATCCCGTCGGAGGGCAAGATGGAGGAGGATGAGAGGAGGGAGGCGGAGCGTGCTATGCAGAGGGAACTGGAGAGGCTGGAGGCCCAGCGGGAGGCCCTTGCTGCGCCAGCACCAGCGACAGCGCCAGCACCAGCACGAGAAGAGGGGGAGAGGAAAGCGCTCGCTGCAGTTGAAGCGCAGACGCTGATGGCAGTCCGGCAGCCGCCAGCTGAGCGTACGCAAGAAGGAAGATAGGCCGCTATCCATTGTCAGAAAGGTCTATCACTCTCCTTTCAGGTCGCGATCTGCGCAGCACGTCCGTGAGTCTCCCTGTGAAGCGCACAGGGCGTTTCAGGGACCGCCGTATCATCAGCCCGCGGTGTCTCCCGCCAGCACCGAGCCGGAGAACACTCCCTGACCCTATGACAGGCCTCCTTCGGCCCTTCTCATTCAGAGCACCCAGACTCACGTCAGAAGGCCAATGACATCCACACGCGCATTGATGCAGGTTGACGGCTGGTGTGTCATATGTTGTGTCTCCGCCCAGGCTGCGGGCACCATCTGTGCCGCTGCGTGCTGAGGAGCGGTCGGTGCGTCGCCAGATCACTTCAGTGGAAGAGCCGAGACGGTATCACGCCCCCATGGTCGTTCCGGCTGCCAAGACGACGATGCGGCCCATGACTGGGCCGCCCAAGAGGGCCCCCATCCGGCTGACATTCTCGCCCTTCGACAGTCCTCTGACGTACACGCCCTCGCTAGGCTACACGCCACGGCGGCCAATGCCGGCGATGGCGGCGATGGCGCCTTCCTGGGTATCGTCTCCGCGGTATCAGACCCGCCCGCCCCCTGTGTATGCTCCGCCGAGGTATCCGGTGTCGCCGCTGGTCGCACCGGCCGTTTCGCGAGGCACGAGTGCTCAGCACCGACCGTCATTCTTGTCGACGGTTGCCCGCAGCATATCGGCGGGCAGCTCTTGTCTGCGAGGGTTGGTGTCTCCCAGGGTGAGGCCAGGCAGCCCTTGTGGTAGCAAGGCTAGTGGATAGATAGAGAGAAGAGTGAGGCAGGCGTGACTGAATTCGGTCGTGCGCGTGTGTGTGTGCGTGTGTCAAGTGGGCTGGGCGTGTGTAGAATAAATAGCATAGAGAGAAGGGTGTATGGCAGGCAGGTGTGGCTGTGAGAATTTGTGTCTGTGTGTGTGCTTTGGGACTTGCGGACTGTGATGGTCTGCATGCGTCGCTTTGGCACTCCACATCAAGTGTTGCTTTGATCGACTGTGTTGATTGACGCCACATCGAGAGTCTGCTCACGCAAGTGTCCTGATCCCACCACCGGTCGTCCGCGTGCATCTACACGTCAACCACGACCACTTTGCCGTCTCTGCCCGCTGAGCGGCTCCATTCTCTGACCCGCCCGCAGCAGGCGGGTCACCGCATGGAACTGCGGGGCGAGCCAAAGACAAGGTTGCGGGAGTTGAGGTCAAGACACGCTCCTAGAGGATATCCATGCAGCCATTCATCGATCCACGGCATCCATCACAAAGAGACCCGCCACAGACACGGTGACGCACACCACACAGACAGGCTGCCAAGAGAGCAACATCCGTGTGTGCGCATCACGCACTGCCCGATTGAGCTGCCTACCAGCAGAGAGACCTCCACTCACTGGCTAATTGACTCTCTACCGTACCGCTGCCCTCGGCACACAAAAGAGGCACACCGACACATCCACACACCGACCCCGCCACCATACACTACACACCATCCCCTCTCTCCCTCTCTCCCTCCTCCCAGCACCCAGTCAGCCGACCTCATGCGTCACAACACATCAGACACACAGCCAGCCACTCAGCCAGACGCTCAGCCAGACGAGACGCTGTTGAAAAGGGTACATAGGGACATGAACAGGGGCGAAAAAAGTTAGTTGTCCGCAGCAAGCAACCAAGGGTGTGCACAGCCAGCCACTCGGCATCGGACAGCTCCGCTCGTGTGTCCGTACGATGGATGCTCTCTACTGACACATGAGAGGTGGAGAGGGGGTGGGGAAGGTGAAAACGAACAGACTGCCATCCCATCCACCACACACAACTGCCGCTTCAAAAACTGCAGAGAGGAAGGGACGCACAGCAGCAGAGCAGCACGCATGGAAACTTTTTTTGCGAGCGCACGTCAGTGCGTCCCCCTCCCCCCTCTGCTGTCCTGACTGTAATCTGTCTCACTCACTCTGGTGACAAGTGTCTGTCGTGAGGGCCACCGGGTGCGCTTCACACGCCGCCCATGGGCCAGATGACTTCCATGAGGGCCGGGTAGATGAAGAAGGGCATGCTGTGCGCTATTATCTGCATGTAGGGCGACAGGTAGTCGTATTTGGGGTCAACCTGAACGATGGATGATGGATGGATGGATGGATGACACAAACAACACAGAACAGATGTGTGTATAATCCGTTCCTTCCCTCTCTCTCTCTCTCTCTCTCTCCTTGGTGCTTACGCATTTGCGGTGCTCGGGGATGCGCGGCAGGCAAATCTTCATCTTGCCCTCGCTGTGGTGCGGCTGACACACACACACACACACACACACACCAAGCAGACGACATACACACGTGGCGCTTCCCTCCTCTTGCGCGTGCACCCGTCGAGTCTCTCTCCCTCCCTGCACCCACCTCCAGCCATGGCTCTAGGTGGTGCGGTGCATACTCCTGCGCAGCTACCAACTCCGTGTCGACTGTTGGGAGATTGCCATGACGACACACAGTACTCAGTGAACGATTGGGTGCAGCTGTTGAGTGCCTACCCTACCCGGCTCCTTGGTATTCAACGACGCCTTGACCAAACCCGCCTCGTAGGTACCCTCAGCATGTGTCTATGGCATGGCCAGCACACACAGGAAGCAAGCATCTGTGTCGGTGCCTGCGATAGCTATAGTGCTTTTCCAGTCCAACAGGCTGGTCCGTTCGCTCATACCTACCTTGTCCACCTGCACGCACACACACACACACACAGACACACACACATCCCAACCCAGCTCTCGGTGCTCTCCCCCGCGTCCCTCCCTTGCTGCCTGCCCTTGCCTTGCCTTCCCTCCACCCACCCACGTACCGTCGAGAAGATGCGATTGGCGCAGTAAGCTGGCTTGGAGTTCCCCCACGGCTGCTGAAACCCGTTGTATCCCATCTTCCCTCCAACCCGTCGCAAGCCCGCTCCCAGGGCTCTCGACATCCTCGCCGGAGTCAGAACGCTTCGCTGGTACACTGACATGACAACACGCACAGAGAGGGACAGTGGGACAATGGCACGCAGGCAGGCAAACGGACAGAGAGGCGCGTGCGTGTGTGGGTCCTTACCCACACAGGTGCCTCCTCCTCGGTTCAGTTTTCTAAGCTCGCAACCCGAAACCCTTTAACCCCAGCCCGCCTCTGTTCCACAAAGTGATCTTTTTTCCCTTTCTTTCAAGTTCCTCCTTCCTTCCCGGAGCTCAACTGACTTAAGGCGGCGGCGGCCGCCCTCACCGCCGGCAGTCTTTCGAAAGCCCCACCACGGGCGGCCCCACCACGAAGCCCCTGGCTCGTCTTCTCTGCCCTCCTTCCCTCAAGGAGCACCAAACAGCTCTCTTCAGCCTAGTGATTCGCTCTCTCTGTTGCTCTACTTTTATCGATGATTGGTGGTCGGGCCGGTTTGTCGAAGAGTGAGGAGACGGCTGGAGGGGCCGCTCATGACAACACACAGGCAGCAGGGCCACAGGCAAAAGGACTCAGGTTCCCAGGTGCGCAATCACCAGGTCCTGGCTGGATTGCCCGGCTGTCCTGAATGTTTTGTGCTGTCACCGTGTTGCGCAGACATCCATGGCCGCGCCAGTGCCATCGCCGGCAAGGCTGACAACACTAAGGAGGAGAAGGACAAGACCACCGCCGGCAGCCAGGCGGTGTCTGGCCAGACGGTGAGCAGCATCAAGAGCAACCCTCAGTCCGGCCATTCGCCCAGCCAGAGCCACACAGTGTCGCCGCCCCAGTCGATGGGCCCCAAGAGCGTCTACAGCGAGCGGATGCGGGTCATTGCCATGCTCGACTACCTCAAGGCCAAACTCAAGGGCATGGGCTGCAACGCTGACGGGCCAACCGTGTGCTTCAACTTTGCAGAACTGGTGTGTGTGATTGGATTCTGAACGGGACACTTGTCTGGGCATCCAGTCGCTTGTTGGTGTCTTGTTGTTTGTGTGCAGTGTCGGGAGTATCTGTTTCGAATGCAGGAGCTGACGGCGGGAGAGAACACCGACAGTATGCCGGTGAGGAAATGAGAGAGTCACGGCGGTGTCACCACCTGCATGGTGTTGTGTTGATGCTGCTGTTGTCGTGTTCAGAGCGGGGAGCCTCTCCGTGAGTACCTGGAGGCGTTCAACTTCGGCAGAGTTTCTGGCAGAGTGAGACACACTGTGTTGTGTGGCTGACGTGCCGTCGGTATCTTGTCTGTTGATGGATCATTCGTGAATGCAGCTGATGGTGTTTCTGCGCCGCTACCACATTCACCAGGAAGACGTGCAGGCCGTCATGGTCACCACTCTCTGCTATATCAAATCCATGGAGACTCCCACACTACTCGTACGTGAGACATACATACACAGACGCGTCAGTGGACCCTCTCTCTCTCTCTCTGTGTGTGTGTGTGTGTGTGTGTGTGTGTCGCAGCCGCTGTTGAAGCAGATGGTGCTGTGGTTCGACGCCAACAACGTGGTGTACTTCCTCTCCTTCCTCGCCCACATTTTCGTCCTCGACGACACTGGTCGGTCAGGACAGACACCATCCCTCCCTAGCTCCCTGCCTCACTCTCCATCTGTGTGTGTGTGGGGTCAGTGCCGCTCAAGTATTGGGGGGAGATTCTCGGAGAAGGCGTGGCAAAGTAGGCACCTGAGGATGGCACATGATGGACAGGCACGGGCGTTTGGGACTTTGTGGCTGGTCTGTCTGTCTGTCTGCCTGTGTGTGACGTGACAGGGGCACCAACGTCAATAAATGTGTGCGCAACCTGCTCAAGATGCGCAAATACAGACTCGATGTCGACCGGGTCAGCGATGAGAGGAGGGGGTGGATGCGCTGCGCTCTTCCCACACATGAACTCTTCCCTTTGCTCTGTCCACGTATGGATTTTGTTGTCAGGCGACCTTTGACGGCATCCACAAGCAGCTGCAGAACAAACCACAGATTCTCCTCCAATCCTGACTGACCCTCACGACCCTCACCATTTCAACCAGGGCCGCCGCCGCCGCTCTGTCTCTGTCCCTCTCTGTTTCTCTTTCGCACCCGTTTAGGTGTGTGTGTGTGTCTCGCATCCCTATCTCATCTACCTATGCCTATATTCCATCCATCCATCCATCGCCCGTGTGTGTAGGCCATGGGCGATGCGCAGTTGATTTGATTGATGCCCACAGGGGGGGCACAGACAGACAGACAGGCATGCAGGGAGACTGTCGGAGACAGACAGGGAGAAAGGACCAACACAGTATCCGGCGTACACGTGTGTTGTGTGTATGCGTCTTTTTCGTGAATGAATGGATGGATGGAGGGCAGGGAGGGAAAGGGTGATATTCGTCGGACTCAACGCCATGAATGCTTAGCTCAATCGATCCACAAGCAAGTCGACCGCCATGCACTCAACCAACCAACCAGCCACAAGCGCAGCAAAATCCCCCAATCATCACCGTCACTCATACATAACTCATGCCATCTTCTCGTGTACACTCCTCTCTCTCTTTTCCGGCGACCGTGACCTCGACCGACCATCCCCCGGAGACACCACCGGATCATCGTCAGCAGGCCTCGCCAGCCACCCCCCTCCCTCCGGCCGTGGTCCCGCCTTGACCCGCGCAACAGACACTGGCGAGTCGTCCATTCCAGAAAACATCGAGTGGAACGTCTCCAGTCTATCAGTCGACCGTCGTTCGTCCACTGCCGCGCTCACGAACGCGAAGCTTCTTTCTCCTGGGTGGGATCTGGTGCTGGCGCTGCCGAGCATTGGAGGCGCGGGGGCGCCGTGAGACGTTTCGGCCTCCTTCAAGAAGCGGGCTATCGCGGCCGCATCGTCTTCAACGTGGTCGTCGACTCGCCCCTCGCCGCCCGGCGTCTGTCTCAGGGTGGATACTGCTGTCCGCTGCCACTCTTCCGTCGGGTGCTCGTCGTATGGCGTGAAGACGAGGGCGTCTCCCTTGGTGACGGCGAGACGCGACATCTGAGGTGGGGTGACGCCCATACAACGTCATGCACCACTGTGTGTTTGCGTCTGTGAATGTGCGTGTGCGTGTGCGTGTGCCGACCTGCAGAGTGAGCTGCAGCATTTGGGGGCTGAGTGTCCTGGCGGCATAGATGTAGTGCTTGAGGCAGTCGAAGGCCTGGCTGAGACGTCGCGTGAGGACCGATCGCAGGGTGGACCGCAGCAGAAGGGTACCCACCTCTCTGACATTCATCGAGCGAGGCCCAAGAATACATTTAGATGCTTGGGCTTCCCTCCCGAGTTACTTTCTGTAGGTGATTTCCTGCAGCTTCAGCGCTGTGCGTCGCTTTTGCTGCACCACCCGCCCGACGGCCGTCCGCAGTCGCTCCTCAGACATGAGTGTCAGCCTCGCCGTGTTGATGAGCTGCGACACGTCAAATGGCGGCTGGGTGTGCATAGGCAAACTGGACGAGAGGGTCGCATAGCTCTCAGGCAAATCGTCCATGACACTGAAACAGAAAGATGGCAGCAAACCATCTCGTATGTGCCCAGCGGGTCTGTGTCGTCATACCTGAAGCGTGATGGCTTTATGAGGGGGACGATGTACGGCTTCAGGAAGTTGTCCACGGCCGCCTGCACCTCACTTTGAAGCGCCTGACTCCGCCACTGCAGCAGACTTTTCAGCTTCCGCTCTGAGACCATCCGCCCCATCGCCTTAGTCAAATGCGCTGTGCCCAGGGCCATCTGCACACCGCACACAGCACGGCGCTCACAGTGAATAGACCGCAGGCGTGTCTCTTCAGTGGTTCTTACCTGTCGCTGGGCCTTGGCTTCCTCCGCCTTCTGTCGGATGTTGTCGCGGCGACTCTCGTAGGTATCTCTGAGCTGGGAGAGGCGCTCCATGTATGTGGCGTCCAGCTGCTTCAAGAGCGTCTCGTAGTCGATGCTCCGGCGGGAGATCTCCTGAAAGCACACATAGAGGGGTGTTTCATAGACCAAGCTCTGTCGGTCTGTCTCGATTTCATCGGACATACCTGTCTCTTCTGTGCCCATTTGGCCATCAGGTGTTGCTCCTCCTCTTCAAGCCTGTCATCCTCCCTCCTGACAGCGTCCTCCGACGCCCTCACCTCCATCTCCCACACACGGATGATCTCCCCATACCTGTGAGCACATGGATCCCATACACGTAAGCACGTCTGGTTGTCAGCACACGCCTGCCCGCCTCACTTGACGGAGAAGGCCCATGTCTGGAAGGCCTCCAGCATCATCTCCAGCTTGATCCGCTCAGACGCGAACCACAATCGACGAGCGGCCAGCCGCAACATGACTTCAAGCAGATAGGCCGCAGGGTGCGGCTGAGACGGCACATTTCCATAGGCCAGCAATGGACCTCCCCCCGTATAGGCGTCATCCTCCCCCCCGCCCCCTCCGCCCCTGAACATGGACACCGCCCCAACTGTGGACAGCCGGGGGGCTGACGGCGGCGCCAGCGACTGTCGCGACGACCACGGCTCGTACGGCGTCCGATATCCGGCGCTGGTAGGTGGGACAGCCGTGGACGCCTGAGGGCCGCTCATGCGATAGTACACAGCGTACCCCTCCTTGCTGAGGGTCTCGTCAATCATAGGCGTCGATGCTGACACGCCGAGGTACCGCGCAGGCGTGACCGTCGCGCTGCTTTGGAAAGTCGGGCCCTGGAAAGTCGGCACCCGCACCGGAGCCGTCAGGCTGCCCTCTGGCAACGAGTACCTCACAGGCGCCCTGACGGTCAGGGAAGCGCTTCTCGGCTCATTTGGTGGGTTGTAGTGGTCGAGGGTGTCGTCGCGTCTTGGAGCGGGCCCGCCGATGGTCTTGCGCGCGGGAGTGGCTGCCCCAGCTGGCGTCTGGTAGGCGCTGGACAACTTGGTGCTCTGCGCGGTGACCATGCTGTCAGCTCGCTGGTCTGAAGGGACCTTCGGTGGAGGGGGTGAGGGGAGGAAGCCTCGACGCACCATTGAAGGTGAGACAGATGGTCGATCACGGATGGGGGCCTCCGAAACGGCCGTCATGAAGCTTGCCCGCTGAGCTTGACTTTCCGTGATGCTCCTGGCTTGGATGTCGTCAGCTGAGTAGTAGAAGGTTGGCCGCTCGGCTCCCTGTCTCCCGTACGTGGCCCGCAGCTCGCCAGCCGGCCTGTCCTCACGAGACACCCCTCTCGTTGAGAAGCGGGGCGTCTCCTTCACTGGCCGTACTGGCTGCTGCTGTGGCATGTAGAACGCCCTTCTTGGAGACGAGGGCAATGAGACAGGAACGCCGCCTCGCGATGTTGTGTAAGAGGCACATCCCCAATCCACGCGGTGCTGATCGCTCGGGCGGGCGCGCGTTGGCCTCGCAAGGGGCACAGAAGGGGGAGGTGTCGTGCTAACGAAGCGCGGCACCGTCTGTGGCGAGTAGAATACGGGCGTCACCGTCACTGGAGGGGCAGCGCCGGCGGTGTCGAAGGTGTAAGAAGGCGCAAGCTCACGGGGGGAGCGCTCCAGCGGCGTCACGAAGGGCGTGGTTCCTGAGGACGGCTGCATCAGCTGCTGCTTCGCCACTAGGGGCCCGCCGATCCCACATGACTGGAGGCATCTGTTGGCATCCTGCCGACCCCTTCCCAATTCGGCCGACTTTGACCTTTGCACTGGCTGCCTCTTGCTGCACAGCTCAAACAGAGATGCGGGTCTTTTGCCACCACCCTCTGTCTGCGAGCCCGGCCTGGCGGCCTCACTCTCGCCAGCAGCAGCAGCAGCTTGTCCAGGTTGGCCGTCTCCCTCTCGCTCTCCTTCCCACAGAGGGAAGGGTGGCGAGAGGCCGTCGGTCATGGCTTTTTTGAAGAACGACGGCGGTGGCGGGTGTGAGGTGGTCAGGCTCATGTCTGAGTGGGAGTGGCGGTATGCGGGAGACGGGAATCGATGGTGCGGCGGTTGAAGGAAGGAAGATTTGTAAAGGGGCACGGACGATCGGGCGTAGTGGGCCTCCTGAGAGATGGCAGAGACATGCACAGATATGAGCTTGTGACTTGTCTCGCAGCGGTCTTTCTCACTTGTTGACTTGGTGCGAAAGGGATCTGTCCCCTGAAGGATATGCTTTCCCCGGCCTCCGTTGGCCCTTGCTGTGTCCACTCAGTGATGCGGTGCCGGCCAGCCTCCCTCTCACCGCCAGCCGGGCGCCCGTTCCCATCATGTGTTCGGTGTTTCGCCTTCTTCCTGCATTACAGCATAAACATGAAATGAGACAGCAAATGCTGTATCTCAAAGGCTGTGCTGACCTGACGATGAGCACTCTCTTCACCCTTTTGGGCCTCTGGGGGTGTGTCGCTGCCTGAGGCTGATCGTCAGATACTGTGCCGTGCAAGTCTTCATCTGAAGCGCCGGCAGCCGCAGGAGCAGTTGCCATTGCGTCCATCTCGCGGACAGGCAGGTGGACACGTCTCGACTGAGGCGAAGCTCGATGTCTGGTCGGCCCTGCACGAAATGAAGGATGAAATGCAATCGATGTCTCCTGCGGCGTTCTGTCTGCCTGCCTCTTTCCCTTTTCACGTTTTGAGGTGGCCCTCCTTGGTCTGAGTGCGCTGTCAGATTGGATGTCGTGGAACCTGCCGTCTGTCTGGATGACGAACCGCCCCGATTGGTCACCCGGCAGCTCGATGATAGTGAAGCGGCTGTGCAGAGGAATTTCGCTCGATGACGCAGAGCCCTGCATGACATTGGGCAGAACACCCACACACGCATGTATGATGTGATGCTTGCTCCACCGAAATGGCATGCATGTACCTGTGTGGCCAGCCTTGGTCGTTCAGAGCTTGTGTAGGGCTGCCACTGGTCTGTCCTCAGCGACACCACCTGCTGGGCGGTCAGTTCTCGCAGAGGATACTGTTGGGGGTAGCCGTACGGGGGGTAGATGTACAGAGGAGGGGCAGGCACCGCTTCCTGTCGTCGTGAGGGTGCGAATGCCATGGGGGCTGAGGGCGGGTCAGCGAGCTTAGCCGCGAGAATGGTGAACCCTTTCTGCGATCTTCCCCCTTATTCGCTTTCATTCGCACATTGTCGGCTCATGCACAACGAGCTGGTCTTCCAGTGCTCCAACCGATTGGTTGTCGGCCCTCCGGCTGAGCGCTCAACCATTCTGACAAGCACGTGTATGTCTTGTCAGGCCAGTCGAGCCACCCAGCCACAGCGACGCAACCAGCAGGTAGACAGCACGTAACGACACACACACACAGACACACATACACACATACACACACACAGACAGACACACACAAGCCATCAAGCCATCATGATGTTCGACCCCTCGCTACAAGTAGAATACATCCATCTCGCTTTGCGGCCGATCGCCTCTTCACACACTCCAACCAGGTCGGCAGTGCACAAAAGGCCATCACAGCAGCCTTTTTTCCCCCGAACACGCCGTCATTGCAGTCTTTAGTCAGTCGCCGTGTGTGTTGAGAGTCAGTCATACATTCATGCACTCGTGGACACACCCCGTTCTGGGAGAGAAAACGGCCTGCTCTTCCCTCCAGGTGCGTATGCGTGTGCGCATGACATGTGTGGCGTGCCTGGGTGTGCGGGCCTTCCTCGTTCTTACTGTACAGCGAGTGGATCAGTGCTCAGTGAAAAATGGCACGCTTTGCAGTCGATGAAAAAAGTCAGCCGCGAACCAATGCCACCACCACTCAGCAGCCAAACACCTGAATCGAACACACGCCACGACAGACACAGAAGCAGAGACGAGGCACATGCTTCTGTAAGGGCCTCCCGACATGAATCATTCGCGTACCGTTTCGGCCATGTAGGTGAAGTACAGGAAGCCATCATCGTCCTTGTACTTTGCGAAGACCTCGGACATCTTGCTGCCGCGCTCGGTCCACACACCCTTGCACAGCAGGTACAGCGTCTGCTGGTGTGCACGACGTCGGTGTGAGGCGTCGGGTGTGGCGGGGCTGGTGCGGCCGGCGGCGTTGTCGGGCTGTGCGGTGGGGCTTTCGTCGCCCTGGTCGTTGATGTGCTTCTGGATGATGGCGCAGAACTCTGCTATCGTCATCTCCTTGGGCACTAGAAACCTGCAGACACACATGATGGAGTCAGAAGATGGAGGGGGGCAGTGTGTTGTGTGGTCGGTGGTTACTTGGTCTTGCTAATCTGCGGCAGGGAGGTCCGCTTGCCCTTCTCGACAATGACGGGGATGCGGTTTGGGTACTTCTCCAGTATCCGGGCTGACTCCTGGCACCGCTTCTCTGCATTCAACACATCACGCACACACGACACACACATGAGACAACACCAGCAGCATGGAATCTGCGGCTGCCTTGTTCTCATGGTATCTTCCTGTCTGAGTGCTTCCTGCCCTCCCCTCCTCCTGTGCGTCGTTGACTCAGTCACCGAAAGGCTCTTTCTCCTTGTACGAAGCCATGGCTCACGAGGTCTGCGAAGCGATGCCTTCCGCGCGCTGGCGCTTCGCCGCGGCTTTCTCCGCCGAGCTCGCATGCAAGCTCAAAATCTTGATTGGCGCTCGTCGCTATATATTGGCGCTCACACCGACTGCTCAAGATGCCTGCTTCGACTCTTCTTCTCCTCGCATGTATTCTTCACTCTCAATCTTTTTTGGCGACAGGGGAGGCTGCAGATCCACGCCTTAGAAGAGTGCAGGTGTCCCAAGAGGAGTGCCCGACGCTTGAGGCTTTCAACGCAACCATTGAGCCGTTCAACGCAACCCGCGATTACAGGAAAATCTCCATTGATCTGGTCAGCACACATCACACGATTGCATTCGGGCTGCGGATCTTCCCTGTTGAATGCTGCAGAATCAAGTTTGGGATGATGGCTTCTCCCAAGTGGTAGTCGCAGCCAAATCGCATACTGGCGACGCAGACATCTACACATGGGTTGACGGGTAAACAGTACACAGAAAACAGATGGCCGACACGGCACTCAGCATCCCCTTTTGCAGCGAAAGACATTCGTCCAGCGAGACACCCCAACCTCCCGTCGGCTGTCCCGGGCCAAATTGTGTCCCTGATGAGCCGGCCGGATGCTACTGGGATAGCGTTAGAATCTTCATTGCCGATGGTGGCTCTCTCTTGGAAGCATACGTGATGGCACACAAGAACAAGACGACAACGGCGGTAACACTTCAGACAAAAGACAGGACAACAAAGCCGCTGCTGTATCCTCTGGGTTGGTTTGTCGGTGAGTTCAGAGTGTTGTTGTGTATGCGGAAGAATATGAGGTTGGATGTGAGCCGCCAGTCGTCATTTGTTACATGCCAGTGGCCGCACCCAGTGCGTTCGTTACAGACGAAGGTATGGTGACAAGGCGTGCGTCACACGCTGCGAAGCTTTGTGTTGTACCGTTTCATAGGCATTGCCAACCAGCCGGACAGACCCGACGCCGACGGCGACTATTGACCAATCGTCGCATTTGGATGCACCGGGTAGAGAGAGGCGTTTGTGTCTGCCTTGGGGCTCTGGTCGATTCGTCGTGTGCTTCTTAGTCAGTTTATTTGGTGCATGGCAGGGGATGGGACGGGAGCATGCGATGCGAGACAGACAGAGATGAATAGTATGCTGGTCGTCAGTTTCTGTGGTGTCCTTTTCTATCGTGGGTATGCGTAGTACGTGTAGTGTGTGCATCCTGGAGGTTTGCTGCTTGCTACGGACAGCGAGAAATGGTGCGTGTCGCCACCTGCAGAGAGTCGGCAGAGTCGTTTGTTCACCTCGGCAGGGGATGGGAAGGAAGTATGCGATGCGAGACGAGATCGGTAGCTGCCTGCCATGTGTGCTAGGCAGGTTGTTGTCGTGGGTGCGTGTACTGAATGCTATGTGTGTGTAGTATTTTTGGTGGTCTTGTACGGTCCGAGGGCTATGGTTTCTGTTGAAGGCGCAGGACGTATGCATTCATAGTCTGTTTGTGTACATGTCTCTCTGTGGGCGCTTGGCCTCACATCAGAGACACACTCACACCCACTGACTGCCTTCTTACATGCTGGGCGTGTGCCTTTCTATGATGGGACGGGAAAGCCCTGTGGTGCACCGATTGGACCCATCTCATTCACTGGTTGGTTTCATGTCTCCATGCAATGCAAGCACCACACGAAACGTTGGCCTTCTGTCGGCTGAGGTCAGTCGGACTGCCCGTAAACTCCCAAAGACATGACAAAAGCGACTCGCATCCATGTGCACACAAACACCAACATCATGACGCACCCATGGCCCCCATCCACAGAAAAAGGTTGACAGTCTCAACCGCACCCAACCGCACCCCACTCCCATGTACTCTTACACAAGCCATTGTCATCCACCCATAACGGACAGAGAGAGAGGAGAGCGCTCGCAGCGCTGCTTTCTGGCGTCTCCCTGGAGACTGTCTCTAAGACGGTCGCGACTTGGCCAAGATCGCATGGCGACCGAATGGTCAGTTGAGCCATTCGAATCATCATGCGATGCTGACCAAGACGCGACCGTCGAAAGGACTACTCCACGCACGACGCGAGGCAAACGACAACTCGACTGACTGCCAACAAGCTGCTGGTCGACTGGTGAGTGTCTCTCGGTTACTGACGTCAACCGCCAACACACGCGGGAGATGCGGTGATCATCACAACCACATCTCGGGCGTCCGAAGCCGGCCCAAGAGCAACCGAAAGACACCCAGCAAGTCCTCACATAGTCGTGAACATCGAGAGGAGAGGAAGTAAACCCCTCGCTCCGTCACCGAAAGCACATCAAAGGTGCCCGTAGACAGCCCCTGCCGTAAACACCCGCTGCCAAACAACCACGGAAAAACCGATGTGTCAGGATCGTCCGCTGGATACGACACAATCATCAGCAGTAGGAGGGTAGGGAGGGTAGGGAGGGTAGGGAGGGTAGGTAGGTAGGTAGGTGCGTGCGCCGACCGTCGGTGGCGCAATACGATTGTATGCTGCCACGACGTCCCCCCGCACCACACCAGACAGATGTGCTCCTGCCCTCCGCAGTGGCCCGCCCCAGCGAACGAGCAGAACAGCCAGGAAGCAAGTATCTCAGTCAGTACTTATCCCTACCCTCGGTTGGCCTTCGGCTGCGTACGGGCTCATGAAAGCGATAGACATACCCATATCGGGGTGCGATCCGGCCAGAGGTAGAACCCAGTCAGCCGAAAAAAGAGACCACCGGGGCCGGCAACGCACACAGCAGACATCACAATGCGATATGCAGATATGTAGCATGATGGATAAAGATGGTCTGATGAGCAGCCCGGCCCACGTGTGTGGACAAAAAGGGAATGGAGCCGGCAGGCCGCTGCGTGAAGGGGGACGAGGCCACCGCGCAAAAGAAAAAAGAAAACAGAGAGAGATATATAACGCCTCGCTGTATGGCTGAAGACAGTGAACGGCAAAGGGCAAAACCTCATGGGCGGGCGAAAGAAACCAACACAACACAATACATCATGCGATGGATGATAAAACAAAAGAAGCAATGACTAGGTAGCTATTCAGCGGCTCAGATGGAGGTGCCGCTCCGTGTTGATGGTGGGTAGCTGTCGCCCACGTTGGATGAGGTGTCGGCCGTGTGCATCTGCTGCTTGACCTCGTTCATGATCTCGTACCGAAGCGACTTCCGCAAACTACGAACCACCCAACATCTGTACACCACCACACACGCCACGCCAACACACACATGGTCGACATAATCGACATACGCTCCCTGTCTGTGGTCCTGGGTGCGTGTGTGTGTGTGTGTGTGTGAGGTGCCGCACGCACCTGTACAGGACGAAGAGGAAGATGACAAAAAGGATGGCGCCGAGGGTCCCGATAAGGACCACCCACCAGGGCACACCCGCCGACTTCTCAATATCGTTCTCCAGCTGCTGCAGCTCAACGGCCTTCAGGTTCAGCAGCTTCGAGCACTCCTGACATGAATGAGAAACACATACACACGCACCATACAGATGCAGCCCACTGCTCCCCGTCTGCCTCATGTGCCTTCACATCTCACGCACCTGTGGTGGGTCTTTGAAGGCCGAGCAGACGGCCTTGGTGACGATCTCGGGGTCAAGCGGGCCGCTGTACCTCATCTCGTTGATGCGCATGGCGGTGGGGCTCCACGCGTGCGTCTGCCGCTGCAGGTCCAGCAGCTCCTTGGACCTCTTGTCGACGCAATTCTGCACCCGGCCGATGTCGGCACCCACGTCCTTCATGAGCTTGTATGAGCAGGCCTGCCCGAACTGGGTGGTGTTCCTGTCGTCGCTGGTGCTCTCATCCGACATGTCAGTCTTGCACCTGACACCACAGAGAGAGAGAAGGCGATGTGCGCGTGTTCTGTCTGGGTCTGCGTGTTGGTGTGCGCGCGTGCGAGCGTACGCTTCAGGGAACCTCTCGACGTACTTCCACCAGAGCTCCGAGTATTTGCCGCTGCGGTCCTCATCTCCTTTCACACGAGTGGCCGTCGTGTCCCACAGACACAGTTGACTGCAACCACACGCACACACACACACACACACAGGTGAAGGTCACACCAACCATGTGCACGTCCATATGTGTGTGATTCTGTCTCACCGCAGTGATTCCTCGACGATCATTTTGCCCGTGACGGAGCCGGCGAAGTCTGGGTCCAGTGCGCAGTACTTGGCCTCCTCGTCGGTGCAGAGCTCCTTGTAGTCCTTCGGGAGAGAGAAGATCCAGTAGTGAGGGCGGAAGTCCAGCTGACATAATTTAACAGGGGAAGGAAAAGGAGACGAAGGGTGCGCTGTGTGTCTGTGTGAGTTGGTAGGGCGGCTGGCTACCCTGTGCTGCAGTTGTCGTGCGTATTTGGAGTACTCCTGGAGGAACTGGACGCTCTTCTCGACAGCAGGGGTCAGCCAGAAGTCCATCAACACGGTCTCGTCCTGAGGACAGACGAACACACACAAGGCAGCCACGCAGACTGGCCGCTTCCCGTGTGAGGCTTCTCGTGTTCTCCTTCCCACCACAGGGATGTCCCATGAGAGCTCGATGATGACGGTTTCATTGACGGGAGGGAGGATCACGTCCAGGATCTTCTCGGCCGCCCTGTCGGTGATCAGAATGGACGGAATGGTCACCGTCTCGCCCCAACCATCTGACGGACATGATCACACATAACACCACACACACACAAATGCACCCACTGCCCCTCCCTCCCTCCCTGTCTGTCTGTCTGTCTGTGAGTCTTCGCTGACCATCGGCCATGATGATGCGTTTGATCTGCGTGGTGGTGCGGTTGGCCTTTGCGGTGTCGGCCACGATGACTGCTTTCGCGTACTTAAACTCCTGCGCCACTCGCACCTTGGTAACGAAGTTGCATTGGCCCCGCCGCACCAACACGATGTTGGGCAACTCGGGCATCATGGGGGGCGGCACCTCGTAGTCCTCTTTGCGGCAGTGAAGCTCGCCCTGCTGACTCTCGCCAAAAACCAGACGACCAGTCACCCTCTCACCGTAGTACTGACAGCCGAAAAGCAAGACACACAAAGCCCGATTGGCATCCTCATGCGTGTCTCGTTTGCCTCTGCTCTCCGTCTCATGTGTGCATCTTCCTGCCGCTCCCGTGCGCTTACCGGTGTGCCGAACGCGGCGGTGCTGCCCTCGATGACGCCGCCCGGGAACTGCTTGACGAGATCAGGGGGCTCCAGGACTCTGATCTGCCCAGCAAGGGCCGCGCTGATGCCGAGAAGGGCCAGCAGTGCTAGTCTCGGTTGCCATGTGTGCGATGCCATGCTGACGTGCTTGACCGATGGTGCTGCGATAGATGCGATAAGATCTTGACCAAAGAGAATGCAGCGTGCACGCGCGGCAGTCGGGAAGGTCACGGATGCAGGATCGGTCAGGTCCTTCACTAACGCCTCCTCTCACTGTCTCAATTGCGAGCTTAGATGGATCCTTGGTTTTCGCTATTCTTCGGCAAGGAGCGTGATTCGGCTGCCCATCATCATAGCCAGTCGGTTTCAAGCACTTTCCGATGAGTTTTGGTTGAGTTGCCGACGAACGCCCGACGTGCTTGCGTGTGAAGCTGCAGCACGTGAAGCAGCGGGCCGACCGACACACAAGTGGCTGCTTGCCAGCATTGCCTCACTATCACTTTGTCATGATGGCCGCCTCAAACAAAAAACAGCCGACAAGCAAAGAGGTGAGGGAAGGAGGCAGTGCATCACCGTGACCGAGCTCAATGAATGCAATGTGTTTGATTCATTAGGTTGAGATCGTAAGCGGCAGCGCTGTTGGATCACTCGATACCCGACCCGCAGATGAATCACATACCAAGGAGGTACTGTACACCACACGCGCACGCACCTGACTGCGTATCGTCCATCTTTCATTCATTGTTCGATTTTGATTTGCTTGTCATCAGCTTATTGACTCACTCTCTCTGTCGAGCATCCCCGATGACGTCCGCACGGCCTTCCTCAGCCCCCTCCTTGGCACACAGTGCATCATCGGCTCCCTCTCACTCGTCCGCAAGGCTCTCCACACCATCGCCACCGACCCACAGATGCATCGCACCATCTTCCTCAAGAGCACCGTCCGTCCGAAGACCCGCGCACATGAGAAGATTCGTCTCACTGACGGCCAGCTCGATGTGTGGTGCCCTCGCTTCACCCTCACGAATCGCGTCACCATGCTGTGTCCGTTGAATGAGAGCCTTGCCCGTGTGATTGAGGCCACGCACAAGACGTTGACGCATTTGGAGGCGGATGACAGCGAGACCAGGGGGGGTGGGGGTGGGGCTGTGCGTCGTTTCGGGAGGCCCACCTTCTCCATGCTGACCCATGTGGTGGTCGCCGGTCGCTGGGTGCGGGTGGCTGGCGACGGAGACTGGGTGCTCAGGTATTATCCTTACAACCCAACCAGGGCCAACAGGATGGTAAATGCAACACTCTCTGTGTGTCTGCCTGTGTGTGTTCCTCCTCTGCAGCTCGCTTGAGTCACTGCGCGTTTCATCGTCCACGAGTTGCTGCCACCGCTGGCACCAGTTCAGTCGAGCGCTACACACACTCGAGCTGGACCATCCTGCTGGCCCGCACTGGGGCCGCGACATGCCCGCTGGAGTCGATTTGAGCAGCCTGAAGCACCTGACGGTCATCAGCAACGGCAGCTTCGACATGGGGCGGTGGGACGCACAGCGGCTCAGCGAGTGCGGCCTGAGGCTCGATGCGTTTGACATGACGACGCGCCGCCTGTTGATCAATTCTACGACGTCCATGAAGGTGCGCCCCTAACTTCTCGCCTCAACTCTATTCTGTCGTGTCCAAACTCAATCTTCCCCGAGTCTCTTCGCTGAGCCTCTACTTTGAGGTCCGGCAGAATCTCTTCCCTCTGCCGGCTGCCTTTCTGTCGCGTATCGGTCATATGTTTCCCCACGTCACAGAGGCAGACCTTTTCGCATTCGAGGGGGAAGGGCTGGCCAGCCTGGTTGAGGGAGACGTGCAGCCAGTGCTAGAGCAGCTGGGCAACCTCACGGTCGTCAGGTGTTATGTCGACGTTGAGGAGGGGTTGGGGAAGTGGTCGCTGTTGGTGGATGAGGCAGGAGAGGGAGGCAGGCCGTTCCATGAGCGCATATCTCGCATGGCCTATACCATCGAGCTGTCTGAGCTGCCGAGCTATGATGAGGGAGGCTGGGCGGGGGCAGAGGAGTTCAGTCAGACTGTCGCCAGTCAGTGCATCCTTGCCACATCTTCAGTGCCGTGTCTGAATAGCATCGTGCTTGAGGTGGATCGCTGCTGGGGACAGGGGAGGGAGGAAGACAGCCACTTCCTGAGCGCGTTTGAGCAAGTTCAGCTGGACGGCGGCCGTTTTCATGCGCTGCTGCGGGCGGCCGGTTTTGACCTCGTGGAACTGACCCCATTGGGCCATCTGTGTCGCGTGGAGGTGCGCCGCATCAGTTTTGTCGGTGACCCGATGCAGCGCAAGATCACTGACTACTTCTCTGCTGTGCAGTGAGTGAGAGGGGCAAGGGGATGGGTGTGGGTGTCATGTTGATATCGCAATGTTGCGTGCTGAGTGAGACACCAACCGTGTGTGTGTGAATGTGTGGACCGGTGGACACATCTTCCATGAGTGAATGAGTGTCTTGCTCGGTGTACAGCACTCGTTTGTTCATTGAAGTCACGCACAGTAAGCGGCAATCTGTCAGTCACGGCATCGTATAGACATACACGTGAGTTAAGGTGAGACAAAGATCTGCTGACGGAGATGCATGCCCGACTTGCATATCGGCTGCACGTCTGGCGTGTTGCATCGACAGCAGCAGACGCCTGTCCCACCCACACTCACACGCCATCCCTCTCACAGTCACACAGTAAGCAACGCAGTTACACCGGCTGCACAATAGCCCATCACTTAGCCCAGCATCCGGAGTGCCCTCGCGCATGTCTGTGTGCCACGTTAGTGTCCTTCCCAGCCCTCGAGTGCTCTACAGCCTTCGAGAAACGGCGGCGAAGGAGACCAATGCAGCACGGCAGAGGTGGATTGAGACAGACACACAGGACAAGACGACACAGAGCAAACCAAGGTAGCTAGGTGCGTATGTACAATCAGCCTTCCCGTGTGCAGACAGACAGACAGACAGACAGACAGAGAGGGATCGGTACCAGAGAGGGATGAATGCGTAAGTGTATGTATGTATGTATGTACGCATAAACGCGTCACGCTGTACACAGGCCGGCCCGCAAACAGAGAGTGAGCACCCCGTAATGCATATACTACATAGACAGTCAACCGTGGGTCACGACGCTGCACCCGAGGGGCTCGTCTGGGCAGACATGTCCTCCTCACGCACATCAGCCCCACCAATCACGTGCTGCCGACCCTGCCCGCCATCACTCTTCATTTGAGCAGTGACGGCAGCACTTGCAGCGCTCGCAGCAGCAACACCGGAAGTTTTCTCTCGGTCCTGCTCTTGTGAAAGCCCAGCCGCCTCCTGCTCGATCTGTGGCTCTGTGCGGGGCCGCTTTGCCGCAGAATTGCCATCCTGCAGACAGACAGACAGACGGGCAGGCAGGCAGGCAGGCAGACAGGAAGGCGTGGTCAGGCCAGGGGGAATCCACGCACCTGTGCCTGACGCTTCTTTGAAGCCGTGCCGGGTGCTTGGGACACCTGGTGGACCCACCACAGGGGCGACAAAGGGCACATACACATCCATCCATCCATCCATCTTTCGTCATCTGTTGTGTCTGCACTTGTATACCTGCTGCAGCGAAGTGTCGTCCTGTGTGCGCTGGTGTGCGAGGGATTTCTCGTAGCTTTTCTTCATCTTGTTGTGCCACACACCACGATTGTGCTGCGTCCGCAGCAGCTCCCTGCACACATACACACACACATACACCTCTGCTGCCAACACACTCCATTTTGCCGTCGGTGTGTCCTCACCATGCCTTGACTTTGCGCTTCAGATGTCCAACGATTAGCGGCACACAACCTGAAAGAGGGAGAGAGAGAAACACCTGCACCGTGCCCCTTCCACCGACCCTCACTGTGGCGCCCTGCTCACTGTTGATGTCTGTCTTGATGAGCTCAACGACCTCTCTGGCCAGATGTCGGCCGTATATGAGCCGCAGGCACTTGCGATGAATCGGGTGCCACAGCAGCTCGGGCGCCAACACGCTCGCAGCAACGGGGCCAATGCTGCGTAGAGGCGGCAAGACAGATGAGATGTGGGGCTGCCATGCGCGTGTTGCCTGCCGCTGATTCAGGGCCTCACGTGTGCTTTGGGTGCTGCTGTGCCCGCGCGCGGTCAATGGTCCTGTTGAGCACGTCGATGGCTGCAATGAACAGCAAAGACCCCTCCCCAGGAACACACACCAATGAACACACGATTTGTCTGTGTCGTGGATGCATGGCAGCTGACTTGTGTTCCCGAGTTCGATCTTGTAGTCGACTTCGAAGCGCTCGTCCTCCGTCTGGAAGAGCGCCTTGTCGCGACCGCTGGCGCGTATCGCGCGCTCACTGCCCTGGAGAAAGGAACCATCACACCACACCAACACGCGAGAGTAGAAGTGTGTGAACGTGTGTGTATGCCGGTGTAGGTGCGTGCCTGCGAGATGGATGTCCACGTGTTGTTGAGGACCTTTCTACACAGCTCGTCACGACCAGAGCAGCGCCGCACAGTGGAGAAGGCACAGTGTGCGCGTGTGGGGGTGTGTGCAGTTCTATGTTGGTTGCAGACCTTCTTGGGGTAGTTTGCAGGGAGCTTGCGATAGCTGGAGCCAGACACCTCGGCACCTGACATCACACACACACACAGAGAATGTGCACATGGTGGTGGTCCACACACATAGGATGATCTTGGTTCCCCCCCTCACCGTCCCAGTTGATTTCGCTGAGCGGCACCCGCGAGTAGGCCGGCGTCTGACAAGGACAAGGACAAGCAGACGCAGAACAGAAAGGTGTCAATCCATCCCTCATGTACTCTTCCTTCACCATACCATACAGACCTGTAGTTTCTCTGTATCTCTCTCCATATCAGCGGACAGTGCTCTGATGCGCTGAGAACCACACACCACACACAGAGATGACAGACGCGGGTGTGCTGTGTGTGAGCAGGCTCCCTCTCTCTCTCTCTCTCTGTGTGTGTGTGTGTGTGTGTTTGTGTGTATGCTTACATCGGCGACGTCACTCATGAAGATGAAGCTGTTTTTCCACAGCGACGGGTGCCCCTCCATGATCTGTATCACCGTCCGCCAGGTCTCATCCCAAGGTTCCCCACCGCCCACATAATTCTCTAGCGCTGTCCTCAGCTGCTCGTAGCTCTTCGGATCGAGCGCCTGTGTACACACAAGGGACGAAAACACACCACATCCAGCAACCGTGATCCGGTGTGGTGTGCGTCACTGCCCACCTTGATCCGTCTCACGAGCAGAGCAGCCTCCTCACCGCGCCCATCGGAAGAGGACGAGGCGCCTGCCGTCGGCTGCTGATCCGGCCCTCCCTTCATCCTCACCAGAGGACTCAGCAAGGCTCACACCTGGTCCAAGCCACAAGAACAACACGCACCAGCTGCCGCAACCCTGACCAAGAGCTGGTCTTGACTGAGATGAGCAATGGCCCAGGCGTCACAGTGCGGAAAGAGGGAGGGCCTGCGCCAGATCCAAATTCGTGTTTGCGAGCTGAGACGGGGCGAGCTTTTGGGGGCAGTTTCTCCTCGCGCAAACCCTGATGTATCCTCCTAAGCACCCTGCGCCTAGGGGCTTCAAGTAAGATCACATAGGGGGAGAGAATGGCACAAACGTTGCAATGGTGACGTTTCGTGCTGCCTTCCTTTCGCATGTACGCAACCGCTGCGCGCGTCGTGTGTGATTGCGTGTGACTGGCAGGGCTCCCGACCAGGGGATCAACCCGCACATTCCCGAGAAGCGCAAACAGAAGTTGCTGGATCTGCAGCAGAGGGAGCAGCTCAAGGACGTCCTCGTCACCAAGTTCAAACAGAAATACGCAAAGGCAACCACACACACACACACACACTGCACCAACTCAATCCGCCTGCCGCTGTGGTCTCTGTCTTCTCCGTCAGGCGACAGCAGAGGCGGGCATCGGGCCGGAGGTGGACAAGGCGATCAATCGGCAGGTGAAGGACTTCGTTGAGAACGCCGACGTCACGAAAAAGAACCTCAACAGGTCCGCCAGTCAGTCAGCATCAGCACTCCCTCTTCCATCCATCCGACGTCCGTGTTTCCCACCCGGCCATCGAATCGATCAGGTTGGAGCGTCGCATCGAGCAGGATGTCAAGACACAGGTGGTGGGTGCCCCGTCTGCCGGGGCCCAGCCCGATGAGGCGCGGGACACCAAGACAGACATCACCAACGTGTCGGCTTACACTAACGCCTCCAGGGCCACACACGTCGACAACCTCTCGCAGCTTTCGGTAGGGGCCCTTTGCGTGGCAGTGGCAGTCGACCGTGTGTTCCTCCTCTTTCTTCTGTGTGTCACACAGATGTTCCAGCAGCAAAAACCTGGCGATGGGTCGGCAGTGAGTGGGGCGGACGTGCAGACGGCCTCGGGTGTGCGGCCCGTCGATGCCCTTGTGGACCAGTTCCAGGACTATGACGTCAGCTGTGCACACACGACAGACAGCCAGCCAAATCAAATGACTTTGTGCCCGTTGTATGTCTCTGTGTGCATCATGGTTCGGTGTGGTGTGGTCAGTGGTCTCGTCTGGACGACTATGCGCGTTACATCAACGAGGTTGAGAGTCAGAAGGAGAAGGAGCGGTTCAAGGTGGAACAGGGCAGACTCAAAAGGGACCTCGATGGACAGCTCGAGGAGAAACAGTCAGACAGAGACACACATCACCCACCACACATAAGCTGGCCTGGCGAGACACCAGTGACGTCTGTGTGTGTGTACGTGTAGGGCCAAGAAGGTGGCCGAGAAGGAGGAGGACATGAAGTTTTACCACATCCAAAACGAGAACCTGGAACGACTCAAGTACAAGAATCACACCTGGCTGGCTCGCCTTGTGTCTATCTATACGCTGCCTTGTTTATTTGCGTGTTGTGTTGTGTTGCAGGAAGATCGAGGTGCAGAAGGAGGAGGAGTTCAAGAAGAAAACGATGAAGGAGAAGGTGGACCGCGACGAGCAGCTCGCCCTCGACAACAAACGAAGAAAGGTCACTTACACTTCCACAAAGACGCACACACACGTGTCTCCTCCCTCCCGTGGATGTGATGTGTGTGAGCATGTGTGTGGTGTGTCGACAGGAGGAGGATGAGGTCCGTCAGAAGGAGGAGAAGCAGTTCCTGGCGCGCATCGACAAGGAGCTGCAGAAGGAGAAGAAGAAGGAGCAGGCCAAGAAGGACAATGAAAGACACATCATTCGAAAGCTCATGGAGGTCCGCCTCTGCAGCTACTGCACCGTTGCAACACAACACAACACAACACAACACAAGCACAGGGATCATGACGTGACGTGTGTGTCCCTCCCTGTGTGTGATTGAGCAGGAGAATGAGCAGGAGCAGATTGAGAAGGCCCGCAAGAAGAAGGAGGACCAAGAGGCAGACCTCAGGTCGATGGAGGAATACGTCCGCATCCTCGACCAACAGGTACCTGTGTGGGGAGGGACTCGAGGCACATTCATGCCAGCCCCACACACACATGGATGTGATATGTGGCTGTGTGGTCTGCAGGAAGCGGCTCGTGAGAGCGAGTTGAAGGAGCGTCTGGACCGCCAGAGGAATCTCATGGACCGCATGAAGGACACCGTTGTCAAAATGCAGGAAAACAAGGTAAGCCAATCCGCCACACAGCCGCCCGCCCACCCGCCCGCCCACCCGCCCGGCTGCTCTGTCTGTGTGTTGGGATGGGTCATGTGTCAAGGCCGAGGAGGACGCGCGCCGAGCAGAGAAGCAGCGTCTTGAGATGGAGGCCAGGCAGTTCGAAGTCGAGCTCAACAAACAGAGGAAACTCAAACAGGTCATCACCCACACATCGTGTCTCCCGTGTCTCTGTCTGTCTGCCTGGGCGGCAAGCATGTGATGTGTGTGTGCCTTCCCTTCAGATGACGGAGGAGACCAAGAGGTTTCTCTTTCAGCAGATGCAGGAGAGGGAGGACGCCAAAACCAAAGAAAAGGAACTCACCAAAATGAGGGCACAACTCCTCGAAGAAGACCTCAAGGCACAGACAGAAACCAAGAACCTCCATGCCTTCCATCCATTCATTCCTCTCTCTCTCTGTCTGTCTGTCTGTCTCTGTGTGTGTGTGTGTGTGTGTGGTGTTGGTCAGGATTTCACGGAGCAGGAGCGGAGCAAGGCCGAGAGCCGCCGGTCGATGAACCTCCGCTTCCGCAAGGAGCTCGAGGAACAAATGGACGAAAAGAGAAGGAGGAAGGAAACCAAAGTCGGTCTGGCACACACAGTCAACCAAACCTACACATAACCAGATGTCTCCCGTGCTGCGTACGTATGTGGTATGTATGTGCAGATGGCGCCTGCGGAGATGAAGATGAACAGGAAGTTGCTGGAGATAGTTGAGAAGACGCTGAGCGAGCGGGACTCCCAGATCACCGCAAAGCAGCCCATCGACGACGACGAGGACCTCGACTCTTCACCAGCACCCTCACCAACCAAGTAACGGCCTCATTCAACGCAATGATTTGTGTCAATGGCGTGTGTGTCTGTGTGTGGCTGCGGGCAGGATGGGCGTGTTGAAGGAGGCCCTCGTTAAGTGATGGCGTGTGGCGTGCATGTCCTGGCTTGGCGTGGTTGATCGGATGTGTGTGTGTAAGTAAGAGATTGGGTGGCCAGGTGCCATCGGTGAATGACCGACTCATTGACCGCAATAGCTAGAGGACATGTCCCCTGTCTGTCAACGAGTGCATCTGGTCGCACAAATACCGACTCTGTGTCTCCCTCATTCGAAGAAACAAGAGGAATGTACAAGGCCCCGGCCACCCATGACGATGGAAGGCCTACCCTATACACACAAGCAGACAGACCACCACTCCAAACACAAGACAGCAACGCCCTATCTATCAATCACCCTCTCAGCAACCAATCACTTCATTCATCATCCCCCCTCCGCAAGTGAGGCACCAATGCAGCCGATGCAGGCACACTGACCAAACACATGAGCGGCCCCACCCCCCTCACCGCCCCCAGCGCCACAAACACCATACCAAAGGGCATCACCAGCCCCTGATTCTCACGCAGGAATCGCTTTTGCCGCCGGTAGCTCTTCTGGTCGTTGCTGTAGTGACGAGCAAGATATGGGTCGAGGAAGTCTGCCGACGAGAGAGTGGCGACATGAAAGATGTTGAGCAGCCGGAGGGTCAGTGGCTTGGCCTGTGGGAAGAAGAAAGCGATCAGGAAGGCGACGAGGGCCGCATAGGGACCTGACAGCCGACAGAGCACAGACACAGGAAGATGTGCACTTGTCGGGTGTGTGTGCTGACTGTGTGCACTGACCCACCTACCGGTGAATGTGGTGGCGAGCACCACCTCCATCACCAACACGACGACAGCATACACGCCTTTGATCGGCAGCCCATAGAGCAGCCCCAGCAGCAGGGAGAAAAGCGCCCCTCTCGCCAGCCGCCGCATCAATCGCCACAGAAACTGGAAGGGGTCCCGCGGCAGCCTCGTCATGGCGCTGAGTGTGGAGTGGTCAGTGGGGCTGACACTCGCTAGCACGGCGAAGAAGGCACGCTCGAGTGGATACCCTGCAATTAAGGCAACGGAAGGAATGAGGCATCGCATCCGTCTGCACTGCACCGATTAGGAGGGGCGAGGCGTAGGCTGGTTGGTTGGGTTTTACCAAGGAATGCAAGACAGAGTGACGGGACTATATCGACCATAAGGCGCGCCATCCTGGCTGCAGAGAGAGAATATACCAGAACAGACAGACGACGCCAACAACAGACGGCGTCAATTAACGCGGAGATGGATGAGTGGATTGACTTGTGCTGTGCTGTGCTGACCTGCCAGTGCAGATGTGTATTTTGAGATGTCGTACGACTCCAGTGTGATGAAGTCCACCTGAGTAAGAGTCAGCCGATTGACAGACACGATTGATTCATTTCACCAGAGACCGTCAGAGCTGCTGCCTCTCCCCACCCCACCAGGTGAAAGAGGATGGCCAGCGGCAGCACCATCACCTGGCTTATCACTATCGTCACCACCACTGCACCACACACACACACGCACACATACAGAGAGAGAGAGAGAAATTTGCAGGTGTCAAAGTGGGTGCAATGCAGGTGCTTCCTTCTCAGCTCACAGAAGCCTCCAATCCACTTCCAGCAGAAGAGGTACTCGCGCCTGACGTCCCCATCTGTGACACAGAGCCACACTCCCTCGAGGAGTGATTGAATGCCGAGAATAGTCTGCTCGAGACGATGCACAAGCGATGCATCCGTCATCCCGGTCATCCCGCAACAGTTAGATCTGTCACGACAACATCCTGAATTCGTGTTCTTAGCTCGCCTTGGCGTTGATCTTTCAATGAGAGCGTGTTCAGATCTCTCTCTTTTCCGCGCCTGGAGGCGTCCACAAAGCGTGCTGAGCTGCCTTGGGCCTCCGGCCTTTCTCTTATTCGAAATGGACGTGAAAGACAAACACAGCCCCACCCAGACCAGTGAGTCAAACACAGGACGATATTGACGCCACAAGACAACAGCTGACCCGCAGGTGCGTGTGTTTCATGCTGTGTGAAGGATCTGCGGGCTTGGTGAGACCTGTGAATGTCGATCAGTCAAGTGTGCAGACTGAGAGTGTCACGCGCAGACTGACACGGATCCATCCACTAGGCACTGCACTCCATCCCGTCTGCCACAGATCAGCACAGCTCAGCAAGAAGTAGACAGATAGATAGAGACACACACTGACCCCCCAGCCCCGCCCACATACACGTGCGTTGGTCCGCCATGGCTTGCTTGTTCACGTGTGTGAGATGGATGGATGGATGGCCCGCATGCGTCCATCCACATGCTATGCTGCACGACACCAACTGCATTGCAACCCACGCACCGCACCGCAGGTCAGGAAGCGTCCGTCCGTCGCAAGATCCCCGCAGAAACAACACACACGAGGTCACGCATGCATACCACGCTACACCACAGCCCCACCTGCAGATTGCTCGGTCAAGTCGACAAGAAAGAACTCGCCACACGAACGAGAGGCAAAAAGACACCGTACGTCGCTGGCTGCTCCATCAATGCACACAAGAGTCGTCCATCCATCCATCCATCCACTCGCTCGCACATGAGCTGTCTGTCTGTCTGTCTGTCTGTCTGTCCACCGATGTGGCACTGAGGACCAGCTGGATGGCTGGCTGGCCTCAAAACTCATGTGCTCACAAAAAGAACACAGTACAACAAGACCTCACTCAAACCAACACACCCACCGCCCTCTCCCAACATGTAGCGGCTTATAAACATCCTATGCCAACCTGCCTCGATTGATCCATCCATCGACCATGCATCCGTCCCCTCACATCACAGCCATGGCCCGATGTAGGCAGCCGCATCAGCCTCTCCCCCCCACTCAAACGGCGTGGTGCCCAGCCGCCCCGCCGCGCCAGCCATCATCCCGGCAGTAAATCCGCCCCACGCCATACCCATACCCCCACCCTGCACCTGCCACAGCCCCAGCCTAGATGGGCCGCCTGCCGCAGCTGATGTGGGCTGTCCCGCGGACAGTCTTTGCCAGAATGAGGGCGTGGAGGGGACGGTTGGGGCGGTGTCTGGGTCGGTGATGCGGTAGAGGACGCGCGCCTCGACGGTCTTCTTCTCATGCAGGGGGGCAGTCTCATCGTCCCTGTGGCCATTGTTGCTGTCTTCAGCGGCTGTTGTGGAGTCGTGGCAGTTGAGAATGAGCAGCACGCGGTCGATCTCCTCACGGCTGCACAAGCAGGGGAGGGAAGAGTTGATGAGATAAGTGTGTTCTGTCCTGTGTCTGTGTGGTCCCTTCCTGGCTCAGCTCACCAGAGAAGGCATTTCGGTCGGCAGGAAGCATTGCGGCTAGCTGAGGGATTGGCAGCTCGCTCCTGCAGCGGCCTCAACACCACCTCGCGAGCACAGTCTGAATGTGCACACCCGAGACACGCCACACGGACAGACAGACAGACAGACAGACAGACAGACAAGTGGAGTTGGCTCTCCTGCACGCTTTGCTTTGCGTGGGTCTGTCTGTCTATCGGTGCTGTGCTCACTCACCCCGACAGATCCCGCCATGTCCACACGGCAAGAAGACAATCTCCCTCCGGCCCTCAAAGCACACCACGCATTGGACGGCCTTCTCCGACTCAGAACCGACCACGGTGTTCACCGCCGCACGAGACGTCCCCAGACTCGTACTCGCATTGACGTCGTCCACCTCGCCAGACCCACCCCCACCGGTACCACCCGCACAGCAAGGCAGCGCCACAGGGGGTCTCACAGCTTTCTCCTGGTCGCCATGGTGGTGCGTTGCGTAGGGGGCGCTCCGGCTCAGCTGCGGCCCCAAACGTATGACCCTCTCCGCCTCCACTTCTTCTCCCTCCCCCTGGTGGAGCGTGTTAGAGCGGCGGAAGACGACATCCATCTGCAACGGCTGGATCATGCTGTCGTCCTTGACAGACAGCCGCCCATACAGATCAAAATCGCAGTCCTCAATAGGCCGCCCGGTGACGGTGCGCGGAGCGGCATGGTGGTAAGACGACCGGCGGTAGAGCAGGCGAGCTGGGGGAGTGATGGGGTCGAGGCGACTGGATGTGTTGACGGGGTGGGTGAAGGAGCCCACCCGGTCAGCAGGGGTGGCTGGGGCGCTCAGGCAGGTCTGGTGGATGTTGTGGTGGTCCTCTTCTCGCGAGGAGGAAGTGATGACGGGGGACGGGCGGGCGCGGGTGTGCGTGGGTGTGGTGGCGGGCTGCGAGTCGATGTTGGATGTGGTGCGGGAGACAGCCCCTGCATACCATCCACACAGCACATGGCCATGAAGACCAATAAAGTCCAATCAACGGTTGTGTGTGAATGCATCACACACCATCCTCTGCACAATGCTTGTGCTTCACCGACCTGAAGACAGCCTGGTTGAGGCCATGTCTGTCTGGCTGCTGACGCCCCTCTCCATCATCTCGGCAACAGGCGCCAGCCTCTGCCCATCCCCACCAGCACCGCCACTAGCAGCTGTGGAGCGGCCGATCACCGCTGGGGAGACACCATTCAAGCGGGGGGTGGTCTGCAGGCTGTCCTGGCTGCGGCCCAACAGCCGCCCTGAAGCCCACGCCAGCCACCTGCCGGGGCCGTGGGGCGCCGTCTTATGTTTGGCTGTGCGCCTGAATGAGCTGATGCGGCGGAAGAAGGTGGAGTGCTCCTGCTCCAGGATCACGTGTGTTTCGGCCTTCTTGACCACTGACAGACAGACAGACAGACAGACAGACAGACAGGGATGGACGACACAAAGACACACAGACAAACAGGGGTGTCTGTCTGTCTGTCTGTCTGCACAATGCGTGTGCGGCTGGTGCACTCAGTCACCTCTGCCCTCTGTGATGTCTGTGTCCTTGGCGTGGGCGTCGTTGGCACTCTCCGACGCCACCACCACATAGGGCGGGCCAGCTTCCACCTCCTCACCTGGCATCAAACCCTCACCTCGGCGATAAACTGACACACATACACACACACACACGCAGAGAGGAGGAAGTGATGCGTGTGTGGACAAGCGATGATGTCCTTCGTGGGCTTGCTTACAATGGTGCCAGCAGAAGACCAGTATAGTGAACAGTACCGTCGCTCCCCCAACAAACCCCGCCACCATGCCATTGAGGTTTCCGTTCTTAGGCTTCCTCTCCTCCGCCGCCTCGCCTTCGCCTGTCTTAGCCCGAGAGAAGTGCCCGTGGCCCTCCTGCTGCCCCGAACGGTAAGACGCCCCCGGTCGTTGTGTGGGAGCAGACACGCGCCTCAGCTGCATCCCGCTGGCCGGATCTTCCCCTGACGCCGTCGTGAGGGAGATCAGCAGCGGCATGAGGGTCCAGATAGCGACGGTGCGCATCCGGCAGACCATGATCATGACTTGACCGCTGCCGCGCACCCCTTTGCAATTGACTACGCTCACTTGCTCGTTGTCGGCATTGCCGGTGGGGATACTTTATGCCTTCACAGTGACATAGCAAGCATCACCACCGCAGACACAGCCTGAGAACTGCCATTTCAGCAACTCCAGATCTCAGCTTCGTTTGGCTCCAAGCTCGCACGATACCGCGACATTCCGTGCAACCGCTCTCGACCTTGGCTCTCTCGGAAGGGCTTCGCGGAAGGGGAAGAAATCGTGGTTTGTGAATGAAGCTGACTGTCTGAATCAGATCCTCTCGTCAGATCCTCTCGTCAGATCTGGCAGATCATTAATGATTCCAAGAACACTGCTCCTGACGCTGGTCACCAGCTCTCTACTCAGCGCATTAGCAAGGAGGCCAGCATCAAGGGCTCCACAGCTGCTCGCCTTCCAGGTGCGCAGCAGTGATCTGACGCGCAAAATCAATCTGATGGATAATGCACATCTGCACCTCAGCATATGTGTCGATTCTGTGTGTGCGTGCGTGTGTGTGTGTGTGTGTGCAGCCTTCGGCGCGTGAGCTGGCGAAGGTGTATGGTCGTCTTGCTGGTGAGGGTGTGGCGGCTCGGCTGCTGGAGAACAGGCCACGCATCGGCATCACCCAGTTCGTCGAGCGGCTGCCGGACCTGCCCTACAGCGCGCCCTCCACCGACAGATACAAGGAGCAGCTCACAGGCACGATTGATGGACGCAGTGATCCATCTTAAGAATGCGCAAGGCGGACGTGGCGGTGCGTCATGTGTCTCGTTTGTGTGTGTGTGCAGGCGACATCAGTCGAGAGTTCATCGACGGTTCGGTGGTGCATTATGCGTGGGAGGCGCTGTCCAAGTGGAAGGGCGAGCTGACGCGAGACAACTTCGAGGTCGCCGTGGCTGAACTCACATTCAACGGTCGGTGGCAGGGCGGCCCAAACAAACAAACCAGGCCGACATGGAGTGACTGACAGTGTGTGTATCGGTGGATGCGGTGTGTGCCTGGGCGGTCAGGTTTCGACTCGTTCTGCGCGTCTGTAAGCGACAGTTTGTCTGACTTTTACCCCATCGACCAGACGCCCGGTAAGAGCATCATCCAGGACGCCCAACCCATAAACGAAAAACTGCAGGTCAGACACAGACAGACAGACAGACAGACAGACCGACAGACAGATAGACAGACAGAAAGACAGACAGATAGACCGACTTGTCACCACACTCACCGGAGTGTGCATTGTGCCGATGTCCTTGTTGATGAATACCTCAGTCTTTGTCCCGTGACTGGGAGAATGAGCGTCTGGAGCGTGAGATAGAGGAGGCGCGACTCACCGGGTGGAGCAAGGGCGCCGAACTCATCAACGGAAGGTCACCCACCGAACCGAACCATCACACAGACATACCCTGTGCACGTACGTGCCGGTTGGATAGCTGCATGTTTGATGTGTGTGGCACATCCCATCAGGACGGCGATGTTCTTCGTGGCGACGGGTCTGCTGACAGAGTTTTGGACAGGCCAGTCGATCCCAGAGCAGATCCAGACGCTGTTTCAGACACTCGGGGTGGCACCGCCATCCTGATGTGGAAGAGGGGCGGGTGCGGTGTGGGCGGCTGGAGACGATAGATACGTGACGGTGACGAGAGGAGTGTGTGGTGTGTGTGTTTTTTTCGTGTGGACTCGCACACTCATGGATGGATTCGGTGGCTGGCCGCCTCTCAAAGATGACTGCGGCTGATGACATAGCATCAGTTCATGGGACGTAGATGTATCATGTAGCAGCCGTGTAAGGCATGGAGCCAGCACACGTCCTTGCCGCACGCGGCACATGACATTACGTGGGAAGAAGAGAGGAAACCACCACAGATATAAAATGTAGACAGCGGTTTGCGACACCGCTTCTTTCGAGACACCCGCTGCCAAAACGTGTCTCAAGGTGCACTGACACAGCATAGTATGCTCCACCAGACAGGACATTTTGGGTCGTACACATCTTGTCGGCAGGGCCGACAACATGTGTGTTCTGGCTGGCATGGTGCTGTGCTCACGTACTTGTTGTAGAATGTCTCGTGAGAGAGACATGGCGATGGCGCTGAGTAAACAAGACAACTCCTCCTCACACGACTGCATACAGACGAGACACGCAGATGAATGAATGCACGCATGGATGACCTCTAGTGCCTGCCTGGCAATGCCACCCACCGAGAGCTAGTTGTCCATGGCAGACGGCGCAGGATTGGCAAACGACTTCATGAAGGCACGGTAGCAAACACTGATCGCAAGAATACCAACATGCACCCAGTGATCTGTATGTAGTTAACGGTGTGTGGTGTCGATGTGGCCTTGATGCTGACACCATCGTCGCTCAACCGGCTCTTCTCTGAATCAAATGGCATCCATGTCTCTCTCCGTGTGTGGGGGTGCCGCCGTGTCCGTACAGACAGTACCTGTTGTCTTGTTGGTCTTGGGTACGGCCTCATACACACCCGACACACCCGAACTCTCGCACACTGATGGAAAGGCCATACATCCAGATTAGGTCGTTCAGTCGTTCTCCTGGCAACAGCTTACCCGTCTCCTGCTGCCTGTTGGTCGCCTTGAGCTGGCTGTTGGTCGCCTTGGCTGCTGTGATGGTCGGGACGGCCTTGGCATCCAGGCACCGACCAACTGAAGCATCGCTCGACTTGGAGTTGGCCATGTTGGCCTTTGGCGACAACTCAAACACAGTTGACGCTGTAATACACACGGGGGCACGCAAATGAATGCGTGTCTGTGTCTGGTGTTTTCCGCGTTGTGCATACTGGTCGGCTTGGCGTCGTGCTTTACGTCGGTCTTGACAGCCTTTGATGCAGAGTCCAACGCATGATGAAGATGGCGCTGTCTGCGCAACCAGAGACACATCCTTTACCGCTCCCCGACTCAACGCGGACTCAGCAAATTTGACTACTCAGCACTCACTGCAACAATACACACGTGCACCGGTGAGACACCATTTCATGTGGGTCGTCTGCTCACCTCCTGCTGCACTCCAGCGAGTCTCCGATCGACATGACGCGGCCGAAGTGCATGCCCAAATCCGCCACCAAATCCGCCAAATACGACGTCTGCACATGAACACACACACAATGGCCCTCTCTCTGCACTCCCTGCCTGTGTCTGTGCTTGCCTTCCATCCGGTCGATGACGTCTTGCCCCGGATGGTGGCCATTGATGTGCGCGTGACAGGATAAAGGCACTGCCATCAAATACAACATGTAGGCAGCGATCACACACCGACGATCAGCCGTGCCTTCCTGCAGGCCTGTCTGTCCTCTCTCGAACGCAGACTCAACGAAATACAGACAGACAGACAGACAGACACACATGGCAGTCACACCGACAAATGCACATGCATCCAAGCCAAGCACGCACAGTACACCGGCACACACAGTCCACCAGCACAACACACCAGCAAGTACACACACAAAATCACCGACAAGTGCAGTCAGCACAGACAACACGACACAGCACACAAATCACACCCACCCACCCGCAGGCAGCTTCAAATGACAGTGGAGGGACGCGGCATCCCTCCCCTTCCGACGCCCCATCGCAGCCAGCCACCCGTGCATGTCAGGGCCGCCTCCCGGTAGTGAGTTTCAAAATGAGGGGGCGGCAGAAGGGGCATTGAGGCGGCTGCTGGGTCTCCGTTGCGCAGGCCAGCCGCCGCAGGTAGCAGGGGCTGCAGAGACACATGTGGCCCTGCACACACAGGACATCACGAAGCCGGTGTTGGTTCGTCTGTTCACGTTTCTTAGTTTGCGGCACAACTCACGCAGGGGTGAGTCTGGGTGTCCCTCGCCTTGTTGTAACAGATGATGCAGCGCTCGGCCTCTTCTCTCCCCTCCTGCCGTGCCGCTGCCGCCTGCTGGAGGGCCGCCTGCCGTACTCTGCAACCCGCGGGTCCAGCCGCAGCTGGCCCAGTGTCATGTGGGAAAGAGGCGGGTCACACGGGTCGGAACCGGGGTGCAACGCAAATGTGATCAATATCTGGTCTCCCCCCTGCCCCTGGGAAAGCCACTTGCCCCACTGCTGTCCCATCGTCTCATCGGTGCCGCGTCGGCCGCTGCTGCCTGCTGCACCGCCGCTGCTGCCTGCTGCACGGCCGCTTGGCGGGCCGCGTCGGCTTCCTCCGCCCTCGCGCGCAGATGTCCAATGTATCATGATCTACACGTGCAGCTCAGCAGGCAACCTGGTGCCGGTAGCGCACATTCTCCAGCTGCACCTGGAACGTCATCGCCTCCGCCCTCTCCAGGCGCTCCTGCAGCCTGAAAGAATATGAGCATATGAAGCGACACGCCGTCCTCGTGGTCGACCACTGGAACCTCATTGACAATGGCGTTGTCGACGAGGAACTCGGGCAGCCAGCTGTAGCCATTGGTGCAGAGCCTGTCGCCCTCTGTCAACTGCAACACACCCAACACAAACAGACGGACGGAGAGACACACAAATGAGCGAGCACGTAAGTGTGTCAGGGATTCTGGCTGGCTGTGGGTCAGGTGCTCGATATTGGCCCGCTTGAAGGGGTCGTAGGCTCCCCTGGCAGCCCCCTTTGGCGCCCGCTCCTTGCGATTCTTCCTCTGGGGCTGCTGCACGCCTCCTCGCCCTCCTCCTCCTCTCCCCCGTCTCCCCCTCCCCGCCCCTCTCCGCCATCGTCCCTCTTGCGCTTCAGCTCTTGCGCCTCCTCACGCCAGAAGTAGCAGTGTCCGATTTACGTTGTTGAGGCATATCACACATCGCGATCCCCATGTTGGTGGCCTTCTGGAACTGAGTGGGAAAGACATGACATACACGGGGAAATGAAAAACCCGAGCCGAGTGCGATCTCGAGAGCTCGGCTCAGAGCGCGAACTGGGGGAGCGGCAGGCCACCGATCGTGGGGGGCGCTGCCGCTGGATGGTCCTTCTTCTTCTTCATTGCCAGCATTAGGGCCGTGGTGCGCTCGTACAGCTGGTGCGCTCTGAAGGAAAAAAAGTAAAAAAGGAAGAAACAGCGGGAGATGAGCTGGAACTGAGTGAGAGTGATGTAGTCTGTCTGTGGTAGCCCACCGGACGACGAAGACCTGTTCGACCTTCTTTCTGGCCAGTCAGATCGTCGTGGAAGACTGTCCACTGGGTTGTGTCCCACTTCCCTCCGGCAACCATCCATCCATCCATCCATGGCCTCTTCTTCAGGCGCGTGTGTGTGCGGTGCGGCGGGTACCTGGCACAGCGGATGTCTCCACGGCCAGCTCAGCGGCGATATCCCAGGGGTAGTGCGTCTCGCCCGGGGCTATATGCATCCAGTTGGCGGCGAGGTCGTACTGCACGGAGAGCACACACACGCACACGCGCATCATGGCGGTGCAGGGACGTGCCAATCAATGGGTGGGTGTGTGCAGGTCTGCACTTTGTTCTCTGGCAGGCCCCCTTTCCGCGAGAAGCGATGTGTGTGTATCCTGTCGCCGACCCTGACCCATCCATATCACACACCACACATTTGACAAAACACGTCTGTGTATGCATCCCCGCCTTCTTTCTCCCCTTTTTCTGACCCACCTCTCACACGCCTCCAGAATGGTAACGTCGTAGCCTCGCTTCTTGAGCGGCGGGTCACCGCCCCCGCCCCTGCCCCAATTACCACCACCTTAGCGTCGAGGTCACCATGGCCGTCGCCGCCGTCGGCCAGCGGTGGAATCATGAAGTCCTAGTGCTTGAGCTCATCCATAAGGCCCAGCTCGACACCACACGGTGTACACACGGGGCAGCTTGATTCACCAGAGACACGTCAAATATAAAATGTAGGCAGCGGTTGGCGCAAGACATGCTTCTGATCCGTTGCTGCGTGGGTCTCTGCGCCACTGCTGCCGCCCTGCCTCTCGGGACATCACGAAGACTATGACCTCCCTGAGATGGCCACCCATGAACCACTCCACATGTTGTCCTGCCGAGGTTCTTCACCGAGGGGGTGCCCGGTCCCATTGTCGTTGATCCGCACCTCCTCCTTGAACCTCACCGTCTTCTTCTTTTCCCGCTGAATGGATGGCTTGGTAGCCGCACTCTTCAAGCCCAGCAGCTGAAGTCTCGAGACAGCCCGCCCGCCGCTTTGGACAGACCGCGCGGGCCCGGTCCACCTTGGCATCGCCGCCAATTATCTGCAGCGAGGCCACATCCGCTGCGAGAGAGATAAAATGAAACGCCAGGCCGAATCCCTGCCTGCTGTCACATCTTCTCGTGCAATGTTTCGAGCCACTTCAGTAGGAATGGCAGCGCGAGCACAATCGAAAGCCTTGATGCCAGCGATTACGACCCCGACATCGGATGCTGTCCTTCGTTGTTGTCGAGGTCGTTGTTGTTGTCCTTGGTGTCGTTGATGGTGTCGCTGTTGCAGAATGAACTCCCTCAACGTCTCGGAAGCTGCACACACACGAAACAAGGAAGGGAATGGAACCATGTAAGCCGACGCACCGGCTGTGCGAAACACGAACACGTACTTGCGTCAAGGGGTGGCAGTGGGCCGAAGTGAGGTGCAGGAGGCAGGGAAGCTGCGGTAGAAGCATCAGGAGGCGGGGAAGGCACAGTGCACAGAAGATTCGGGGGGTGTCTCACGTCGCACGGTATGATGTGCAGGCCATTGTTGTGGAATGAGTCACGTCCGCCTGAGCGTTGAGGACAACAAATACGACACTTCCTCCTCACTCACCTGCACACACGCACACAGGACACACACATGCACGGGCGTGTCGAATCGTGCCGTTCTCTGCAAAAGCTCTGCGACATCTGCATCTTCGCCTCGATTTGTTGCGATGCGGGGAGCAACATGACGGCGGCGGTGCGGGAAGGAGCCATCCCGTGCGGTGCTCTGCTGGCATGCGGGTGCTCTCATGTGGCGGATGCACCACTACGAGGTGCCACGATGAGAAGGCGAAGAAGAGCAGTCCTGCCGCTGCAGGCAGCATCGCCTCGATAGAGAACGGCTGATTTCTGCCTGAGTGAGGAATGTAGCCGCTGATGGATCCAACACAGCTGACACACAACACACAAACAGATGCAGATGAAACTCCTCCTGTGGTCCGAAGGCCCGGGTTGGAAAGGTCTGAACGAAAAAGACAGGAGAGCATAGGTTTGCTCATACACACCAAACGCAACACATACGCTTACATCTGTTTTACTTTTCTGTTAGGAGGTATCCAAGCAGGTGTCGTGTGGGCCGAGGCGTCTGTGTAGGCGGAGGCGTCTGTGTGGGCGGCTGAACATTTTCGACGCTGCCGCGGAGCCCAATTGGCGGAGCCTGACACCGCACATACGAGGCAGGTGCAGCGACAGTTCTCGCAGAGACATGTTGACATGACAAAAGTCGGCAGGCACAATAGATCTCTTCTTACTTATGTCGCCATAGTGATACCCTCGCTCGCTCAGACGCACTGGTCACTTCCGTTGCCCGCCCATTGCCGAGTGCGGCGAGTTCAGGGGCAGCCCTCGAGCTGTCTTTGCATCATTAGTTGTCGCGACACAAGGCTGTTGTGAGGTCTTCAGTCGCTGACAACGAAAGGGAAGGTCTTATTGCTTGAGAAGGTCTTGTATACCGCTTACCGCGATCGATTGAAGTGGCTTACTCAGCGGTATATATTTTACTGACACGGTCGTGAGTAAAGCCTTCCCTGCTGATGGTCCGCCTGAAACACAGCCAAAGTGACTGGTTCACTTTTGATTGCGCGACGCGGCATGCAAATGAGCTGTGCGCTGTAAGGTTTGCCTTTGCTGACTCGTGATGCTTACCGCGCCGACAAAAAGCCAGCGGGCTCCTTCATTCTTGTTTCCATGGAGCCGCTGGCTAGAAGGGAAGCACTCGATTGCTTGTGTATTCTGACGGGCAGCTCTGCCAGAAGCACGAGAGATACATATTTGTATCAGTCGACTGCCGTACCTTCGCCAATCGAGCACTTCCACGTCCCTTCTAGCAGCGACTCCTCGACCAATCGAGCACTTCCACGTCCCTTCTGGCAGCGACTCCTCGATGAAGGCCCGTCTGTAAGCTGCAGGCGACAAGACACCGCCGTGAGGCATGCGATCATGATGTGCAGCAAGTGTCGCCTTCCACAGCCTTGGAACGGGACCTTCTTGGGATGCCAGGCAGCTCTGTGGTGTGGCACTGAGACACACATACACACGCACACACACACACACGCGCACACACACACACACGCACACACACGTCGTATGACCTCCCGACATTCAATGCTTGCGTGTCTTACTCTTGGTGGATGAGTTTGAGATGCACACACCGCTGCAAGAGCTGTCGGTAGATCTGCAACAGACAGATGCGGAGCCGATCACGCGCTAGTGTAGACTCTGTGTTGTACTCACCCTGGCAGCCTCCTTAAGGGCAGGAGGCCTCCTCTGCTTCTCTGTCGTTTTCCAGCTTCTTCAGCGCGTCATCTATGTAGTCCCATTGGGCCTGTGTTGTATTGTAGTATTTGCCCTCGTCTGCGCTGATGAAAGAGTACCTCGTTTCACAAACAAATCTGCAGCCACACACACAAGCCAGTTCTTTACCCAAGCGAAGCAACAACGTCTTTTCTTCCACACACACGCTCACCGCTCCAGGGGAGCCTGCAGGACACAGCTTTGTGGCGAGAGTGGATTTGAGTTCATCTGTGGCGAGACAAGAAGTAGGGGGCAAAATAAAGCCAGCCAAAGGTTGTCGGTCTGTCAATGACTCACGATTTGCCCAAATGTTTGACGCATGGCCTGGATGCAGGAGATACGAGCGGCGTCGATCTTCGTCTTGAAGATGATGTCTCCCACATTCCGGCCGCTGTGGATCCCCACCACAGCCGAGTAGCGTTCTGCCAGCCAGGGCCCCACCAGCCATTGGTCGTCCGGGCATAGAATGGGCAGGCCTCGCCGTTTTTTGGCGTCGAGCGTGACCGGCTCGTAGATGAGCCACTGGCCGTGACCACGGCAGACGACTGTGGTGAGGTCCTCGAAAATTCCCCATTCTCTGAAAGACAAGCCGTCTCGTTGCTTGCAAACAGAACGGGGAGGTGTTTTTTGACTTACTCAGCGGTTGTTATTCTTGTGAGTCGGTCATGCATGAAATCTCCTTCTCTCGTTATCTTCTGGCTGAGTACAGCAAAACATGTCAGCCCTTGTTTGTCACATAAATGAAAGTTCTCACCGCGCCGGAAGAAAACCGACTGGCGCCCTCATCCTCTCCTCTATTGAGCCACTTGTTTGTGGTCTCGACGAGGGCGTCTGCTTTTTGCAGGCACCGATTTGCAGGCCCTCTAAACGATACAAATACGACACCCAAACAACACACAAACACACAATCATGTGCAAATGAATTCTCCTGTGGTCAGTGTGTGGCGGATGTTTGCGTCCCTCCATTTTGGCTTGTATACTTTGCGGAATCCGGCATCGATGATAACGGCCTTGGAGGCGTTGTCGAGATGCCGGACGCCGTAGAGGTCGGCCGTTAGCTGCACCCTCGTCCCGTCCCTCACCGCGTCCCTGGCGGCGAGCACCTTCTCCCAGAGGTGCACGTTGCGCACCTGGAGCCTCCCGAGGGCCTCAGGTGTCAGGGCGGTCAGCGCGCCCGGCTCCATTGGCCTGTCCTCGAGGAGCTCGGGGCTCCGGTACGCCTTCAGCAGAGGGGACAGTGGGGCGTGTGCGCCCTCGCCCAGCCGACGGCCGAAGAAGCCGTGATCGCTGCCCTCCCTGTCCCTCAGCAGAGCAGGCGGCTCTGTGAGGGCAGGGGCGGCGTGAGTGGTGACTGAGGGCCGGTAGGGAGGGCCGCGCGGCGGCACCATCGCCTGGGAGGGAGCGATGAGTGCCGCTGATGATGCCATCTCGGGCGGATGGCAGAGAGGAGAGAGAGAGAGAGAAGTGGGATGCGATGAGGGCGTTTGCTGATTGAAAAGGTCTCCAGGAAAAAGAGAGCGTCTCCCGTCTCTGGCACAAAAGTCCGCGAGCTCGAGAATCTCGACTTGCGAGCTATGAAATGGAGAGGGCCCTTGTGAAGTATATATAGATGATGAGAGCCGACAGGCGCCAGCCCTGACGATGGCAGGGTCAATTGCGGCAGAGCACCAGAATTTGTGGCGGATCTCCCGTTTCCTGTTCATCCGGGGCGTCGGCATCTGCTACCTCATCGCATACATATCCCTGTTCGTGCAGATTGATGGTATGTACGGAACACACAACAGCAAAGACGCGCTGAAAGATATCATCGCTCCTTGTGTGTTTGGTTCGCCGCAAGCAGGCCTCTACTCCTGCAATGGCCTCTTGCCAGCAGAGCGGCACATCAAGATCCACAGCAGCCTGGCGTCCTTCGCCACGCGGCCATCCATCTTCCCTGTCATCGCCCCAGTGCTCGACTTGCTCCCCTCGTCTGTGGACCAAGGGGCCTTCCTGATGTCGGTGGTGTGCCTGATGGGCGTCCTGCTCTCCCTGTGTGTAGCTCTCAACGTGACGTCCAACAGCGCGGTGCTGTTTGTGCTGTATGCGGGGTACCTGTCGATGCTGTCGGTGGGCCAGACATTCATGCACTTCCAGTGGGACATACTCCTGATAGAGACCGGTGCGTGCGTGAGCTACGTACGTCAGGATCACTCATCCATCCATCTCACTCAAGAAAGACCTCTTCTTTGCTCCCCTCAGGCGCGATAGCCATCCTCTATGGCGACTGTCCCTTGGGGCTTCTCAAGAAATTGATCATCAGCCCGGGCGGCACCGACTACGGTCGGACAGACACGTCGCTGAGGGAGCCGGTGCATCACCGAGTGGTCCGGTGGCTGGTGAGGTGGCTGCTGTTTCGGCTCATGTTCGCCTCGGGCATCACCAAACTCTACAGGTGGACAGACACACACGAGACGAGAATGGATGGATGGAGCCTTGACGTGTGTGTTACGTGTGTGTCAGTGGGTGTCCGACGTGGTGGTCGCTGACGGCGCTGCAGTGGCACTTCCAGTCCCAGTGCCTCCCCATGCCCACCTCTTGGTTCGCCCACAAGCTGCCGGGATTCTTCCTGAAGATGGGCGTGGCGGGCACATTCTACATCCAGATCTGCGTGTCGATCCTCCTCTTTTCACCGTGGCGCGTCGCGCGGCACGTGGCGGTCTTCTTCCAAGTGGCGCTGATGGTGCTGATTGCGGCCACAGGCTCCTACAACTTCTTCAACCTTCTCGCATGTGTCATGTACGAAATGAGCACACACACAACACCACACCCCGCACAGTCCTGCAGCCATTGAATGCATTCTCGTGTCAGGTGCCTGAATTGCCTCGACGACAAGGCCATCCTGTCGTGTGTCGTGCCGAAGGAGCTTCTCTCCCTCTGGGGCTGCCCGATCACCTCACCACCCTCACCAAGCCCCTCGACCCCCGCCACCACGTCGCCTCACAAACCACCCTCATCCAAGAGAGGCAAGAAGGCAGCGGCGATGAATGGCGACAGCCGGACGGCCACCACACGAGCGGACGAGGCACATGAGAATGATGACAACGAGACCTGGCCCATCAAGCCGTTCTGGCGGCGACCGGAGGTGCTTGAGGTCGGCACGTATGTGTTGGTGGCGCTGGCTGTGATGGGCGGGTTCCTGGTGCTCTTCCCGCTGGACCATGTCGCTCAGGGGCGGCTGAGATTCAATATCGATGACCTGAGACGGTTTGTGGTTCTGGTGGTGCCGACGCTCACACTCACCCAACGTGAGAAGGAAAGACTCAAACAAACAGGGCTCCATTGTGTCTGGCATTGCTGCCCTCTGTGTGTGTGTGTGTGTGTGTGGTCAGTGTGGGTGATGATTGTGGGTGGCGCCGTGGGCCTCATATGGCTTACTGTCCATCAGAGAGAGGAACTAGCTCAGTAGGCCAGAGAGATTGCTATCTTGACAGACGCCAACCAACCGCACAGTCTGTGTGTCGTTGTGCCATCCCGAATGCAGGCGGCGCATTAGCAGATGGGCGTCGGTTGGGACCGTCTCGTGGGCCCTGTTCGTGTGCACGGCTGCAATCGCACTCTTCCTGAACAGGTCAGTCACAACTGATTGATGCCACAGCTCCCTCCCGCGATGGTGTGTGTGCGGCCGGTTGTGTGTGTGTGTGTGTGTGCAGCATGATGCCCTTCTACCAGGGGCTGGAGATGGAGGTCCCGTCGGTCCACGGCACGCAGCGACGGGGCCGCGACCTGAGCAAACCCGCCCTCTACTTCCTCCACCCACCAGAGCTCCTCACCACCGGGCTGCACAGACGCACTGGTGCGCACAGACAGCATTTGCACCTCATTCGTGAGTGAGATGGTCAGAGTCTGTCTGTATGTATGTGTGGTTGTGTTGTTTTCAGCTCCGTTCCAGCTGACTGCGAGCTACGGTCTGTTCCGCAGGATGACGGGTGTGGGCGGGCGGCCAGAGCTCACCATCGAAGGATACGATCCAGAGCGGCGGGTCAGTCAGTCAGTCAGACTCACACACACATCCATCCATCCGTCCACAATAATGTCCCTCTCTCTCTCTCTGTGTCAGCAATGGTTGGAGTATGAGTTTGCTTATAAGCCGGGGAGGGAGGACACCCGGCCGGCAATCGCCCAGCCGCACCAGCCGCGACTCGACTGGCAGATGTGGTTCGCTTCGCTGGGCCGCTACCAGGAGAATGGCTGGCTGGTCCATTTGGTCTACAAGCTGCTGCACAACGACCCACACGCCTCGCGCCTTCTGAAGAGCAACCCTTTCCTGCCCAAAGAGCACCCCGCCAACACGCACCAGCAGCACATGCTGCCGCTCGTCATGGGACTGTGGAAGCAGCTTGTAGGGCTGCTGGGTGGGCCCAAAGCGTCTGAGGGGAAAGTGGGCGTGATCGAGCACACAGAGAGACTGCCCGCGGCCCTCCGCATTCTCAAGTGGAACTATGAGTTCACGGTCAGCCAATTCACACACACACACACACACACACAGATACACACACACAGATACACACACACACACACACGCCGCTGTCGAATTGGTGTGTGCATGTCTTTCTTTCAGGACCGTTGGCGGACCCACGAGTGGTGGAACCGGACCAACCCCGCCATTTACTTGCATGAGGTCAGGAAGGAGGACTTAGAGGAGCTGCGGGAGGGCCAGGGGTGGCCGCAGCTCACCAAGCCCACGATAGCTGACGGCATCAACGTCAACACCGACCCGTCGGAGCTGACGCCCTGCCCCATCAACATATTCGAGAACTTCCCAGTAGTGGAGCTGCTGCTCACGGTGCTGGTGCTGGTGGTGTCACGCCGCTTCACCAATGTGCTGAGCAGTGGCGGGGGCCGCCAGCAGACCAGGAGAGGGAAGGAGGCAGCTCGATAGAGAAATATAGGTACTGATGGATGGATGGATGGGTGCGTGTCTGTGGCCTATGGTGTGTAGCTAGCTGATGAGACCTCTCTACTGCTTTCGGCAGAGAGTCAGTTAATCAATACCATTCATTGAATGCCTCTGTCTCGTTAGTGCCTTGCAGGCCAGCACGCAAACTTTCTCCCCACCCATATATTCAGCCCCCCCTCAGGCACATTTGGCCAAGTACAGACCCACCCACCCACCTCGGGCCCACCCATTCATTCACACTTGCACAGGCATCTCATAGGACACCCCAGACGATGACCGTGATTCCACAGCGCCCCTGCTCTCACTTTCCCCGCTCCAATCAACAACCCCAAGCGCACCCCCCTGTGTCTCGCCCGGCTGCCCACTGCCAGTGCTCTCTCGTCGCACAGACGACCGTCTTGACGGCGACGAAGAGCTTGACCACTGGGCAATGTCGGGATGCACCACTTCAATCCCGCCGTCGGTGTGCGGAGGATAGGCCAGCTCGTTGTCAAAGTCATTGGAGCCCCACTGCACCTCCCTCCGTGCTGTGGGCCCTTGGTGGTCGGAGCTGTGTGTGTGGGTGCCAGTGACGGTGTCGCTGCTGCGGCGGGGTGGGGCTGGGTTGTTGCCTTTGGTTGGTGTCTGGTTGCCCTCGGCTGGCTCGGGTGAGCCCGCCCGGTGAAGGGCGGCGTGCAGGAAGATGTCGAGCTGGTCTTGGTCGCTGGCGCTCTCCTCTTCGGACTCGTGAGCCTTGGTCGTCGTGCGCAGATACTGTGACACAATGAGTACAGGACAGGGGCAGATAAGTGTGTCGATTGTATATATTGGATTGTGTCTCACTCACCATGACGGTGCTGGCTCTCAGCCGTTTTCTGGCGTCTTTGAGCTGCTGCAGACGGCCCTCCATTTCAGCACGGCTCCTCTGTGTGTCGAAACCCACCTCCCTGCCCCCTCTCACAACATTCCCACCACGCCCACCCTCCGCCACTCTCGACTTGCTCGGTGACACCACCCCGCCCCCTCGCTCTCTCTCCTGCTGCAGCTGCACGATCAGCCTCTCCTTCTCTTCAAGCTTGTCATATAATTCAAAGAGCTCCAACGCTCGCTGCTTCAAAGCCCGCTGCAGCTGCTGAATGTCGGTCGACGCAGAGGGGCTGCCTTCGTTGATCGCGTCGGCCCTCTTGCTGGCCGTCTGCAGCGCGAGGGTGAGCTCATCCTGCAAACGTGCCAAGACACTCTCCTTATCCACAAACAGCTGCAAGGCCTCCCCGAGCGCCCGGCCGGCTCGGTCAATCGTCTCGATCAAGGAGTCGACATTGAGCTCGTCATCGGGTCCATGGCCGATGCGTGAGGAGTGGGAGGGCGTGGGCGGGATGGATGGGGTGGAAAAGTCGACTATGGTGCCGTCTGGTCGGCGCGAGAAGTGGGTGTAGAAGATGGCCAGCTGTCCATCGAGCGTCTTCAGCGATCGCTGCAGGCGGGCCATGTCGTCAGCAGGGAAAAGCAGAGCAGCCTCGCCCTGGGAGACATATCATGCAAGATAGGCAATGAGGGCTTCTCGTGCGTGCGCCTGTGTGTTGACGCTTACCGAAACTGACGCCCTTGCCTGTCTAAATATCTGCTGTATCTGTGAGGGCGAGTCCGGGCTGGAGGGACGACTGTCACGGAAGGAAAGCAGCGTCTGCGTGAGGTCCCCGACCTGCCCCTTGAGCCTCCCGATCTCCTCATCCTTGTGCTTCGTCTGCCTTCTCAGCTCTTGCACCTGCTCACGCCTGTAACTCTGCTCCAACGTCTCGAATGCGGCCAGGGTCGCCATCTCCCGCGCAAGACTCGTTGCCTTGCCCCCTCTGCTGCCCTCTCTCTCATCGCCAATCTCGCTTGGGGCGCTCTGTGGCCTGGCCAAGGCTGACGGGCTTTTCTTCTTCGCTGCTGTCGCCAGTTCTTCCTTCTCTTTCTCCAGCCGCGCAATGTGCTCATCCCTCGCTCTCAGAGCCGCGCGCAAGGCCGCGATCTGCTTAGCCAGGTGCTTAGGCGACTTGAAATTGGGGCTCGTGTCGATTGTATGTGCGCTTTGGCTTTCAGGTCCTGAGTGGGTCTCGCGGATGGCTTTGAGGGCTGAAGGCGGTGGGGTGGGTATGGTGGAAGATGAAGAGAGGGTCAACTGCAAGTCGTCCATCTGCCGCTGGGCGTCGTGGAGCGCCGTCTGATGACCGCAAGACATCGTCATGTGAGCGGGCCGTATTCCCTGTGTCTCATCTCTCACCTGCAGATTGTCGCCTTCTCCCACCTCTCTAGCATTCAGTCTCGTTCCCTTGATTTGGGTAGTAGCGAGGGTATCGGCCTCACTGGCCCTGCTGAGTGAGGACGTGGGCTGCGGCTGTCCCTCTCCGTCGTAGCTGGCCCCCTCGTCCATGTCGGTGCTCTCGAACGGCCTCTTGACAGCGGTTGCATGTGCTGGTAATGATGGTGGTGGCTGCGTGAGAAGGGCGCTGAAGGTGAGGCTGGAGGACGCCCAATTCAGGAAAGACTGTGGAGACACTGACATGATAGGCGACAGGGGAAGGACTTATATGCTGCGAAAGGACGCAGTATACTCACCCACCGTGATTGGTGTCTCTGCTGCCATTGCGTCTGGACTGGAATATACTCAGTTCGCCGAGAAGGGACGCCTCGGTCAGGTGGGCCGGCAGCACTGACGGCCACAAAATCCGATGGGCTTGAAGCAGACTGATGAAAGGGGAGGCAGAATACAGAACGAGAGCGCCTCGTTGTCTTGCTACAATTGGTCACCTGCCAATCATGAGGGAGAGATGGGAGTGTGTGAGATGGCCCAAGCCGTCGAAATCGAAGAACAGAAACAAGACTGGACACACAGAAACAAGACAGTCCTTGTGTGGTGCGTGGCTACGTGACAATCACCCTGAGTCTGTGTGTGTTCCTCACACTGAGCCTTCACGATGACATCATCCGACGCCAAACACGCGAGTGCAGCGAACACCAGCACCAGATTGAAGCCTTCCCCACCACCCAGCGACCCCACAGACCTCAGGAGCGCCAGTAACTCACCCGACAGCTCCCGAAACACCGATACAAAAACGTCCTCCCGACTGAAGGGAATCATTCAACCGGCGACATCATTGTGGTTTCTGTGTGCTTGCGTGTTGGGGTACCATCGAAGCGTGTCATCGACGGCCTTCTTGGTCTTGTGCGCTTTGAGGCGGCCATGGAAGGCACACAGGTCCCGTGCGAAGAGCGGGACGAACGTCGGGAGGCTCATTGGGGGACGGAGTACTCACAATGCTCACGAACTGGACCAGGGGGGATGCCCTATCGATGATGGGAGTTCCCGGCCATGACCATGATTCCTTTCGGCCAGGATGCGACAGGACGAGATGCTAGACGAGATAGTGACGACGTGATCACGATGCGGTGCTCCCGGGTAGTCCAAGGTCATCCTGACGATCACCTCCTGCTGGGATGTCCCGAATGATCCTCGCGATCCCAACGGCCAACGGCAGAATTTCTACCCTGTACGAAAAGTGCGGCGATTTCGAAGCTGTGAACGACTACGACGACTACATTCGCCATTGCCGACTAGCAAAAGCACCAGAAACACACCGAGACGCCTTCAGCAAGCGCATGACCTCTTCGTGAGGGTCAGCAAACAACACCAATGTCATACGCCTCCAGCGCCCCCAGCCCTCTGGCTGCCTCTCCGACAGCTGGCAAAGATGGCAGCGCTGCATCGCCAACAGCACCATCAGCACTACCCGACCTCTTCTCGGCTTTCCGCCAGCTGCAACAAGACCCCGTACATACGATGTCCTCTCCCACCCCAGTCGCCTCTCCCCTCAACGCCCCGGCGTCCGTGACGGCCGGGAGCGGCCTGACCATCCCCCACCTGCTGCCCGACCACCTGTTCCGAGTGCTCGGCGTGAGCAGCTCCCCCGCGTCCGGCAGCTCCCGGGCGGTCGAGGGCAGTGGCGGCGGTTCTGCGCTTTCGCCGCCGGCCGCGCCGTTTTCCCTGTTTGCCAAGAGCTTCAGCCTGTCCACTGAGTCGAGTGCATGGGGGGAGGAGAGGGGCGTCGTGACGCCGATCGCTGCCGTCGGGGCGGACGGGAAGGATGATGGCTCCACAGCCCTCGCATCAGGTAATGAGAGATGGGCAGGGCTGAGTGGCATTTCGCATGTTTCTCTCTGTGTCTGCGTTGCATTGTTCAGTTGGTTCTCTGTTCCACGGCCAAGGCCTCTGCAAGCCGTGTGTGTTCGTCCACACCAAGGGCTGCAAGAACGGCCGCAGCTGCCTCTTCTGCCACGACTTCCACGAGCCCAAGCGCCGCAGACGGGGCAAAAACAGGCGCTCGAAGGCACGCGCCAAGGCCAGCTCCACGACCAGCAAGGAGGGCAGCACCGACGGCCACTGCTCGTCCTCTGTGGGCGATAACCACGACAGGGATGAGGTGGATGAGACCAGTGGGCTGACGCTGCCGGTGAACCTGCAGCGGCTGGCCCACTACACTGTCGAGGAGATCGACGCACTCGTGAGGCTTTACGGCAAGGCAGGGGCCGCCAACAAGGTTAGGAGAGAGGTCAGATGACGTCGGACACATGCACTTCATGTGCTGTCTGTCTGCCTGCCTGCCTGTCAGGTGATTAACGACATCCCTCCCTCTCTCCCCACGCCCCTCCCCGCCCCTCCCGTCGAGCCGTGCTCGCCCTTCCCCTCACTCATGAGCTTCTCTCCCGCCGCCTGCGGCGGAGGCACCACGCCCCCGTTCCCCCCACCATACGCAGCAGCGGTGCATATGTTCCCGGCCACACCCACTCTGACGTGCACGGAGCCGCTGTGCCCCTTCCCTTTTGCCGTGACGATGCGCGAGGGGCCTGCTGCCGTGGCCGTCGCGAGGAGGGAGGACGCCGCATGCTGACTGAGACGGAGGCAGGGCAGGCAGAGAGAGGGGTTGGTTCTCTACTTGTCTATCTACGCTATGCCATGCGATGCGGTGTGATGCAACGTGGTGTATCTATCTGTCTTCCCATGTTTTTACGTGTGTGCATATCGGTTGGAGGTCGGTCAGTGGATGGATGGATGGCCCATGATGGATGCGGTCGGTTTTTGTAGCGTGTTCGTTCGCGAGAGAGAGGAGAGTGTGTGAGTGTGTGTGGGTACGGCTCAGCTGTCTATCGTTTTGTTACCATCGGTGTCGCGTTGTTGCTGAGGCCTCGAGCGAAGATAGAATGCATCGCACCAAGACGACAAGATTGAATGCATTGATTGATTGATGCCACATTTTTCCCGTCTTGCCTGACTGCCTGCCTGCCTGCCTGTCTGCCTGCGTGTGTTGAGGGCAAGGTTGAGTGCGAGGATGTGTCTCCCCGTTCCCCCTGGCCAGTGTGTGATGCCTGCCTCCGTGAAGAGCGCAGATCGCATGCAGTGGCCGGGGAGGGAGGGGGGGAGACATCCTTGGTTTTTCGTTCGTGTGTCCGAGCGAAGCGTCATCATATATGTGTGTATGTCTCTTGTGTGGTGTGTGTATCCGTCTCATGTGTGTGGGTGGGTGTTTTGTGTGAATGGTGTGTCTGTGGTGTGATGCGTCAGGTGTGGTGGGCATTGCGTAGGCACGTGTGCAGTGTGGTGGTGTTGTGTGTGCATCCACGCAGATCGCAGGCAAAGAGACGACACCAGCGATGTGGGTGGATGTGCATGCAGCGCTGCCCGCCAACCGCACCGATGCATCATAACGATTCTGACTGACCAGCCGTCTTGTCTATATATACTATATTCCTGACCGCTGCCGCGTGACGAGTCACTCACACTGATTGTGTGGCCAGCCACTCACTGACCCACTCTGAATGGATCGTCCGTCTCCTTCGATGATGTATGTGCACGTCTGATGTGTGTTCGGGGGGAATGGGCGTGTGCAGCGAAGTAAGTAAGTGTGTGTATGTTTATACACACATTACTTACATGACTCACATTACTCTAGCTGTCATGCCTGTCGGTATGTTTGCGCTCCAAGTCGGCCTGGCTGCCGTTGGGTGTCTGTCTGGCTGTCGATACTAACAAACTGTTTTAGGTATGCCCGTCTCTGTGTACATATCTGTGTGTCTGTGCGAGCAATCAGGCCAGCTGTTTTTCCTCTGCATCCCCCGGATGTGTGTGTGTGTGTGTGAGTGGGTGAGGTGATGGCCACACGGACGAGTGAAGGGCAGCGGAAGTGTTGCGTATGCGTATCTATCTTTTTCAAGTCGACGAGTGAGTACATGTACAGGCAGGCGGGGCAGAACGGGGGCCGGACCGGATCGCTACGATGGACAGAAGCTGCGTGTCAATGCGGTGCGGTGCTGCTGATGGCATATGGAAAGAACAACACAACGGCAACACTATGAAGGCCATTTCTTCGTTAGGGGAAGTCATGTGAGAACACCACACCATGCGCACACACTTCGACGGGTGGCGTCTCACGCACACACATGCATCGAGGGGACATGTCTGCCCCGCCATCCATCCCCTAGTCAAGACTGCAGGCCACTACAGGCACGCGCAACTATCCATCTTGTGCTACCCTACCCGGCACGAATGCCCAAAACGTGCTATGTAGGGCATCGTATCACCTGACTTTCATTGCACCGAAGAAAGTCGTGAGAAACACCACGCCCACCCACATGCAGGTGTGTTTCTGACGAATGCATTATGAGTAAAAATGAGACGCGTCCGCGACCCTTACCCCTGGTCAAGTCTGTATGTACACTACAAGTAGCCGCAACGCATCTGCTCCCTGTCGCCTCCCTACTGGCCCTTGGCTACCGGATCCAGCGTGAACACACAGGAGGCGACGTTCGTCTCCCCGTCGAGCCCATCTAACTCGCACTCGTTAGGGAGGCTGTCAACCAGCGAGGCCAGGCTGCACAAGGAAGGACAACCACCACTCATCTCTTGACACTGACTGCACCATGTATTTCTGTTGGTGCTCACCTCCCTATCTACGACATCGCGGAGGCGACGCGGCCGACGTCCCGAAAGCATCAGGAGCGCTCACACTTGACCTGAGCGGGAAACCGACACGGCGCGTGCAACCAAGAATGAGCCAAGTCATGGATGAAATGCGCCTGTCCTGTGTTGTGTCCCTTGTTTCCTCACCTCGTCACACGAGCAGTGTCTGTTGAGCGTCAAGAAGGCACCACTGCTGTCGCTCATGAACGAAGGCACCTCATTGCTGTTGTTTTCTCTTCATGCCTTGCTTGACTATGCCTCCCCCGTCCATCCGCAACGCTCAAACGTCAAAGATATCCATCCTTTCCCACACTGACGCCGATCGCTCTCAGCTCGCCGGCTACAAAAGCGTGCTTACTAGCAGTTTTTCCCCTGCTGCTTGTCGTGTGTGAGCTGTGACTGCGGTTGCTGCTTCCGCTGACTTGCCGTCATTGCTGCTTGCCGCTGCTGCTACTGTTGCCGCACGACCGCCATGACACAGATTCCTCCATGCACGAGAGTGAATGCACAGGGGTGAAAGGATGAGCATCTCACAGCTCATTACTCTCTTGTTGTTTATCTGTGTGTTTGTGTCCATCAGCTGCCGTGTTATCTGTGTTGTTTATCTGAGTGCCATCCATCGCTTCACTGGCAGCCGCATCGCCTGTGTAAGCGGGATGAGGCATAGCCAAAAACTCAACTGATAAAAAACACTGCAGGGTAGGAAACAGGGGCTGGCAGACAGATAAAACGATGGTTGGAACTGCTCTGCGTGTGCGTGCCTGCGTGTGTGTGCAGGTGTTCCACATGACCGGCGTGTGACGGCCTACGCACGGACGGCTCCTGTGGTGCGGTGCGGTGCCTCAACGCTCTCAGCAAGGCTCGACGACGCGACCTAACCCTCACCTGCTGCATAGCGACACTCACAAGCACTCGGGAGATGGACCTGGTGATGGACACTCTCTGCGTTGGGGCTCTGGTAGCTCTCGGTCTACTTAACGTCATACGCCTCCTCGCGTGTGTCGTTGTCAGTGTTCGTCATGCCATCGTCCCCGCTCTCAGTGTCGCTGGCATCATTGCCGCCAATACCCGACTAATCATCGTCATACTCCTTTGTAAGACGAGTCAGGCGATCCAAGCACAGGCACAGCGAGCGACGACAGAGTCCCGGCTCCTCTTTTCTCTCCGTTCGTGTGCTTTTCCTTCCAGATGTGTGCTGGGGCGTCGTGCCCGTGTCGCTTGTCGGCATTTTCTGGGACACCCTTGTCCTCAATGAAGCACTCATACTCTTGGCTCTGACGCCCGACAGTACCAACAGAGCCTACGCCGCCATCATTGAGGGCGTCGGCATCCACCTGCCCGACGACGCGAGTCAGCCCACTAAAGACCTGGTGCTTGGCATTTTGCTCCGCAACATCAGCCTCGACGGCATTCAGCGGCTCATTCGTCTCGGCGCTGACGTCAATGTCATTGTCACTCTGACGTTTCCATGGGAACAGAATATGAATCCGGCAGGCAACTACACCCAACTTGTCAGCCTCCTTGTGCTGGCCACCGACACCAAGAGCGTCTTGTCCCCCCTTCAGTTTGCGACGCTGCCCGCGATCGCCTCGACGATCACTCTGCCTAAGTGGTCGACGCGAGAGATGCAGGCGGCCATCCTCAATGAGCTCATCTCGGCAGGGGCGAACGTCAACGGAGGAGACGACCACACCATTGTGCCCATCAAGATGGCCAAGGAGTCCCTCAACATGACGGCCGTCGAGGTGCTCCTCAGCCACCATGTGGCAGTCCGCGGCCACCCGTCCCTCGCCAGCAGCCCTCTCCTCTTCATGCAAGGGTGTTCGCTCACCGATGAGGAGGCCGAAGACACCCTGTTTGACATCTCTGCCCGCCTGCTGCAGCACGACCCATCCCTCGCAACCGACACGGGCGTCATGGGCGACACGACCGTGATCAGCATTTGCAGCCGCAGGAGTATGTCGCAGCGATTCCTCAACAGATACCTGGACATGTTGGTGCAGCATGGCGCGTCGTTGACTCAGCAGCAGCAAGCTGGAGGGGGGGCCAGTGTGGAGCCTCTGACGCCACTCCAGTGCGCGGCCTGGGCGTCCAACCACAAAGCTCTGACGTATCTACTCGGCCGCATCCCTTTGACCGACATCGACGGGCCCGGCAGCAACGCGGCGGGCGTCGTCAATCTGACCGTCCTTTCATGGGCGGCACAAGGCCTGCGCTGCCCGCTCGACGTCTCCCGTTCCCGCATTTTCCACAGGTTGAGACCTGTCATCCGTGAGATGATCAACGAGGCCAAGCGCTGCATCCGCACCCTGCTGCAGCACGGCGCGTCGGTCGACCTGATGCCCTCGCACACCCAAGAGACGCAGTACGAGCGGTCCCTGGTGCTGGAGGAGTATGCGGCGATTCTGAACGAGCTGCCGGAGCGTGTGATGGCTGCCATCAATGCCGCCCTCAAGCCGCAGCGCGACACCGCTGCCCGCATCGGCTGCCTGCTGCCCATGGCGCCCCACCACGATGGCGCCCACCCCGACCCCTCCCCGTCCAACCTCACATTCGGCCCGTGTGAGGCCACAGGCATCGCATGGAAGATCGGCTCGTTCCTCCACGACCCGTCGGCTGCCCGTGCCGTCATTGACAAGTTTCTCATCGCCGACTCGCTTCTCAAGCGCCGCGTGAGTGCCGCGGTCGACCATTTCATCAACCAGGCGGCCACCAAGACGGCCAGCAACCGAGAGGTGGTGGGCGGCGCCCGGCACGCGCAACAGCAGGAGGGAGGGGCGACGAGCGGGACGGGCAAGGGCGAATCGACGGATTGTGTGATGGTGCGGTTATTGAAGAGTGTGCCGGGTGTGATGGTGGCTGGCCGACGTGGGCAGACGGCGGCCAATCGGGAGGTGGTGGGCAAGGCCGAGAGGGGCAAGGGCGAAAGGGCGGGACGGGGGCTGCAGCGGTGGTTGAAGAGTGTGATGGGCGTGACGGGGGCCGGGCAAGGCGGGCAGACGGTGTGCGTGCCGCCACTGCAGTGCTTCGCCATTAAAAGGGGAGAAGACGGCCAACACAGGCGCCTCGGAGTGCGAGAGGTGGTGCATCGGGCGAGTTTGGACGAGGCAGCCGTGTATGGTCTGGAGGGGTCCATCATCAAGTGCTGCAACGGCCACCTCGGCAACACCGACTGCCGGTTCCAGTGGGGGCAGCTGGGCTACATCGACCAGTCCGGCCGCTTCGTGTCGCTGGGCATCGACTAAGAGGGAGGGGAGGGAAGGGACTCTTCCGTAGCTTGAGGGAGGCTGGGGGTGTCGTTTCGTGTCTGTGTGTTCCGACCACTCTGGCCGCCAAGCGACAGAATGCTGGCTGGCTGGCTGGCTGTCTCCTGTCTGTCTGTCTGCCTGTCTCTCTCCCGCTGTGTGAATACCGTTTCCTGCATGTCTCTCTGCATGTCTGTCTGCCGTGAGTGCTGCTTGTTTTGACAACGACCCCGGCTGCTGTCTGTAAGGGTGCGCTTGTCTAGTGTGTGTGTATAGACATACAGATCTGTGCAGAGAGTGTCTCCAGTCGACAGTGTCTCCACTTGGCCAGACAGAGCGTTTTGACGCGCTGTATAGTGACGTCTTTCGGTTTGACACGGTTCTCAATGATGGTTTCTCGTGCTGGCCGACCAGTCAGCTCGAGGACGCGTCAATTGATGCTGTGTGAAGCGAAAAGAGCCTCCTAGATCGAGAGGCCGGTGGCACATGTGTGGGGGTGTGGGTTCATCAGACTTGAGTGGATGTGTGGGCGGATGTCATCGCATAACTCAGTACATACATAGCAGCATGACGCATCAAAACGACACGCGTCAAGTCTGACCGTACACCACAAGTACGCAAAGACTACCCACCTCTCCCACTTGTCGCCTCCCTATTGGCCCTTAGCTACCAGGTCCAGCGTGAATGCACAAGGCCCGAGAAAGCTCTCCCACTCTACCTCGATCATGTCACACTCGACTCGATAGTGAGGCTGGCGAGTGAGTATGAAGCCATTACGCGCTCATAGCACTCACACGCTAACGCAAGAATCTCCTTTTCTGCCCCTCATCTGACGACCCCTCCTGCCTGAGTGGTGTGTTTGCTGCTCAGGTAGTCGACCGCCTCCTTGAGACAGTCGCCGCCACGCCTCGTGTGGCTCTCCACCACAGACAGGTCGCCGACCGTCAGTGAGGCATCGTTGCCAGCTAACTGCAGCAACACAAGCTGGATGGATGAAGCACGGAACACACCAACACACACACACCGGCCCCACCCACTTGTGATTCTAGTGTCTGGATGAGCGTCTTGATGCGATCCATCTCCTGCCGAAACCGACGCAGGCCCTCATCGCGAGCCGCCTCCTGACCACACACACAACACACAGCGAGGTCCCTGCCAGGCAGCCGAGACGAGACAGACATCCCACGTCTAACTCCATTGAATGGACGACCTTTGCTCTTTCGGCGGCCTGTTTGGCGGCCTGTTTGGCTGCCTCCTCTTCTTCCTGCGAGACACACACACAATGACAGACGACCGGCGTATGGTTAATGCTCGACACTTGCACATATACGTACCAATGCCTTCTCAATTGCGGCGATCTCCTTCTTGTGGTTCTCCACGATTCGCATCCGCTCCGCCTCACTCACAGCACTACCGCCGGCGCCGTTCGGACCTCCCCCTGTCGCCACTCCCTGGCCTGCAGACACAGACACATCGGCCAACACGAGTTGAACGCACTACTGTTCTCTGTGTATGTACCTCCCAGCAGCGCCTTGAGTCGCTCGTTCTCCCTCTTGAGCTGATTCAACAACTTCTCCTGCACTCACAGATGCGTCAGGAGGCGAGACAACATACGGGCGGTCTGTCTCTCTGTTTTCGTCTCACCGTGGGGTCTTCGTTGATCTCAGCGTGATTCATGATCTTCTTGGCGCGATCTAAAGCATCAAGTGGAGACTTCAAATCACCCTCGCCTGTGTTGTTGTCAGTCTTTGCCGGCGCATCGTAGTGTCGACAGTGTCTCTTCGTAGTTAGACGAAGCGGGGGACACGGCGCATATCATGATGGTCTTCGATGAGCCTCCGAGGGCATTCTGAAGCATTCAGCAGAGGAGTGACGCGCGTGTGAGTGCCTGACGACTGGATATCTCCACCTGCAGCAGTCGGGTGAGTTTTGAGTCTCGGTAGGGGATGAGCTGGCCCTTCTTCAACTTGCCTTAATGTCCACAGGAGAATGTGTACCTGTATGTCTGTCTGTTACCGGCCCGGGCACCTGAGCCCTTGTCTGCGAGTGCCGATATGACGTTTCTCAATGCAGACATCGACTTGTTGATAGCACTGGCTATAGCAACTGAAGGCCGTCCGTCGCCAGTGTGTGTAATCCTCTCTCTGTGTGCTCACGCGACTGTGTGCACACCTGTTTGCTCGGCATTCTCGGAGCCGGCGAGATCGACCAGTTTGATGACTGAGAGCTTGCGGCCCTCCTTGCCCATATCGTACGTCGTCACCTTCCACACACATGGCGCACAGACAGGTAGATTGTCATGTGTCACATACAGCATCCATCCATACTTGTGTGAATTCGATGATGAGCACCGTGTTTGCGCGGGAGCTCGTCCTATCACAGAAGACAAGCAGACCGACAGGCACAAGTAAGCGCAGGCGATCAATGGCATCTTTCCATTAGCGTGTGAAGACCGACGCGTTCATGAGGGTGGAGCCGATGGTGCGGTTCGCCGTCCCCTCGTCGACAAGGTCTTCAATAGCCTCGTAGCTGTTGACAGCCCGCTTGGTCAGGTCCTGCACGTAGATGCCCAGCTGCTTCGACTCGCGAACCTCCAGACCACCCTGACAGAGCACAACAGCACACAGCACCACACGCAGAGACAGGGACCTGGTTGGTTCTCATCGATCCCACCTTTGTTCGCTGGTTGGCATGGATAAGAAGGTCCTGGATCTTCTCATTGTAGATCTCCAGCATACCGATCTGCACACTCGGACCCATGCACACAGACATTCACACGAGTTGAGCGAGCGGCTCCTGTCAGTCAAGCTCAGCCGGCTGTTGCTTACCGTCACTTCGAAGTGTTTCGCTGGGTCGTGGTTCTCCCCGATGCGGCGGAAGATGTCCTGACACGTGGTGGGTATGATGCCCTTGTTGGGGCCGAAGCCAACCATAGAGTACGACTTGCCCGCGCCCGTCTGCCCGTACGCAAACAGACAGCAGTGATACCCTGTCCACGCGTTGTTCTGAGAAAGAAGCAGACACAGACAGGACAGACAGACAGACAGACAGACCAGTTGTCTTGATCTTGCGGCATGGATGCCCAAAGCCTGCTGGCTGTCTGGCCGACTGACCAGCACTTCCACGCCCAGGCAGTCAAAGACTTTCTTCTGGTCGACATAAGGGCTGTTCCCATCCTCAGGGATCAGCAGCCCCTCGTCGCTTATGGCGAACCTGCACAAATGACAGTCTGCACCGCCTGCGAAGGCACGTGAGTGTGCAGCTCCGCTGCTTACTTACCCATCATGCGACCAGAATGAGTAGTCGAATGTGAATGTCTCCTCTCCCGTCCCACCGTCGACATCATTAATTGTCGTCGTTGGTCCAGCCTACACAACACAACACAACGCATCCACGTCGGGGCGGGCAAGCCAGCTCCCGGGAGCGACCGTCTCTCCATATACCATGGCTATGCAGCAGACGGCATCGAGGCCCTTCTCTCTCTGGTTGAAGGGCCGCACCCTCACGGCCACCTTGACTGCCGAGTCACTCATGATGTTATGTTGTCAACCAAAACAAATCGCTCAACCAACGGGCCAACCTGGAGACACACGGGATTGGTGCATCAGCCAAGGGCGGGGGACAAGAGAACACGCGGTAGACAGGAGATGGACGAGTGGGCCTCTGCGCACCTTTGGCAGCGGAAGGAGAGGCGAACACAGAGCAACAGGGAGCGGACACTACCCCCACCAGGACGTGATGCAAAGGGTAGAAACAACCGTGCTTCACTTCAGTAGGGCTGTGGGAAGAGAAGAGCTGGGGCAGGACCGGCCGTGGACCGGATCCTGTCGTCCTTTCGGAGGGGGAGAAGGGCAACCGCTCCAGAGTTTGGGGCTCGAGAGTTTGGGGCGGTTCCCGCTCAGTCTTAGCCACAGCTGGCTCTCGATGAGACCTCCGACACGCCCATGGATGGCTACCGCAAGCCGGAGATCTCCATGCAGCAGCGGTTTCATGGAGCACCCTAGGCACTTGCGAGCTCAAAGAGGTGGGGTGATCCCAAAAGACGGCAGATCTCCGGCTGCATGACCGTCAGGAGGATCTGGCCACTGCATCTGTGGCAAGAACGGAGAGGATCCGGCTGCGGGATGGATAAGTGGGCATCAGCGGGTCGGTGGCTTGAGGAGGTCTTCTGATGGCGAAACGACACTGCCCACGTCAAGAGGAGGTAAGGGAGAGGGCGGGAGGCAAACAACAAAGAGAAACCGCAACCATGGCGGCGCTTTGTCGTGTTTGCCTGCAGGAGGATGTAGATGGGATGTTGGTTGACGACGATGATGATGGCCGAGTGATTGATAGCGATGACATGGACACACCGAACCATGGGCAGCAGGTGTGCATTGACTCACACACCGCCCATTTGCTTCGCTATCCACACATCATCGTCTGTGTGTGGTGCTTCGTTGCTTTTGCAGTCGTCACTTCCCCTGTGGACTGTCCCGTCCGACACCATCTCGACCTTCCTCAGCCCTCTCCTGGGCACCCAGTGCATCATCGGCACCCTCTCACTCGTCCGCAAGGCCTTCCACACCATCGCCGCTGAGCCCTCCACCCACCTCTGCGTCCACATCCACACCGCCAAGGCCATCCACCTGACCGGCCAGCAGCTCAGCGTCTGGCTCACCCGACTGAGCAAGACCAAGCGTGCCGTGCTGTTCTGCCCGGTGACGGAGAGCATCACGAGTCTGGTGGAGGGCACGAGCAACACTTTGACCTACCTCGAGATGGACCACTCGCATTCAGAGCGGCACGGCAGGCCCAGGCTGCTGTCAGAGCGTCAAGGGGCGTCTCTGGTGGAGTTCCCGGTGCTGGAGGAGGCGCGTGTGGGCGGCGACTGGGCGCAGGCGGCGCCACGCAAGCGATGGGCACTGCGGTAGGTGGCAAGGACAGCGAATGACACACAACACAGCGATTCTCATGTGTGTGCCTTGTTGTTGATTGTGCGGCTTTGCAGGTCGCTCGTGTCATTGAGCGTTCGCGACTGCCGATTGCTGGTCCCCGTGATCGGTTTCGGTGTGTGGTGGCGGTCCTTCGCGCCAGCCCTGCGGTCGTTCGAGTACGACGATGATGGGTGCTGGAGCACCCATCCGTATCCCTACGACACGCTCCCACTGCAGGAGCTTCTGCGGGTCACCACATCTGTGCCTGACCTGAGCGCCCTGAAGGTGCTGCGCCTCGAGATCAGGTCGTGCTTCACCCACGGGGGCGCACAGCTGCTGGCTCAGCGGGACCTCAGGCTGGAGGAGGTCGACATCGCCCTGTCCCCCGAATACTTGTCGACTCAAGACATCGAGGTACGATCTTCATCCACAAGGCGGCAACCCCTAACGCATTTATCAAGACACAGTCCTCTCTCTCTCTCTCTCTCTCTCCCTCTGTGTCTGTGTGTTCGTGTGCGTGTGTGTGTCTGTCTGTCTGTCTGTGTCATGTAGAATGTGGATGATTTTCGACAGCTGTGCCTCGCCCCCAACGTCACCGAGAACTGGAGCAGAAGCGATTTCTGGTTCCGCCTGGAGTCCTTGTACGACTCATCGGGTATGTCGAGCGAGGTGCTTCGTAGCTGTGCGGGCACAATCAAGACACTGGCCTCGGTGCCTACAGAGGTGTCCATGAGCACTCACCTCACTGGCACTGGGGTCTCTCATCTCGCTCTCTACGGTCTTGTCCCGTCGCTGGTGTTCTCTCGGGCACGCACACTCACTGTAGAAAGCCAGCCTAGTGACGGCCCCCCTCTGGCTGAGATTGTCTTGTCGCATGTGCCTCATCTTTTCCCATGCGTGACACGGGCGGAGGCGCTGGTCGATGACATGTCTGATGCGCTGGTGCAGAGAGTACTAGGGCAGCTGCCGATGCTCGAGGCAGTGTTGCTCGAGACCACAATCGCGTTCTCGGAAGAGAGCGAAGACGAGACATGGCTGAGGGTGGATCAGACAGACAAGGACAGGCCATTCGCTGAGCGAGCTCGCGAGGCCACCAAAGACACATGGGTGTACTGGGAGCAAGGCGACACGGAGGGTTCTGTGGATTTCGAGTCGTGTCAGGAGATAGCTTGGTGGTGTGTGCGGGCGACTCACCACCTGTCCTGCCTGGAGAGCATTTTTGTCAACATCACTGTGGAGGGGGATCAGGGCTGGGAGCAGGGGCAGGCAGGGGGCGACATAGCGAGAGTGCTGCAAGAGTGCTTGACGCACCGGCCGGGCACCCCACCAGATGCTCTTCGAGTGCCTTTTCACCTCTTACTGCGTGAGTATGGCTTTGAGATGGTCGAGCTGCCACACGTAGAGTTCGATTGTCGTGTTGAGGTGCGGCGGCTGGGCCTGCCCGTCCCCTCACAGAAGCGCATCACTGACTACTTCTCTGTGGCTAGACAGTGAGACAGATATCGGGTGGGGGGACGTAGAGCGTGTCTAGTGGGTGGGGCCAGGGTGTACAGAGGGGCTTGCAAGGGGCGGGATATACTTGCTTGCGCGTGTCTTCTGCGTGCCTTTTGTGCATGTGCGTGGGAAAGCGGTCGGCGACTCACCCGTCAGCATCCCGACAGCTGAGCTGCAGGTGGGTGATCCGCCGACGGATCCAGACGCCATGTACCAGGGGCCGCTGTCGTGTGGTTATCTGGGTGTGCGAGTGAGACTCCTTTCTGTGTGAGTGCATCCATGTTGGCTTCAACACATGTGCATGTATACGCTGCTTTGCGACGGATCGACAACATCTTAATTGCACATACTTGAGTCTCCCGTCATACAGAACTAAAACTGCTCATGCATCTGTACACCATGGACAGTACAACCTGACACTGGATAGCGAACGAAACTCGAAATCCCGTCACCATCCACAGTACTACTGGACAAGGCCAGAAGCTTCTCCCTCTCTCTCTTTCTCTCTCTCAGTTGATTGCCAGCGGCACGAATTGGCCATACTGGTCGACTTAGCCCAGCTGCCCCCACTGGAACCGGCAGTCGGTGTCGCTCAAGTGGCTGTTGAAGCCCTTCACCACTCCCGTGAGGCTGTATGCGGCTGCCTCGTCCAGCCTCGCCCGATGCACCACCTCACGCACAGCCAGCCGCCTCTGTGCATGTTGCCCGCCGTTGATGGCGAAGCACTGCAGCGGCACCCGCACCATCTCGCCCTCCACATCAGCCATCGCACCCACCACCTCCCCATTACTCGCTGTCCTGGTCGCCGCCTGCTCGACAAAGTGGTCGACGGCAGCACTCACGCGGCGCTTGAGCTGGGAGTCGGCGACCAGGTACTCGTCAATGATGGCCCGGGCAGCCGTGGGGTCGTGGAGGAATGCGCCATCTTCCATGCGATGGCTGTCGCCTCCTGGGGACCGAATGAGAGATTGGACGGGGCGGGACTGGGGTAGGCACCGTCGTGGTGGGGCGCCATGGGGAGTAGACAGCCGATGTGGGCGGCGGTGTCGCGCTGAGGCTCGAGGGCGGCGTTGATGGCGGCCATGACGTGGGACGGCAGGTCGTTGAGGACGGCCTCATACTGCTCCAGCACCAACGACCGCTCTTGGAGGAGGATATCTGAGAGATCGGTGGGCATCAGGCCGATAGATGCGCCATATCGCTGCACGTCGTTCAGCTTTTCAGGAGGATCGCCACGCTCGATACCCCATTGCAGCCCTTGTGCAGCAAAACTGAGAGCAGTCCTCTGTACCGACCACCTCACGGGACGAAGCTGGCGGTTGATGTCAGCCGCAGAAAGACGCTGACAGAGATACAGCAGCGGCCAGTAGGCGCCTTCATCGGCTGCACACCCCAGTGGCGTACGTCCGCGGTTGTTTTCGGCTGTGATGTCGGCCCCATGGGTCACCAGCATGTCCATGTACTCGTTGACGAACGCCTCAGAGAGCCCACCCAGGCAGCCGCTGTCGTGCAAGGGGGTGACTTCCATCACCGTGCTCCTCTCGGTGGCAAGGGAGGGGTCGTGTTGCAATAGGCGCCGAGATATGACCATCAGTGACTCCTCTTCCGCCTCTGATTGAGGGAGGGGGGGGAAGGGGACACAAAGCAAAAGAGGATCGGCCACACGCCAAGGCCGCGGACCGTCACGTTGTTGGCCAGCAACACGTTGAGCGCTGTGAGGTTGAGGGAGCTCTTGGCCATCCTGATGGGCACCACGATTTGCCCTCGGTCGCCATCGACGTGCGCCCCTCCCGCCAGCAGTGCCGTCATGATCTCCTCGTGATGCTGCCGCGTCGGCCAGAGGGGCAGAATGACCGACGCTTCCCCAATCCTCGCGGTCAGTGGGGACGTGCAACTCGTGCGGCTGTCGGTGTCCATGGCGAGAGCGAGGACACTCATGTGCAATCGACCATCGGAGTTGAGTGTGATGCCGACGTTCGGATCGGCCCCTCCATGAATGAGATCCGCCACGCCAGCAGCAGTGATGTCGCGGCGGAGGATGCGCTGCACGAGGCGCTTGGTCAGCTCGTTGGCGCCGGTCGGCAGCTGCATGTCGATGCCCTCGAGGGTGAGGGGGCGGCCCTGACTGGCCGCGCTGTCGCTTGCCATGATCACGAATCGGCCAGACCTGAGAGGCAACGGAACACAGATGCAATGATGGGTGAGTGAGTGAGTGTATACCTGTTGTCCTGTTCCTTCAGCAGCTGCGTACGAGATGAGCAGAGGACAGCACGGAGAAGAGTGAGTGAAAAAGGCTGGTTGACGTGTTACACAGAGTCAAAGATGCAGATTTCAATGGCCGCTGTCCCCGCGCGTGGCTCAGCGCCCCGAGAAAAACAGAGAAGCCTTGCGAGAGAGGGGGAGGTTGGTTGGTTGGTTATTGTGTTTAACGAGACTCGTGTCTGTAACCCCGAGGGGATGCTGGGCGGTTTTCACGGAATGTCCTAAGTTGCCCGAGCCTTCTTTTTTCGATGCGGCGCACCACCGGGAGGCGGCACGCGCACAACTGTGCTCCTCTGCACAGATCTCCGCAGCAGCGGCCGAAAAGAGCCCGTGATTAGCGAGATGGCTGCCGACAGTCCTTACCAGGTGGCTGTCGACATGCAGCGGATGGGCGTGCTGCGCTCGGCGGCTGATGCTCATCGCCGTACACTACAGAGGATCGACGACCTACTTCAAAGAGTAAGATCACAACACCGGTGCCGCTCTATGATTGCTGGGTCCTCTCTGTGTGTGTTGTCGCAGCTGGAGGCGTATCGGAAAGCATTCGCCAACGAAGCAGGACTGACCAGAGAACAGCGCCAGGTATACATGGCATGGAGAGCTGCGCCTCCGCACGTCGCGTTACCTTACCTTTTTTTGGTGTGTGTGTGTGGATCGGCGTGGTTTCAGCACGCGTCTGTGCAGTATGGAATCTGCTTTGGTGTTATGGATGCGGTGTGCCAAGAGGACTCAATGGCCAAGAAAGGCCTTCTCATCCCAATAGCTGAGGAGAAACTGGAATACATGGAGGCCTTCCTGCGCAATCAGGTGTGACGTGTTGGTGATGTCAGCACTCAACCCGAGTGACATCATCTCGCGTGTCTGTGTGTCTGTGTTGGCCTTTCGTTCAGCCCCGCTTCCCTCCCCTTTTGCTGGCCCTGCCCGACACGCTCATCTTCGGCCACCTGGCGTGTCTGTTGGGCACCCAGACGATCATCGGCAGCCTGTCGTCCGCACACCCCTCACTCCACTCCCTCGCCGTCAACCCGGACATGCACCAGACGGTTCACTTCGACGGCACCGAGCTCACCGCACCCACAGATAGGCAGCTGGCCACGTGGCTGCCCCGACTCAGCAAGACGACCCGGGCTGTCATGCTGTGTCCGGTACGGAGTGGGCCGCTGAGACGGTGGAGGGGGCACGCGGCACTCTGGAGAGCCTGGTGGTGGACGGCGATGACTTCAGCCACTGCCCGCAGCAGGGATGGCAAGCGGGAGAGGGCGCTTTGATCTTCCCAAAACTCAAAACAGGTGAGCTCTGTTTGCGAGAGGGCGATGCACACGGACCCTTGTCTGTTTGCCACCTTGTTGCAGTGATAGTCGGTGGGGATTGGACTAGGGTGGCCTGCCATCGTTCCTGGGGCCTCACGTAAGCAACACGCACACCCGACAGCACCTCACAAGGGACTCGAGCGAGCCAGACGGACAAGGACGACCGGACTCCTTTTAGCGTTTCACATGCAGGTCGGTTCAAGAGGTGCACATGGGCGACCTCGAACGGCTCCCTCTCAGCGTCTTCATTGGAGACATGTGCGCCTCGTGGAAGCGGTGGTCGCCTGGCCCTCACACACTGACCCTCGACAGTGGCTGGACAGTGCCGTGGGTGTCTGCGGCCGGCATCCTGTCGCCGTCCGTCAAGAAACTGCGGGGCCTCGTCATCAACGGCGGATCGACTCCCACACTGCCACTCCCGCCTGACATCGTCAGCAGGCCTCAAGTGGAGGAGCTGGATGCCATCATCACGGGCAGGAATGTCACCAAGGCCACCATCGCGGTCAGCGGATATGGGGGGGAAAACCACCACACACGGACGCACGTGTCTGGCTGGTGTGTTGTGTGCTGCAGGAGTTACACTGGGTTCGATCCCACTGGCTGGCGCCCAACGCCGCCGTCCGCTGCCATGCCGCCGACGAGCTCACATTCTCAACCGCAGTCTTCGCATACATGAGTGATACCATGGCCGCATACGCCCCCTCCATCGCTGCCCTCGCCCGTGCTGCGACGAGTGTCAGCTTGAGACTCTACTGGAAGCAAGGCTCGACATTCCCCTACCTCTTCCCCGACTCTCTTCTCTTGCCCGACTCTCGCGACGACCAAGCCGTTCTGTTTGAGCGCGCAAGGCGCTTGGTAGCAATCGACATAGTGACTGTGATGCACGGAGTGCTGTCTCATGCGGCCCATGCATTTCCCAGTGTCGCCACCCTCGTCCTGCCGATGAGTGTGGTACGCACGGGGGAGTCTATGGCATGGGCCATGGATGCGTTGGGCAACTTAGGCAATCTGCGGGTCATTGAGTTCACTTTGGGTGACTCCGAGCCTTCGTTCACTTCCTCGGTGCCTCAGTGTGATGGCGTAGGTCCTTATCTACACCTTAAGGGCGTTTTCTCGCCGTCGGTGTGTTCCCTCACTTTTGAGGAGCAGACAGGTCAGGCAGAGCAGATAGAGGGGCTCAGGCAGCGTGTTCGACAGATCACTCTCGAGGTCGATCTGTCGGTGGATGTACATGGCGAGATGTGGGTGTACTGTGAGGATGTGGCTGCTGCATGTCTGGCCGCCATCCGCAGCCTGCCCCACCTCGACCGCATTGTGCTCGAGTGTCGTGAGATGAGCGGGGAGGGTGACGAGTGGGGCAAGGATGACAAGGGGAAGGAGGGGGAAAACCCCTCCTTTATCTTTGACCTATTGCACACATGCCGCATCCTTCCGTATGGCTACATGCAATCGCATGGCCGCACTTTCTCCCTTGCGTTACGTACGCTAGGTTATGAGGCGGTCGAGCTGCCTCCACTGGGGTATGACTGTCGAGTAGAGGTGCGCCGCATCGGTTTTGTCGATGACCCGATGCAGCGCAAGATCACTGACTACTTCTCGCCATCCCCATCCAGCACCGAGTGAGTGAGGGCACAGCTGCGTGTCTGCCTGCATTTGTTGCCTATGTATATGTGCATACGGCTACGCGAACTGTCTGGTCTGTACCCATGCGAATCCATTATGCTCCCGCCGCCTTTGTCAGTGCGTTTATTCCATGATTCGTGTGCATGATGTATTGTGGCCGTTTATAGTGTGCGTGCGGTGGAGGACATGTATGGAGAGAGGTGTGTGTTGATTCTCTCACTGCAACTTCATACATCCTCCTCGCTGCACATCTCCACGGCCCTGTAAGGGCCATGCACCACCTGTCCTCGTACATTGCTAAACAGCCTCGTCCTCATTAGTTCGACCCCGTTTTGATGAAGCGAAGCTCGCAACTCTTTCGGTCCCATCGAAAGGTGCTGGGATGGAGGGTCTGAGCGACGGCGGCGCCTCGCAGGTGGTCAGGGCCCTCTTGCAGATCTTCAGACGTCTTGACACCGACAGGGATGGGCTGCTCAGTCCATCTGAACTCTACGACTTCCAGCTTGAGGTGTGGCGGCAAAAGGAGCAAAAACTTGTATTGTTTGCTCCAATTGCTCTGCTTGTTGCCACTCACGAGCAGGTGTTTATGCAGGACATTGAGATGGAGGATATCAAGGTGCTGCACAGGGAGATACAGCACAACTGCCCCGGCGGCCTTGTGGGCGACAAGATCAGCGAGGCGGGCTTCCTCTACCTCATCCGCACCCTTGACGATACCATCAGCGACGCGTCCCTCCTGCAGATACTCACCACATACGGGTGAGCCAGGCAGGGCAGGCAGGCAGTGCATAATACACAGGTGTCCATGGTTGCCTGCCTGCCCATACTCCCTGCTGCAGGTACACGCCTGACGGTCGGCTGAAGCCCACCAACTACAGCTATCTCCGTGACCATGCCTCGGCGGCCTCTGAAGCGGCGTCGAACCCATCAGGGGCATCCGATGCGTTCGGGGCACCGCCACACACCTTTGCTGAGCTCACGCGGCCCTTCATTCACTTCCTCGATGAGGTCTTTCACCAGTTCGCGTCATCGGCTGGAGGTCGTCCGCTGCTGAGTGAGAGGGGTGTGAGGCGGCTGTTCAGGCCGAGCGATGGGTTTGAGCGGCTGACGCCTGTGCCGCCGTGGTGTGTGGTCGAAGCTGTGGTGGAGAATGGCAGCGTGGGGCTGACACGCGACGCCTGGCTCAACTACTGGAGGTGCGCAAACTGGATAGCGAAAGGGATCGAGGCTTCAGCGGCTGTTGTGTGCGCTTGTGGCAGGTTGGCTGCTATGTACAATCCTGACTCCGTCCTGCTCGTGAGTCGTCAGCTGGGCTGCGCCCTCTCTCCGTCGCGCTGCCTCGCACCCAAGGAGCATCGCATCGACCGAACCGTCTGGCGCTGCGGTGTGGTCAGCAGCGGCCCAGACACCGGCAAGTCCTCCTTCGTCCACGCACTGCGGCAGCCAAACGGCCCTCGAAGGCGCTCGGGCGGCACTGCCATAGCTTGTGTTTCGGTGGATCATGAAGCGGGAGGCGCCAGCCGTCCTGGCGGTCATACGCCATGTTCGCGATCCTTCAATGACCACCAGGAATCACCCGCTCCGCTTGCCCTGCCATCCCCCACCCGTCCCCTCCGCATGAGGCCCTCTCACCCAGCAGCCAGTGTCAGCACAGCCGTCACAGAGGAGAACAGCCGGCACAGGGAGGGGGAGGACGACGCGTCAGGTCGCGTGCTACGATACAGCCGGACGCTTCGGTCGGTCAGCGAGAGACACAGGGAGATCCGGATGGATGTCGATAATCCGTTCTACGAGGCGCCCTGGATGGGTGAGGCGTGTGGTTGCCGGGAGGGAGGGGAGGTGGAGGGGCTGCTCGGGCCTGGGCAGGGTGACATGGAGCGAGGGGCGGCGGTCTTTGGCGGTCGTGACGTGTCGACGAGGACCAGAGATTCGTCGTCGCGGTGTCATCAGCTGATCGTGTCTGAGGAGGAGGAGCTGCATCCGGCCGTGTTGCAGAGGTACACATGACACACGTACCGAAAGACACCAAGGAGACAGACCTGTGTGTACCTGCTCGTCTTGTCGTGGCAGGTACGATGTTGTGTGCTTGTTGTATGACGTCACCGACCCTCACGGTTTTGCAAAGGTTGCAGCCATCATCGAAAGGTACGTCTTCGTCCACAATTCATGGCACACACACCACCGGTTTCACTTTTACCCCTTCAGTCTTGACACAGCGGCCACCTCGTGGGCGTCACATTCCGACCGGCCGCCCCAGCTGCCCCACATGCTCGTCATCGCCGCCAAGACAGACGGCAGACACGCCAAACAAGTAAGCACAGAAGGACAGACATACTGTATGAGAGTAGCAGCAGATTGACCATCGGTATATTGGTTCTGTCCTTCAGGTGTTTCAAACCAACATACTGGACTGGCTGCAGGAACACGGTGCGCGAGAAGAGAGGATGCGATTCACTCACGAGATGTCATGCTGTGTGTGCTGTTTACGGTCTACAGGCCTCGAGCCCCCTTTGTCATTCTCTGTGAAGGCCTCCCCAGACGATGTGGCGGTGCTGCGCAGCACCCTGTGGCAACACGCAATCAGACCGTGAGCAAGACACCCTCACAGCATGGCTGCATCCAAACACGGTCTGCCGTTGTGTTCCCCTTCCACACAGTTCTCAAGGGAGTATGCAGAGTGCCCTGGAGGATGAGGCCATCATAGTGCCCGCCGCATTGCTCGCGGTGGGGAGCTTGGGCGCCATCCTTTATTCTGTTGCACAAGTGGCGAGAGCCGTAATCGGGGGAAGGAAGGGCACCGTGTGAAGAGAGGAGGGGTGTCTGTCCTTTCTTCAATCATGTGTGGCCACCGTGTCTGTGATATAGCTATCGCTGGTGTCTTTTCTGATCCATGGGGGTTTGGCTGCGTGTGTGCATGTAGACACGCACAATTCATCTGGACGCATGCATAGTGCGTGTTGTACATGTTCGTCCATGGGAGGGAGACACACAATGCATTGCACACAATGAATGAATGAATGACACACATCAGTCAACGAAAAGCCCTAGCTACAGGTGTTCATCCCCCGCAGTTTCCTCCTTATGGTAGTCCTTGAACAGCAACTTGAGGCTGACGTCCGCCTGGGGGGCCGCAGACATGGCGGCCCGCTTTGGCCGAGACGACACTGACTTGAGCTTGATCTGCACAAACGAGACCGACAGAGAATAAAGCATCTTCGATGTCCGTGTCTGTGTGTACCTCGTGGAGAGTCAGGTTGCCCACGAAGAAGTCAAAGAGCATCTCGTCAGTGTTGCAGAGGTCCAGATGTGCCTTGTCGGCCGCCCCTAGTTGGTCCTCGAGGAGCACTAGGTCGGCCAGCCGGTCGCCCTCCTCGTCATAACCGTTAAGGAAAAATCGATACGCATCGTAACTGAACCGACAACAGCAATACGATCCAATGCTCGTGTGTTTGTGCATGTCTCTTTACCGATAGAGGGAGAGGATGATGGCCACCCCTGCAGGTGCGAGTGTCACACGTCTCCTCCCCACCAGCACCGGCAGCACCAGTTCCCGCCCCGCAGTCAGCCCAATAAGCGAGAACAGGTCCCGCCAGGGGTCCTCCTGGTCCAGCTGCGTCAGGATCCCCTCGTCAATTACCATCGAAAACCTCTCATTGGTCGACAGCTCATGTGCCCTCAGCTCCCACGCATCCCCCGCCATCTCGGGGCGGCTCGGCAGGCCGCCCTCTGAGTGCGGCCGGCTGCCCTGCCACGGCAGGGGTGGCTCGTCCATGCGGCAGAGCTCCAGCTGCAGCAGCTCGCCTGTCTTGGCGAAGGTGGCCTGCTGGAAGACCACATCGGGGCTGACGATGTCCGTTTCGGGTGACGGGCCTTCGGGCGGGTTTTCCCATGGGGTGGGGTCGGAGGGCTCGGGGGTGGCCTCGTCCAGGGCGTCTGGTGAATACCTACAAGCAAGCAGGGAGAGACAGACGGACGGAGACATGGACAGGAAGAGGGAGACGTACGTCGTATCACCTGTCTTGTTGCGATTGGCTGATGGAGGTGCCGGCCACGTCGAAGAAGCCTGGATCTGATCAGGGGGAGGGAGAGGGTGATGGATGAGATGAGATAAGAAAAGAGAAGAGTCGGTTCTGTGAGCCAACTCACCATCTGCCGCGCTTATGTTGGACAGGGCCTTCTGGACGAGCCAGTTGACACAGTAGTCAGCAACGTCCTCATGCGATGGGCTGATGCTCGCCACCTTCCTGCTCGCACCGTCACCACTGTCCTCCGCCGGCACGTCGTCTGTAGACATGATCACCCATGCATGATACACGCTCCTACCTTCTCCCATGTCTCTCCATGAATTGGCCGACCTTCGAATGTCTTTCTCGATGAGGCGGCATAGGTGACCCGGTTGCTGTCGTCAGACTCTCTGGGCGACTTGCCGATGTAGTAATTGTAGTAGTGGCCCGCACCCGGCTTCTCCTTCGGCGCTGGCGCCTTGGGCGCCTCCGGTTGGAAGGGGGGCGGGGGGATGCTGCCGTGGGGCACCGATGCACCAGAGGAGCGGCCCAGCTCCTCGGTCAAATGCAGCCTGCCCATGACAACTGTCGGGACCACACCTGGGTTGCTCACGCTCTCGCCGTGGCCCCACTTGCTCGATGGGTGAGCCGCCTGGCACACAAACGGAGGGAGGGAGGACCGACTTGTGAAGGGGTAAAGAGCATTCATTGTGTGCTTGTCGATCCAGATTACCTACCTGTGCCTGTCCCGAAGGTGCTGCCTGTGTGTCTGATTCAGGTGCTCGCGTGTGGATGGCATCGCCAAAAGACGGGAAGTTGTTGGCCGGCCTAGCCGCCTCCAGATGATTACCGCCATGGTTGTTGTTGCCGTGCCTGTTGGGGTCGCCGGGCGTGCCGAACGATGACTGGCGGATGGAGTCGCTGAACGAGCGCAGCGAGCCGTCCTGCGAGTTGAGCTGTCGGATGAGCACCAGAGGGTCCGACGGGATGAGGTGGCCCTCAGGCAGGTGGTGCAGGCCTGCTGACGTGCAGACCTCATACACGCGGGCATACGCGGTCTGTAGGGCCAGCAGCTGCTCCTGCAGCCGGGTGATGAGCGACTGTTGCCCCGTGGCTGTCGACTTGAGCGTGGCCGACTCCTTCTTGGCCGCCTCGTACTCAGACAAAGCCACTGTCGGCACGTCTTTGTCTTTGTGATCCATCCGAGAGACCCTCCCTGACCGCACACCGATGGACGGCTCGCCGAGAGGGGCAGGAGGCCCCTGCAGTGCCGGCAAGGTGGCTATGGTCGACTCGTCAAGACCTAATGCGTTGACGAGGCGCTTGTGCTCCTGTGTGGCCTCGCCAAGGGCCTCGTTGAGTCGGATTAGCAGCTGCTCCTTTTGATCGCAGAGGTACTGCCACTCGCGGAGAGCTTCAGACATCTCCTCCAGGGCGAGACGGTCCTCTGAAGAAGGGAGGAAGCACTGTGAATATGGAGAAGGGAGGCGGTCGCGTGTGTACCTGTCCTTGCGTTTTCGAGTTTGTGCTTCTCCTTTTGCAGCTGTTCTACGATCTCGTCAAGGCCTCGAGCATTGTCCCCTAAGCCCTCAAATCTGAGAGCCACACACCAGTGCTCGCTGCATGGGCAAAGAAGAACAGTCATGCCCATCTCATACCTCCTCTCTACCATCTGGAGCTGTTTCTCAAACTCCTCGTCACTCTGCGCCCGACAGTCCGATCCATCCATCCATCCGACTACATCGTTGTGTTTCTGTCTGACCTCTTCCTCAGCGGATCGCTTCAGCGCCCCCGCCACATCAGGCAATGCGGCCGGTGATGTCTCGCTGTTTCTGGCGTTGCTCCCTCTGCTCCTCCTGCCCTTCTTGCTGCCAGACCACGACACAGAAAGCGGGCTGACCGGAGAGGGGCTCTTCCTTTGCTGCTGAGAGTCGCTCTTGGCCGCGGCTGCTTGCTGGCCCGGTCTGCTGCTGCCGCTAAGTGGGTTGTATAGCTGTGCATCGCGTGTGTTTGCGAGTGCGGCCCTCTTCTTCTGGTGCTGCACCTCCTCTGACAGCCGCTTGACCTTCTCGCGAAGAGCGTGCCGCTCTTGCAGCAACAAACGACAGTCACTTTTGGCCTGAAATGAGTGAGTGACAATGAATGAGCTATTGACTGGAAGTGAAGAGATACCTTCGCCCCTCACTCACTTTGTCCAGCTGTGCTTGGAGTCTGTTTTTCTCCTTGTATGACTCCTCCCTCTGCGCAGCGGCCTTGCTTAATCGCTCCAGCACTTGAGCCTCCCTGTCAGTTTTGTTACGCTGATCGTCGCCCTCCATCTTGGCACGAAGGCCACGCTGCAAAAGCCGCACCTCCTGCACGCACGTATATCAGCACGACAGGAGACGTGAAGAGAGCCTCAAGGGAACGTCTGTGTGTTCTTTGTGTACCTGCAGGTGTGTTTCTCTCATTTCCTTCATCTGGTTGACGGCTGCCTCGCCACGGTCATGCCACTCAATCGCCTCGCGCCTGACAAACACCCACCCACCCGTTTGACGCGTACGTGTCTGTGTGCGAGTGTTTGTCTACCTGGCTTCCTCGGTGTCTTTCTGGAGGCTGGTCACGGTGGCGCGGAGCTTCTCGATCTCTGCCTCGTACTCACGGGCCTGAAGGCAACGCAAAAACCGTCTACCTGCAGGATGAGACGGCCATCAATTGGGTGATGCAAGTACATACCTGTTTCTTGAATGATTGCTTCTTGGCGTCTGTGACAATGAGTCGGTCCCTCGTCTCGCTCAGCTGGTGCTCGAGGCTTAAACGGGCCTTGAGAGACTCCTGATAGAGACACGCGTCGAGTGCAGTGAGGAAGGGGTCTGTCTGTCCACGTGTGGGTGTTTCTTTGTCGATCGTACATGTAGCTTTTGTTGTTCAAGTTCCCTTCTGAATTCTGCGTCCATGACTATATCGTCAGGCATGCCGCTCATGCCGCCAAACGTGCTGTAGGGACCTGTATGTAACCAACCAGCAAGAGCCAACCAGTGGCGCAAAGGGGCAGTGAGTGTACAATGGCCCGCTCCATACGTGCTCACTCACCTGTTGAAGCCTCCTGCGGCTCTTTTGCATATGTCCTGCCCCCTTCCAGTAGCCGCGCTCCATCAAACGGTCCAGAAAGGTGCGGGAAAACCACCGATGACTCACTGGCGTGTTGGTGCTCTGATGCCGCCATCGCGCCTGCAGGAATTGGTTTATCAGGATTGCCTAGCGGAGGCAGCGGAACAGACGCTGACATATGGGCGAAACGAGATTGATCACTGGCAGATCCTCTTCCTTGGCCATGGGGGCCGCCCCCAGGTCTGCATGCCCGAGCTTCTCGAGTCGGCATCTCGAAGCGGGCGGGGATGTTAGGCTCCAGCAGGGCAACGATTCGGTTTCCCCAGAGTCTGCCAATTTGTGGTTTGATGGAGGGAGCAGGAAGTGCGGACAAAGAGAGCCCCATTTCAGCTGAAGATGCGCAGCACCGAGCGTCGACGTCGCTAGAGGCAGGTGTCTTTGTCTGGCGGCTGCACCGGCTTCTCAAGGTGTGCCAAAGATCCACGTTGTCACCTCACTCACAGCTTGATTCAGGGTCTGTCCTTCTTCGTGTCTCACACATGCAGCGCGCGGCGGGGTGTCGGCGAGGAGAGTCCGTAAGGAGTGCGCCTTTCAAGTTGCGGCTCCCAAGCTCAGATGGCGACGATGCAGTGACACTGAGGAGCGCGTGGCTGGAATTCTATCCTACGGGAGAGTGAGACACCATCCACGGCTCATGAGTGCATGCGAGGTGTGTGTGTCGCAGGGCCTTCGCGCTGCCTGGCTTCTGTGGCCTCTACCTCCTTGCGGAGCCCGGAGGAAAGACACCCAGTGATGTGTTTGGAGTCCAGTTCACCGTAGGGCCCTTCACACAGCCCCCTGCACCGCTGCTCCCTCCTCACGGCCGCCGGTTAGAAAATGCCCCAGTCCCTCTGTCTCTCGTACGTTGCATGTCTGCTGCAGACCCATGCGTGTCGGCTTCCGTGAGTTATGTCCGCCCCTGGATGCCTATGACCCCATCCATGACCTGCTCACCATCACCGCCCGCATCGTGCCGGTCTCCTACCCATCACCACCCCTCCAGCTAATCAAATGCGACATCCCAATGTCGCCCCTGGCTGCACACAGAGAGACACTGCCCGTCTATCTCCCCTATGTGGCTGCTCTTGGCGAGATCGAGGTCGTCGTTCAGGTGGACGGTGGCAGGAGCGTTGCAGATGAGACATTCAAGGTGCGACATCGATGGGTTGAGCAAGAAGAGAACGAGGAGAGGGTGGGCGACGCTGCTGCTGCTGCTGCTGCAGCTGTGGCTGGAGCCGAAGAGACTCGCCGGGCATCCCGCAGACGGCAGGGAACGACACTCCATCCAAAGGCCGTGCAGGCATCGGTGGAAGCTGGCAGCCAAGCACGTGACCATACCCAGCCGCACCGACAGGCTCACAAGCCAGCCAAACAAGATTATCCCTCAACACCGATTGGAGAGCCTCCGACACCAGCATTCGGCGCTCCATCTCGGCCAAAGGAAGCTCTCCAGATAGCAGATGACAGCAAGGCCACCCAGCCGAAGATGACCGAGGTGACGACGAAAAGACATGGGAGCCCCCTGCTCGAAGCGTTGGCCAAGACAAGTCTTGAGACACACACTACTGTCAAGGACAGAGAGAGTGCGGCGGTCCCATGTGCAGAGGCTGGGCAGCCAGCGGCCTCAGCAACGACAGCGAGTACCAAGAAGGTGCCTAAGGCAAAGAAGGGGTCCAAGGACCAGCCTGCTCTTGCCTCATTCCTCTCGGGCAGCGTGCCGAAGTCATTCGCCCCCAGCAGCTTCCTCACCACCCCCACGCCAAGACCCACACCTGTCGACACGTTCGTCAAGAGGGAGAGGGCGGCAGATGAAGAGAGGCGAGACAAATGGCCTGTGGACAGGAGGGGGTCCACGTCGACTGTCAGCGGCAGGATGCCCCCTCGGCTCGACCTGTCGGCCGCCCGCCGTCCCACCCCAGTCGTGTCTCCGGCGCCGTCCATCACACCACCCACGAAACCAGCGGCACCCACCCCCGTGCCGTCGCAAGCCAAGACCTCCTCCATCCAGGAGAAGACGCCAAGAGGCGCCTTGCGACATCTTCTCTCAACAGCGACAGTGATCGAGAAGGAGAAAGGGAAAATGAGGGAGCCCCCAAAACTGCAACAGAGGAAGACCAAGAAGCGAAGCCCCAAGGACAGGAGAGAGAGGAAGGATGCCAAACCATCGCCCCGTCCAGTGGATGGAGGAGGCCGGAGGCGTCACGTGTTGGGGTGGTGGGCTGGGCCGCTGATGAGGCTGCATGTGAAGGAAGGGCGGCCGACAGGCAGAACGGAGCGCATGGATGTGGAGATTGCATCGGGGGACGGGCTGGCAGCGTTCAAGGACAAGATAAGGACACACTGACTGACTCGGCCGAGACAGACAGACAGGACGTGAGAGCGATGGTCGATAGAGATAGAGTAAAGGCAGTGGGCGATATATGTGGCTTGAGCCAAGTGTCAGGAAGGAAACAGGCAAGGGGACGAGACTTATTGATTGCAGTCAGTCAAGGGATGGTGGTGGATGTCAGTAAGTATTATGTACAAGGGTTTCATGATACACCCACCCACTCACCTCACGGCAGGTCCATCCATCCATCCCATCAGTCAGTCAGACACACACGCACCCTCGCCTCGCGCAGCCCTCAACTCAACCCACTATCCCATCCCTCATGCCATGGATGCACTCAATCCGTGCATTCCTCGCGTCTGTCTGTCAATCATCACCCAGCAGGCCCCCTGTCCTCTTCACCGTCCCTTTTCCTCCCCCTGTCCCTCGGCCGCCTCTCCCTCAGACCCCAGCCGCCACCACCAACGATCGCCGCCGGAGAATGGGCAGGAGGAAGGGGAAGGGGCGGCGGCCTCTCTGACGGCTCCGACGAGGCGAGAGAGTCGTGGCGGGAGATGGAGGAGGGTGACATTCCCCGTCGGGCAGCCGTTGATGCGATCGATGAGTTGGGCACGGGGTCGGGACGCCCCGGTACCGAATCGTGGCGGTTGCATGGCCGTCGAGTGGCTTCGCTCTCCCTCTCCTTCTCCCAATCCCACTCCCCATCCCTGCTGCTATCCTTGCCGCTGGTGTCCATGTTTCGCTCGTCAGTGAACAGGTGGCTTGCTGCACCTCCCAGTAGCAGCATCGCGGCAGCAGTGACGTCCTCTTCAGTCCTCGCCTGCACACAGGCAATCAGCGGTGGGTATGAAAGGGGAGGTGAGGTGAAGGCGCACAGAGGGAGGGAGTGTGTGCTGTGCTGTGCCGTGTCGCACACCACACCGCTGACTGACCGTGTGCGCCTTGTGCATGAGGAACTGTAGCGACCGCAGCTGATCCGTCCAGAGCTTCTCAAAGTCACCTTGCATCCTCACGAACACCTCCATGGCCGCGTCCTGACGGCAGACGCACAACACACACATACGCAGATCAGACAGACGGATCAATGAGCAGGTCGTTATCTCCTCCCGTCTGGTTCTCCCACCACTCACCACTGAGAAGCGGTCGCCAGAGCACCAGATGGAGGGCCAATCGTCAAGGTTCTCTGACCAGTCGCGGAAGAAGGTCATGCAGCGCCTGGCCCCCCAGTCCTTTCGCCGCTTGGGCAGACAGTGACCGCGAAGCAGAATGTGAAAGCGACTGTTGAACCTGCCACCGCAACATTCACACATACATACACACACACACACACCCCCCTCAGCTGTGCCCTCGGCCTTTTGCTCCACCTTGCCCTGCGCACCGGAAGTTGGTTCTGCCCAAATGCACACAGACAGACAGACACATGTCAGCCAAGCCGTTCATTCATTCGTGTGCTGTGCTGGCTGGCCTTCCGCACCGGAACAGCTGATAGGTCTCGAAGAGCGGCAGCAGCAGCGACAGGAGCAACAGGTCCGTATAGGCGAAATTCAGGATCATCAGTAAGTGGCCCCGCGGCTTGAGCATCCTCAGCGCCAGCCGCAGGCAATTCCGCCTCAGCAGCGTCTGCGCTCGGTAGTGGTCGGCGGCCTCGATGCCCCTCACGCGATCACGGTGGATAACCGCGCCGATATGTACAAGGTCATACCCCTCCTCAGCCTCCTCGCCCCTCCCCCTCCTCGGGCCGCCACCTCCTCTCGGGCTGCCACCGCCCCCACCATTGCGACGCAGCGCGGCCAGCAGCTCGTCCTGCAGCCGATCAAAAGCCGCGCCTTGGCAGGACAGGTCCCTCTCGAGCAGCACCAGGCCCCGTCGGGGACGGTAGGCCATGCGAATTCCGCCCTGCTCTTGCGGCAGAGTAACAGCCGTCACGAGGGAAGCCCGGCAGTCCTCGTGCCAAAAGCGGCAACATCCACCTGCAGAGGCCAGCCAGGCCAGACAGCGTGCCTTTGCAGTCAGTGAGGTATGAGGCGGGTGGGGTGGTCGTTCGTGTGAATGTATACCTGGTGCTGCGCCGAGCTCCAGGACGGAGGCTTCCTGCGGGAGCTCACGGCAGTCCCGGCCGCCAGCAGAGATGTTGGCCATGCCTGCAGGCAGCCACCACACACACACGCAGGCAGCCACATCTGCAAATGTCACTCACTCTGCCCATCTTTCCTCTCTCTGCTGACCTGACTGATAGATCTCATAGTACGACTGGACCGGGTCATAGTTCTCCTTCTTCCGCTGCGCCCTCGTGGCAAAGAGGTCATCCCGCTTCTTCCAGACCCGCCCCATCGCCTGAGAATCCCACCCAGCACTGCGCAGCTGATAGAGCTCGTCATACAGCGGGCACAGACTCTTGACCCGTTCCGTCAAGTCGAGCTTCGGCTGCCTTGTCACAGTGTCCTCGGCCGACTCGGGGATGCCTCCAGAGGGGCCTGCCTCGCCTCTCTCATCCTCGGTCGATGCAGATGGTCCGTCAGACGCCGCGTCTGTGCCATCTGACCCAAACTCCTCTGCCATATCGCACACCGGTTGCAGGAAGCGGTTTCTTGGAGCCAAAGGAGCCAAAGACCTCAAGCTCGCGCCATGAAAGGGGCGAGATCGAAAGCATCTGGCCCGAAGGCGCCGCCAGCAGCCATGGCTAGCGCAGGTGAATGCAGAGCACGAGGTGACTCCATACCCATTCATTGTCGTGTCTGTGTTGTGGGTCGTTCATTCATCCGTCCATCCATCTATCCAGGCGCCTCTCCCCCGAGGGATGCTGCCGATGGTGTTGAGGATGAGGAGCGTGTTGAGTACCGTGCGTTCAACCGGGGCCTGACGTCCATCCGGGAGCTGGACCTGAGGTCGCTCAAGAATGTGCAGATCCTCAACCTGCACTGCAATGCCATCACATGCCTAGAGGTGGGTACAAGTGGGAGGGAGGCAGGCAGGAAGGAAGCGCCGCTTGAAGCACGACCCTACACATTTCACGTGGCGTTGGGTGCGTCCGTGTTGATCTGCGTACGCAGGGTTTGGAGAGCTTGAGTCAGTTGGAGGAGGCCATTCTGTCCTCAAATGAGATTGATCGCATGGACACCATCGGGCGGCTGCCGAAGCTGCGCCTGCTAGACCTCTCCTGCAACAAGGTCAGCTCAGCCCCTCACCTGCGCCGAGCGCATTATTGCGTGTGTGTGTGTGTGTGGTGCAGATTCGAGTGATAGCTGGTTTGGGGTCGCTGGTGAAGTTGGAGGACCTGGCTCTCGCATACAACAAGATCAGCGCACTAGACGGACTGCAACAGGTGTGTCGATACAGTGAGCTGATTGCCTCATTCGGTGCTGCATGTGTATGTGTGTGTGTGTGTGTGTGTGTTAGGCGTGGTCGTTCCAGCACAGCCTTCGCCGGCTAGATCTGAGGGACAACCGGGTGCGGGATCTGCAGCAGCTGACATTCCTCGGTCAGTAATGGATTGAGAACATGTCTGTCGAGTCGGTACAGGTGTGTGTCATGACCTCTTCCTTCTCGCCCTCTCTGCAGGCGGCTGCCGTCATCTGGCCGACATCCAATTCCAGCACGCAAACTCTAGCTCAGGTAGGTAGCCAGCAGGCTGGTCGGTTGGCTGAACAATCAGGACTTCCCATCAGCTGGTCCGATCTGTCTGTTGGTCCCCTCGGTGGTGGTCAGGTCGTGCCAATCCCATATGTGCGAGTGAGGACTACCGCGCCCTGGTCATCCAGTGCTGCACTCCCCTGCAGAAGCTCGATGGCCCGCCCGTCACCGAGGACGAGAAGCGGCACGCACAGGCCAACCCCGTGTGTATCAAGACCGCACAGGCACGACTCGACCAGACCGGACAACCACAGCCACGACCAGCACCCGCCGACAACGGCGCAACATCCACACGGCTGGTGGCGGCCTCGGCGGCCTCTCGCACGGTCGATCGCATGCCCCCTGCCCCTCCCCCCCTTCCAGCAATGCCCCACAGACCTCCACCAACTCGTCAGCGCGGCAGCACCGATGAGCCGGTGCACAGCGGGCAACCGGCTGCCGGTTCTGGGGGTGTTGGTGGTGCCACTGGTCGGAGGAGGGAGGGTGTGCATGAGGATGCTCGGGGCGGCGAGGCCCTCTTAGCGCCGTATGACCATGAGAGAAGACTGGAAGCTCTCGAGAGAAGCGTCGCCAGGTAAGTAAGAGCCCAACAGGCGACAATGAATGTCACGCAGGCAGAAGACAGCCGTATGCTCTCCCTCCCTCTATTCTGTCAGCATTATTCGGCAAGAGAACGCTGCTGCTGCCGCTCAACAGCAGCAGCAGCCGCCTTCGTCAGCCGAGCAGGGAGCCGATACCCGGCCATCCGAGGCGGCCAGGAATGACGAGGACGACCGTGCAGCGTCCTTCCAGGCCCTTTTGGCCGAGCTGAGTGCACTCAAGGGCGACTACCGATCGCTGCAGACGAAGCTCGATCGAGTGCTCAATGACAAGACGAAAAAGTAGGCAACACACACATGCATTCGTGTAGGTGCTGTGCTTCCATCCACGCAGGGCGATTCTGTTGTGTGTATCGTGGTGTGTGCAGGGAGGTGGCGTTGCTGGCTGATCTCGCCCGCATTGAGGAGGAGGTGCAGAAGAGGTATGTGCGCGTGCTCGCGGCAACACAAACACAGAGAGAGACCGGACCGATAGACACATAGGCATGCCCTCCCTGCACACTGCTTGGATGTCTCTCTGTCTGTGTGGATTGTGCAGGGAGCAGGTGCGTCAGTCGCTGGAGACGATGCTCAACGAGACCAGGGGCAAGCTTCAGGAGGCCCAGAACAGAGAGGCCAGACTCACAGGTATGTATTCAATACCCACGCACTCACCCCATCGAGTCATGCCATGCACCAACACCCTTTCCCACCCATATGCCTCATATGCGACAGGCGACGTCGAAGCCCTCAAGCAGCAGCTCAAGACAACCGACGAAAAGGTGGGTGGCCACATGCAATTGTGTATGCGTGTGACTTTTAGTGGGTAGGTACATCGATCGTGTCTGATGTCGTTTCGTGAGTGTGCAGGTGGCTTCCCTCCAGGCCGATGTGTCGAACGCCCAGCGGCAGCGGGACGAGGAACAGCGGGCGTCAGAGCTCATTAAGGAGGTAACTCATCAATTTGGTGGGAGTCAACGTGTCACTGACGAGCCACCGTGTGTGTGTGTTCAGGAGCTGTCCAAGGCTGCCGACGCGGCCCAGCAGCAGCATGACGACGTCACGCGGGCGAAAGACGTCCAGATCAAGGTGACAACAACAGGAGCAGACCAACAGCCACAACACACACACCAGTCCATCGCGCTACACACTGCCCTCTCTCAGGCCCTGCAGCAGCAGGTGACAGAGCTCACGCGTCGTGTGGAGGAGCAGCAGCGGGATACACAGCAGAAGGTGACCACAACAGGGGGAACAACCTACTCTCCCTATCACTGCCACATCCATTCTTTCCCCCTCGCTGCCCCCCAGGCTGCCCAGGCCGAGACGGATCAGCGGACGATCGAGCAGCTGCGGGCGGAGCATTCCTCCCTCAGAGTCGAAGTCGCCAAGTGAGATTAATGAGATAGAAGAGAACGGCAGCCTTCAGTTCATGCACTCACTCATCGGGCGGCCGGCCGTCTGTGTGTGTTGTGATCTGGTCAGGCATCAGCGGCACGCAGAGGAGGCCGAGCGAATGGGCAAGGCAGCAGCCGAGGAAAAGCTCAAAGCGGTGAGTGACGAATGCACACACACATCATTTACAAGTAGGAGGTCTCGCTGCGTATTCGACCCCATCAGACGTTGACGGAGCTCGAAGCCGCCAACAATCGCGAGGTGCATCGCCAGGCCTGATACGATCTCAGTGTGTGCTGCAAGGGTCGTGTGTTTTGTGTTGTGTGTGCAGTCGTCTCTGCGTGCGCAGCTCACCAGTGCGGCCACACGCGAGAGGGCCCTGGAGGAGCAGCTGAGGGCGGCCCATCGGCAGCGGACGGAAGCACAGGAGCTGCACCAGCAGGCCGTCAGGGACCTACAGACAAGAGCGCAGACACACCAGCGGGTGAGCAAGGCAGATCACACACGTGTGCAGAGAGAGGTGAGGAGGGTGTGAATGCTGGTTCAATGTGTGTGTGTTGTGTGTGTGGATATGTCTGTCAGGATATGGACGACCAGCGCCGCGAGTTGGAGGAGAAGGCCGACAAGGACCGGTCTAGGTTGGAACAGCAGATCATAGCACTGGAGGTACGAACCGAACGCACACACGCAGATAGATCAGTGCCACACAACCCTCTGAAATGAATGAACCAACCCATATGTATGTCTGTGTGAGTGAGTGTGTGCAGCACGAGTTCAAGAAGACATTGGAGGCGCTGCAGAGCCACAACGCCGACCTGGTGCGGCAGCTCAAGGCCGCCAACCAGAAAAACGACGACCTCCAGGAGGTCCTCAAGACGGCCGCCAAAGAGGTAGGTCCGCATGGCATGAAACTCCCACACTCATACTCACACTCACGCCCATCTCTCTCTGCGTCCGTGTGTGTGTGTGTGTGTGCCAGGATGCGGCAGTGAAGCGTACTCTGCAGGAGGTCGGTTCTCGTCTTGACGCAGCGGCCAAGGAGAAGAAGGAGCTGGAGGAACAGCTTGCCAGCCTGCAGACCGCTCAGCGCGACAAGGACAGACTCATCGCACAGATGCGGTACACACATACACATGCTCCTGAGGGGGGCATAGAGCGCATCTGGCTCTCTCTCTCTGTGTGTGTGTGTAGTCGCGAGAAGGAGGAGGTTGAGGAGCGTGAGAGACGGCTTCAGGCGGAGTACGACAACATCTCACACACATACGTCACCAAGGAGCACTACAACGCACTCCAGACCAAGGTCACCTCACCCACTACTCCCACCCACCCCACACACCATCCTACATCCGGTGTGTGTGTGTGTGTGTGTGCCATTTCTCCCTCACTCCCTCCCTCCATCAGGCCGATGAAGCCGAGAGCCGCCTTCGCCACCAGACCTCCCGAGTAGAAGAGCTCAAGCAACAAGCCACCTCCCTGCAGCAAGAGGTAACCTAACCCGCCCACCAGCACAAGGCAGCACACACGCAATCAATCGCCCTTCCCACCCACTCTGTCTGTCCAGGCGAGTGAGGTTCGCGGCACGTTGAAGGCGGTCGAGTCGACCCTCAAGGAGAAGGAGGTGGCCCTGCAGGTGAAGGTGCAGATGCTCGAGGACAGCGGCAGACAGGTGCAGGCCCTCAAGCACCAGCTGCAGGAGGCCCAGACCCAGCTGCAGGACGCCACCGCCAGGCAGCGGAGGCGCGACAACGACTGGCAGGACCGGCTGACTGAGCAGGAGGACAAGTACAGAGAGCTGGAGGTAGGTGTGCTGACTGACTGGCGGGGAGAGATGGCATACACATGGAAGGCCCATCACATCCATGAGGACTCATTGTGTGTTGTGTGTTGTGTGTTGATGGTGTCTGTCAGCAAAAGCATGAGGAGGACATGTCGGCGTTGCAAGAGGAGCTGGACGACATCAGGAACGGCAGGGACGACCTGCGGCAGCAGGCAAGCAGACAGACCATCGCCCACACCTGTCACCCCCGCCACACACCACCTCTCCTCTCTCTCTCTCTCTGTGTGTGTGTGTGTGTGTGTGTGTGCAGGTGTCCAGTTTGCGTGAGGAGGTGTCGCGCAAGGATGCGGCCCTGGACTATGCCCAGCAGGAGGTCACCAAGCTGCAGGAGGGCGTCGAGGACAAGAGGAAACAACTTAGAGAGCAGCTGACGTACGCTACGCTAAGCTATTCACCCTCACGACCAACACACCACCACACCACACCACACACCACACACGCGTGGATCCCTCTGTGTGTCACCCACCGGTGTGTCTGTGTGTCAGGTCTGAGTATGAGGGTCGTTTGAGGGATGCCGAGCAGTCCGCCGCGGCCGCTGCTGATGGGGCGAGGCAAAGGATGGACGACATACAGCAGCAGCTCCAGGTCAGTCAGTGGCATGCCGGGGGAACTAAGTGGCCCAAATGTGTCTGCTCGTCATTTCATTCATGTGTGTGCAGGCTGAGAAGCGTGCCAACCAAGCGCTGCAGGAGGAGGTGCGGCAGGCGCAGCAGAAAGTCAAGGACGTAAGCCACAAATGCAGCACCCAGCCAGAGGCCACACACGTGTGTTTGGTGTGTGGCCATGTATGTCATCCTGCTGTGCTGCATGTCATGTGGGTGTGGTGTGTGGTTTGTCTGTTCGTTCAGACAGAGGAGGAGATGCGCGTGTTGCTGCAGCAGGTGCAGAAGAGCAAGACGCAGACCAAGCAGAAGATGCAGCAGGTCAACGAGGTCCTCAAGCATCTGCAACACGAGTACACCAACGCACTCCTCTAGCCAGCTCAGCTCGGTCTGATGGCTCATGGCTCCGACGTATACATACATACGTGTGATGTGCGGGGGCTGGGGTGGGGTGGAGGGCATTACTTAATTCTGATGGTGCCTTCCCTTCGTGTGTGCAGACAGACAGTCCGATCAGTCAGTGAACGAACAGACTCACTCGGTGCTATCTATGCTTCTCTCATGTGGTGCGTCTGTCTATGTGCGTCAACATTACGTGTGAGATTATCTCGACATACATAAGACAGAGGAGAGAATCCACTCAGCTCAGCTCATGCCCTTTCAGCTGGCTGCCGTGTTCACTCACTGGCCAGTCGACATACAGCCACACGCACACCCCCTCCCACACAAACGTGACCATCCCCCTGTAGGCCGTTCGCGGCACACCCACCTTCAGATCCTCCATCAGACTGAACCGATGCGCCAACTGCAGCCAGTCCCTCCTCAACTCATAGGCACTCCGCACCGAACCCTTGAGGCATCGCCCACTGGGCGAGGATGGTCTAGGGGGTGGTGCTGGTGGGGATGGGCTGGCAAGGAGAGCTGCGATGTCGACCTCTTGTGACCTCATGATTAGGTCCTGCACATATTGGGCAAGAGGTAAGGGGCTGGTTGGTGAGGAGAGGGATGCCTTTCTGTTGCTGTGTCTCTGTTTGCCTGTATGTGTTGGTCGAATGCGTCTTTCTGCAGGTATGCGAGGGAGACGGCGTTCCAGTCGACCGAGCCCTCGTACAAAAGGATCGGGCCCAGATGCCTTTCGTTCGAGACACACGAAACAAATAGACAGACAGACTGCACAAAGGGGCTGGCAGGGTGCGGTGTGTCTCGAGAGTGCTTACGTGTCGAAGAATTGTCCACGCCCTGCTCTCCAAAGGTGTAGGAGCGGCTGATCTCAGGACGGATGCACTGGTAACCCTGCTCGCTTGCAAACAGACAGACAGACGAGTGAAATGTCGCATGTCTCACTCACTCGATGACACGGCACGGCGTACCTACCCGTTTGATCATGGTGTGTCTCATCCACTCGTCCCAGTATCCCTCACGCACTGGCCAGTCTCCCCTCACCTCCGCCCACTTGCGATACGACAACATCCAACCCAAACCTTCACATACATCGAAATCATGGAATGGGCACCTGCCCCCATTCGGCGTGTGTGTACCTGGGAAGACGTCAGTGCGATAGAGAGCCGTCTCATCAGACACGAGAGACGCCTTCCTGGCCACACCACACCACACCACAACACACCACACAGACCTCATGTGTGTGTCTCCCTCTCCGTCCGCAGTGGCCTGACCCGTTGTCATTCCACGCGCTGACACACAGCAGGGTGGGGTCCCTGTGCAACAAAGGCTGCGCTGCACGCATGTAGCCGAAGAAGTCACCAGACACCTGAGCACACAAACAAAGAACAGACGGTATCCTGTCTGTGTCTGTGTCTGTGTCTGTGTGGCGACCAAACCTCCATGTCCTCTTCTATGATGATGACGTGTTCGAACCCCAGCCGCTCGAAAGTCATCTCCACCGCCCAGTAGTAGTGCTGGGCTATCAACACGTACCTGGGCGCGCAACAGAGACATACAAATTGAGGGGAAGCGAGCCAAGCGGAGGGGCTGTGCCGTGTTTAAGTACTTGAAGTGCTGCGCCCGTTTGGTGCGCACTTGGCGGTCTTGCGCATGCACCATGTGGTAGACCTCAGACCTGAACACACAACGAAACAGTCGGTGGGCATGTGTCTGTTTCTCTTCAGGGTCTTCACCCGCCTTACCTACCTGAAGCCCTCAATTGCCTTCATTTCCTCCATGCTAACGCCATCCTGCATGGGCAGGAGAGGGAGGAAATCGGCGACCACCCGCCCGTTGCCACGCGCGATTCAGCCGCCCCTACTTGCGAGACAATGACAGGGAAAAGCTCCTCCTGCCCCTTCCTCGCCTTCAACACAGACTGCGTGTGGCCAGACAGACAGACAGACAGACAGACAGTGAGGGTGCTTATCGTTAGTGTGTCTGGCTGCTTGGATGACCTGCAGTGTGCGTGTGGTGTATTCAGGCCTGTCGCAGACCATGATCAGCACAGCAGTCTCCACGCCCTGCATCCGCTGCCGCAGACGCAACAGACTCAGCGGCCCTGGTGTGGCGTCCAAAGGGAAACCCTCTGGGCCTGCGCAGGAAGGAACGGACACCCTCTTTGTTTAAGCATCGATGGGTGCCTGCCATCCATCCATTTTCACCGGCGAGGAAGTCGGCCATGAGCTGACCCCTTTCGGCTGCCCGTAGAGACCGCTGGACGTCCTTCCTCATCATCTCAATCCCCTTCTCCAGCACCTCCACTCGATCCTCAAGCAGGCGCGGGTCGACGTACCGACGGGGATGCTTCTTTGTCACTGCAGCCGCACCAGGGCTCTCGGGGAAGTCGGCCGATGTGGGGATGTCGGCCGGGACTTTGCGGGAGAGCATGGTGAGGATGGCCATGTAGCAGACGGCGACGGTGAGGCAGACGGCGCCGACGAAGATGGTCGCTGGACGACCTGACCGCTGATGTGGCTGAGGCCATGCCCTCACCGCCGGCATCAGATCCTCCGGGTCAGATCATCATTCTCCCAGAGATCTCGAAATATCACGTCATGGCCCTGCTTTCTGCAATAGAATACCGGCGAAATGCTGAAAAGAACGAACGAACAACCGTCGCTCTCTAGCTCGCAAAAGAAGGGAGCCCGTGTAACCGAATTGCGAGCGGGAGAAGAAGTAATTTGATAGCTCAGTGTTTCAGAGAGGCAGGGAAGGTCAGGGGAGTCCCAGGTTAGATAGCTTTTGCGTACTCAAGTGGTCGACACTCCGTTGTCAGGTCGAGAGAGCCAGGAGGGGTCAGGAGGGGAAGGTAACGTGCGGGGGATGGCTGTGTGGTGTCCTGTGTGTCTCACAGGTCGCCAGCGATGCCCTCTGCTGGACACACGATGGACGAGGGACAGCAGCTGAAGCGCGAGACCGTCACGCCGCGATACAGCCAGCAGCAGCAGCAGGAGCCAGTGGCGTCAGCTGCTGACGGGTTGGCTCCTCCCTCCCGCCAGTCTGACGGGCGGGAGGGGGGAGGAGCGCCCGCAGTAGCCAAGGTGAGCGAGAGCGCCGCCCGTGCCGCACCCTCCACCCACAAGAGCCAGAGCTTCGAGGACATCACGCTCGAGCGCATCCGTGCGACCGTCTACGACCAGACGACCAACAAGGAGATGGAGGCCATCAAGCTGAGCGAGCGGAGGAACGAGTCCCGGTGGCTGGTGAACGTCCAGCCCCTGCTGGACAAGCAGGGGGAGCGGGGGTCGGTGCCCTTTGGCATCAAGTGCCAGAACTTCTTCGCCGACCGTCGTGTGGCCATGCAGCTCGTGGTGCAGCAGCCGCCGCCCCTGCAGGACATCAAGACCAAGAAGTATATTGTGAAGGGCAACGACTATACGGTGGTGCAGAACGTCCACCCCTACGAGCAACGCGCCCAGCAGCTCGAGCGCACACAGCCCCTCCAAATCGTCAAGGCGGAGGTACGTCACTATAGTAGAAGGACACACACGGCACAGGGAAGGACACAGAGAACAGAGTGAGAGACACGAGACATGTCGGCTCCCTCTGTGTGTGTCTGTGTGTCCCTCTCCCTCCCTCAGCGGAAGGAGATGGAGGCGGAGGAGGCTGACAAGCAGTCGGCGTTTAGCAGGATGAAGGTCATCGTGACGGAGCTCCCAGAGACGCTCAACCCCGCCTGGGAGCGGCAGCAGCGAGAGCGCCGCCGACATGGCCATGGGCACGGGCAGGGACACGGCCACGGCCATGGTGGTGGTGGGGGCTATGGTCGAGGTGGGGATGGGGGTTATGGTAGTGGGTATCGCTACGAGCCGTATGGCTACGGTGGTGGCGGCGGCGGGCGATATGAATCGTACGGCCGCTACGAGCCACATTATGCAGGCGGATACGATGGGGGACACAGGTGAGGGAGACAGAGAGGCAGACAGGCCAGTGAGGCAGGCAGGCAGCCAGGAACACGACCCACATCCATGCCTTGACCGGGCCGTCCGCCGCCGCAGCGAGCGAGCAGCATGGATGTCCGCCCGTCAGGCGTCGGTCGCTGGCCGAGCAGCCAATGGCACTAGAATAGGTGCTGTTTTATGGTGTTGTGTTGTGTGCAGGAACGCTCCTCGCTACCCCTCTCCTCCCGCCCGTTACCAGCCCCCCGGTGTGTCGAGTGCGCCCTTGGCGTCGGTTGAGTCTGCTCGCGTCCAGTCGCTCAAGGGCGGCGGAGCCGTCATCACCGGAGGCAACCACCCCCCACACGACACAACACAACACAACACAACACACGCAGACATACGCACACCTCTCTCCCCCGCCCCCCCCCCCTCCTCTCTCTGTGTGTGTTGTGGCGCTGTTTGGTTGTCATTCATTATGTATTCAGGTGCGTTGGTCAAGGACCCGCACTACCGCGACCCGGCTTGGCGCCCGAGGCGCAACGACAACCCGCCGCGAATGCGGCTGGACTGGGATCACGGGCAGGTCATCCAGACATTCCACCTCGAGCTGGTCGACGAGCCAGCCTTCAGGAACCGCATGATGAAGAAGGAGCGACAGGACGAGCAGAAGGAGCGGGCACGGCGAGCGGGGCTCGCTCGGGCGGCTTCGGCTTCGGCTGCTGCCAGTGGTGCTGATGGTGGCGACGAGGGGGTTGAGGCGCCAGACGTGATAGAGGTGGGCTGGGGGCGGGTGCGTGCGGACAGATACGCTGTGTTTGTTTGTTGTGTGTTGCTGCCGCCGGTGTGGGTGTGTTGGGTGTGTTGGGTGTGTGCAGTTGGAGGATGACCCCATCGTCATTGAGGATGACGACTGACTGATACGCACACACATTCACACACACACACACTTCATCACATATACACACATCCACCATGCACATTTCAGAGAGGCGTCACGAGTGAGGCATAAGGCAGGATGGTCACCGGCCACACACGGGATGGCTGTCTTGTGCAGCGCATCATCCCTCCCTGTGTGGTGTGGTGCGTGTCGTGGCAGCCTTGGCGCCGCCACACCATCGCCCGCCACACCACCGACAGACCCGCCGACCGACCGACCGACCGCCTGTCCACGCCCCCTGAGTGACGCCCTCCCATGGATGCTTCCCGCCATTTTACTTCTCTCTCGCCTGCTCGCCTGTCCGCCACTCGGCTGTCATCCTTTTTGATCAATGGACGTGACGTATATATGCAATTCATATCATACATATGAGTGAGTGTTCTATCTAACTAATCGACTGACTGACTGACTGACTCGCCGTTTCTTTCTTTTTCGCCGCTCCATTTGTTATGATGGTATGTATGGTATGTATCACAAAGGAGGGAGGCTTGTTTCAGCCGGCATGTGGTCTGGTAGATAGCAACCGAACCGCCCGCCTGCTTGTTGGTGCCTGCATCCATCGGCCAGACACCAACACACCACACCGGGTGAATTTTTCGGTGTTTGCGTGGCTGGCCGGTGGGGCGGGGCGGGGCGGCGGTGGTGTCTTCTTCTCAAATTGGATGGAGTGTGGTGCTGGTGATGGGCGTGTAAAGGTCGATGGATCCTCTCTGTCTGACCTGTGCGGCTGTCTGCCTGTCTGTGCCCTCCACCGAGAAGTTTTCATCTGTCTGTCTGTCTGAGCGAATTGAGGGGGCCTGGAGCCAAACTTCTCGTGCCTTGCCTACATGGATATCTCATGGGTACCTACCTGCCATGTGTGACTGCAGACTGCCTTTGATACGTGCATCCATTGAATGCATACTTATGCTATCTCTCTGTCCGTCGCACGGATCAAATCTCGCGCTCAGCATCCAGCTCCATCCACCAACAGCCATTAATCCATGCTGTCACACCACAAACTTCCCACTAGCGTAAGCTTTGGCCGAGGCAGCCCGCCGCTTCATATGGGGCGTGACCACGTGCTCCCACAGCCAAGCCACCATACCAGCAACTGAACAAAGGCAGCCAGCGACAAACAAGCTGAATGGCCACCTGCCCCCGCCACTGAATCTGCTCACCTGTGCCGACGCAGAATGCCGACATGACTATGTTGCTCAACTCAGCCGGCAGAAAGAGGAACACACACGCCTTGACGAGGATGGCCGCGGCCGCAATGACGAGGAAGAGGCCGACCCTCTTGTGTGGCGCATCGGTGTTGGTGGTCACGGCCGCGAAGGAGCCCAGGGCCGCCCCGGCCACCTCGAAGAAGACGCTTGCCGGTCCCTCAATCGAGCTGTGCATCCAACCAGCACTCCCGCCGACGGCAAAGAAGAAGGCGAAGAACACGCCAGCCCCGACGGGGAACAGGAAGCAGGAGCCTGACAGACAAGAACCTGACACGCATCAACGGAATTCAGCCATTGTGAGTGGTTGGATCTTTGCTCACCTGCAGCATGCTGTTGTATGAGCTCCTCCAGATAGTCCTCTGCGGTCTTTTCCGCTGTCATTTTGCCAAGGGAAGTTTCGTAAACAATGGACGCGAGCTCAAAAAGGTGAGGGATGAGCGGGGAGACGGTCGGCTGAAGCTGATGGGTGCCCAGATCATGACGGATGGGACGTTTGTGGTGAGTTTCCTGTCATCTTGCTGACGGTCCTCTGACTCACATGCCGAGATCTCCCAAGGAGGGGATATGCATCAGCTGTGGCTTCTCTGCAGCTCATTCATCTCGACAGTGGTTACAATGCCAGACCACCAGAAGGAGGCCCTCGGCCACTCGTGCCGTCATCACTTCTATGTGAGTGCTCTAACGAAGCCGTACTCAATGCGCTCCATTGATGGTCATCTGCTGCAATGAGTGTATGTGTGTGCAGCTGGCTGACGGGTTCACAAACTTCAATCACGGCAGCTATGGGAGCGTCACACGGCCCGTTGCGCAATATCAGCGCACTCTCTTTGAGCGGCAGGAGGCATATCCAGACCTGTTTTTCCGCAAGGAGTACCGTGAGCTGCTCAAGGTGACGCGTGCGAAGATGGCTGCCTACGTCCATTGTGATCCTGAATCTCGTGCTTGTCGAGGGGGCTTCGAGCGGCATCAACGCCATCCTCCGATCCGTCGATTTCGACGCATATGGGTCAGCAGAGGAGCCGCCCATAGTGCTGATGCTGTCGACGGCGTACGCAATGGTCCCGTTCACCGTGGACTTTCTCAAGAAACATGTCGGTGAGAGGTTTGTGCCACTGGTGGTGATGGTGGACTTCCCACTGAGCAGCGAGCAGGCCATCGTCGACGCCGTTAGGGCAGCTCTCGACAAGTATGGCCATCGAGGGGTGATGGCCGTCTTCTCACACATCGCATCGGTGCCCCCGGTCATCTTGCCAGGTCGGGAAAGGGGCAGGCTGCAATGTCCGGACATTCCCTTGCATCTGTGTGTATGGTTCTTGCAGTCGAGAGGCTGGCAGCCTTGTGTCGCGAGAAAGGCAACATCAATGTCGTCATTGACGGCGCGCATGCTCTCGGACAGATTCCCTTCGACCTCAGCGATCTTGCCGACAAAGGAGTGGACTTCTACGTTGCCAACGCACACAAGTGGCTGTATGGGCCGAAGGGAACCGCCATTTTCTTCGTCCGCCGCTCCAAGCACGACACCGTCCGACCGACGGTGATTTCGTCCGACTACAAAGACGACTTCCAAGGCTCGTTTGAGGTAAGATCCATGCACACATGAGTGGGCAACAAACACATGCCGACGCAGACTCGTGTGTGTGTGTGTGTGTGTGTATGTGTGTGTGGTTCAGTACACCGGTACGAGAGACTACACGGCATTCTGCGCTCTGGATGCCTGTCTGGACTTCCGAAAGCGATTCGGTGATGCCGAGATCATGGCATACCTGAAGAAGCTTGCTGACGAGGGAGGCCAGCTGCTCGCCAAGAACTGGCAGACAGAATTGGCCGCTCCGCCAGAGATGAGCGCTGCCATGGCGACAGTGCGGCTGCCCGTGAGCGAGTGGGCGGTGGCCGAGAGACTGCAGAGAGACCTGTTCGAGCGGTATCAGACGTATGTCGTTTGCTTCGCTACGCCGCTGCCCCTTCGGTTCGTCACAATCCCGCGAGAAGACGTCATCGTGTTCGCAAGTGAGGCTGAAAGAGAAAAGGTAGACAAATGGACGCAATGTTCACGTGTCCGTTGGTGCATGCAGGTGACGGTCGTGAGCTACCTCCAGATGTTGACCCGACTGAGGGGAGCAAGCGGATGTTTTGGATGCGCCTTTCTGCTCAGATCTACCTCGAGCTGTCAGATTTCCAGTTGCTGGGTGACCGTGTTCTTGAGCTGCTTCGCGAGTACGCGAAAGAGATGGATGCGGCAACAGAAGCAGACGCTCGTAGAGTGAGTGATACGGTGCGTATCGGTGCGTAGACGTGTAGTAGATTTGTGGTGAGATCTGGCGCTTTTTGCCATTTGCCACTGGACAATGTGCGTGCGTTTCGTGTGTGATAACGCAACGTTCACCTCCCCCCTTCGCTCGATCGGCCCCCATCGGCTCGGCCCCAAAGGGGGGAGACGAGGGAAAAGAACGAAGGGCCTGAAAGCGCAGCCACGATGCAGATCCTTGGGCTCATCGGTACAATCCTTGCCTTCTGCGCCGCCATCCTCATGATTGCCGGTATGAATGTGAAATCGACGAATGCGTGTCCCTGTTGAATGGGGGAAGGAACGCGTTTGTTTGTGTTTTTGGCAGCCATGGCAACGGACCACTGGCGTGCAAATCGTGTGGAGGTCGCAAATTCCGATGACGAGGTGTTCCAAGCCTACGGTGGGTGGGTGGGTGAATGAGGAGGGATCATGGTTTTCATGCTAACGGATGCATTGACTGCAGGTCTGACCCACTCTGTGGTGGGATTCACTGCGAAGGCCACGTACGACAACTGCCACGACGACTCCATCGCTGGAGTCGACTCGACATTCACATGCCTTCAGAAAGACGGCAAGCATTATACTCATGATTAATGGCTGTCCATTTCGCATTTCGTACTGCACGTCTGCGTGCACAGGTTACCTGGTCAAGGACAAGTCATTGGACGCGTGTGTGTGCCGCTCCAGCTACGAAGACCAGCGGGACTACAAGCAGTACCATGGTAAGTATTGGCTCGACAGGGCTGCTCAATCGGCGGCTGCATCCATCCTCTGCACTGCATCTGTGTGTGCCAGACCAAGTGCACCACGATTGCTCCGCCGGCAACTGGGTGGACAGACTCGCCGACAGCATTGCAAGCCTGACGAATGGCACTGTCATGTGTGGCACATTTCGCTGCAGGACGATTGCAAGGCCCTGCAGAGGAGCATCAACGGCGGGTACACGATGGTCTCACTCGGGTGAGCTTTCTGACGCCTACGTACCGTATTAAGGCAGCAAAGTGAGAGTAGCTGTCGATGCACCTCCGTGTCCTTTCAGGACCTTCGGCGTAGCCCTTCTGCTCGTTGGCGCCATTGGCGGGTAAGACTTTCTCAGCGGGTATGTCTCTATCGCACAACAGCCCCAAGAGCTTCTGTGTTGTGAGCAGTGTCCTCGGCTTGCTGGGGAATGACAAGCTTGCGGTATTCATCCCCTTCAGCTACATCGGAGCACTCATCTTTTTCTTCGTCGGTCAGCAGCTGCTCACACCCAATACACACCGACGGGCCCATGCCGCTTGCCTCGCTTACACATGCAGGCATCATGGTGTGGGGCATCTTGACGGACGGCTCTCGCAGCGAATACCCGTCTTGCTTTGACAAGGACGGCGAGAGGATCGTGTGCCCCCTCGACTACTCCTCCATCATCGCCATCGTTGCCATCTTCCTCACCCTCATCTGTGCCATCCTCGCATTTCTGCCCGTACGGAAAGGGAGACATGGATGTTCCTGTGGTGTCCCTTTACCTGCCTGCCTGCCTGCTGTGTCTCCTGTGTGGTGCAGATGATGGGCAAGATGCAGGGCGGCAAGACCGCCATCATCTCCTCGTAATTGCAGCTCTCTCTCTCCTCTCCTGTCGTCTCGGCTTCTCTCCTTCCTCGTGTGTGGACGGTGTCAGCACCTCACACACCGTTTGTTTGTTTGTTTGTCTCTCTCTCGCTCCTGGCCGCATTTCATTTTGTGACGTCTGACGATTTACTGGCTGGTCGGTTGGACGGGCTGCGCTGATGTCTCTGTCGGTTGCTTTGATGGCTTGCCTTTTGTGTGCACGACGTCTCTCTCCTGGCATGGACGATTGTACGAATGGACGAGCTGACATACGGCAGGGCGAAACAAGGCCCCCGTCAACAAAGGACAGATGCTGATAAATGACACATGATGGCCGTCATCGATATCGATCCATCCATCCATCCATCCATGGCTCTCATGTCGATAGCTGCATTTCATTGAAGTATTCAGCCTGACATCCTCCAGCCGCCCTCAGCCAACCGTCACGAGACAAGGTCACCCGTGATTTGTCGCCTGGCGGTTGGGTGAGGACGGCAGAAGGGTATCGGACTGACCGAAGCAGAGGTGGCACAACAAGGCTCCAAACACCGCTACACTTCCTACTATGACAGCTATCACGTACACGCGAATCGCTGATCCGTCCATCACACCACATGTGGTATGACCTCTCGTGTATGGCTGAGCGCACTCAGGCCCTTCAAGAGTTCTTCATTCACGAAACACCCCCGTCCTTTGCTCCACGTCCCTCAGATGCACAGACACCTTCTGCAGTGTCGAGTGCAGCGACCGAGACGACACACGACACTCACCACCCGTCAGCTTCAGGCCCTCCGCCACTCGCACAGCATAGCAGCACGCACCCAGTGCACCCTCCAGTAGACGACAAACTGACCAACAGACACACACACACACACACTCAACCACTGCACGCGCATTCCTGACGGCTGCATTGTATATATCTGCACAGACACGTACTTGCGAGTGCAGCCATCTCTTCAGCGATGCCCAAAGGATCTGGCTCGTTGCCCTCCCTGCTGCAGGCCGTGTAGGCGTCCATGATCTGCAGCACCAGCAGGGGCGCCGTGCTGCACTGGTGGCTGAGCTGGGCGAGAGCGGATCCCCACAGCTGATGGACGGTCTCCTGCTGCATCACGCCTGGGTGCACCATGGCTGTCCCCTGTGTGGCAGCCAAAAACAACTGCGACAACACATCTGCACGTCAACAAAGATAAGACTCACGCACATACCCTCCACGTATTCATTCCTACTGTTTCTGTCTGTGTACCTGCCGGCCTGAAGGTCTCGACCATCTCAGTCAGCTGTGCATGCAGGCCCTTGACCTCGCGGTACTGATCTACAGTCAGCGAACTAAGGCACCGCTCGTCCAGGTATGAGAGCAGCCACCCCTCCGCCCCCCACAGCTGCCCGACGGCACGGCACAGACCGCCGGCCGCTCCCAATGCCGGAAGGGATGCAGCAGTGGGGAGGGCCATAGAGTCGCGGATGGCCTTGATCTTGTGCATGAAGGTCTCCATGGCAGCTGCTATGGTGGCAGTGGGTGCCCCTGGGGGTGTCTGGGAGGCCATGTAGGCGAACACCCAGCCGACACGGGACAGGAGAAAGGGCGGACTCAGCAGGAGGGGATCGGAGCCCACGATAGCATCCTTCAAGGGAGTAAGGAAGACAAACAGGCAGTGTTGCGGGCAGCGGGGCCCTTTTTGGTTGTGTCCTCACCGGGAGTGCGCAGAGGAGATCAACTGGTAGTTTCCGCGACATCATGTGGTCCGCGAGGGCCTGTCCATACACCCAAGAAGAGTAGGCACCAGTGCGGCTTCCCATTCTGGTGTGTATACTCATCCACCTCACCTGCAGCAGCTCCACTTCGCCGTCTGCACCAGAGCGGTCGATCAGCGCCTCCAGGACGCCCTTGACCGTCCCCCCCTTCCGCAGCGGGCCAGCCCACATGGCTTTCAACCCAGGCACCGCAGTCTCCAGCCTCTCCAGAACGCCATCGCCCCACTCATTGCTCACTGCCGACGCGAATTCCTTGATCTCAGCGATGGACTCCGTTGAGAGAGGGCAGGGAGGGTGATGCGTGACTGAGAATGCCGGCGGTGGTGCCTCTGTGGTGGAGTCGGCTGTGGATGGGCGTGTTGATGGCCTCGTCTTCTCTGCTGTCGGTGGCGAAGGTGGTGGCTTGAGGGCGATCAGAATGAGGGCAAGAAGACGGGAGGGGAGGGGCAGCTCGAGGGCCAGCAGGTGGCCTTGAGCACTCATCTAAACCACAGCAGCAACAGGAATCACCATACCGTGTGTGTCAAATCACGGAGATCACTTCTGACTTAGCAGTCCTAGTACCTTGACCCATGTTTTCTGCAGTATGCCGATCATCTTCGCGTCGTCCTTGTCTGCGCTGAAATCAGCCGACTGCTCGGCGAGGAAGACAAGGCATGCAGCGTCCTCGAGCGCTTGTGCGTCGGGGTCAGAGGCCGGCGTTGCCTTGGCCACCAGGGCGCCCACACGGTCAGCGACGGTCTCACTGATGCCGATGGCCGCGAAAACCTCACGGATGCGCTGACCCTGACGGACACACACAGACGGATGAATCACAGACCGTGATCGGCCGTGTGGTGTGGGTCGTACCTGTCTCTTCTTGACATCTGCCCTCCATCTCAGGTAGCCGGGCTTGTCCATGGGATACGTGTTGCGCGGGATGGCCCACCTCTCGAAGTGCTGAGCCCTCTGCACCGCACAAACACACCCCAACAACACACCGTGAATGCAGACACACATGAGTGCACCGGCCCCTCTCACTCACCCCAGCAAGCAGCAGTGTCAGCGAGGGTTCCGGCACCACCTTTGTGATCCACTCGATAATCGAATCTGCGTATTTGAGCTCCTTTGCCACGGAGTCCTCCGTCTTGGATGGGTCATTGTCATGCACCTTGTCGATGGCCATGGATGCTTTCTCGTACAGGGCCTTGCTCAGCGCCTCACGCGGCGGCTCGTGTTGTTTCTTTCTTCGGAACGTGAGCACGGCATAGGCGATTGCTGCGCCGGAAGCGAAGGCGATGGACGAGCCGAGGGTAAGGCGGTTGACAGACGGATCTTGCATCATCGCAAGGACAGGCACATCAGATGCTGCACAGATCTACGCTGCGGTGCGTTAAGAAACTCGTCACCCCTTGTGCGAGCTCAGATGGCGACCAGGGAGATCTGGGCAGCCCGCCCGCCCGCAGCGCGTTGAATAAGGGGGGACGACCAGACATCTGATCTACGAGTCCAACACGAAGGCAACAACCAACACGCAACGCACAGCACGCGCAGCAGGTCCCTCTTCTCTGATCTCAATCCCTCGTCCCTGTCCTGCGATAAAAGGTGAACGACGTGACGTGCGGCCTCATCTGTTCTGAATGCGTCTTGCGGAGTAGACAGCGTATCCCCTCTAGCTGTGTTTGCTCATGCAGGCCCCTTTCTGATGCTGCCTTTCCGCTCTTCGCTGCGACATCTCCGTCGGCTCACCGCACCCGTTGCCGCTTCTCGCGAGTCCCCCTGCCGCCAGCCATTCTGCAGTGCCAGCTCCTCAGATCCACCTGCTGCAACTACAGCAGACACCGATGAACGCGTGGTGCTGTCGACTGTCCTGAGTGTGCCTGGCTACGAGGTGGTGGAGGCTTTGGGTGTGGTTGAGGGTAACACGGTGAGGACGAGGGACGTGGCGCGAGACTTCCTGGCCCATCTCAAGTCGTAAGGACGAAGGAGAAGCCATGCTCCTCATTATGTTCAGGGGTGCGTTTTCCGATGTACTCGTGTGTGCAGCTACATTGGTGGCGAACTCGCGATGTACACGCAGCTGCAGCGCGAGTCTCGAGAGGAGGCCCTCGACCGCCTGGTGGCGGCGGCAAGGGCCAGGGGCGCCAACGGCGTCATCGGCTTGCGCTATGCCACCGGCACTGTGGCGCCGCAGACCAGCGAGCATCTTGCCTATGGTACTGCTGTGAGGCTGAAGCGACTGCCCTGATGATGATGGACAAATGTGAGAAGGGCAGAAGACGGGCTGACAGACAGACAGACAGGGGATGCATGTGATGAGAAGGTTTTGAGTTTTTGCAGTGTGATGATGATATGGGCAGATCAGGCTTTCATGTATTCTTTTGGCCATGACCTCTCTGGCTGCCCTCGGTGATAGGCCCGTCCTTCCGGAGCCCTGTCTTGAGCTGCTAAGATGCAGCTCTAGGCATAGCTGCGCTGATGAGGGCCAATCGCGGGGGTGACGGAGCGGGTCAGCTGCTGGCCCTGATGCTGTTGTAGGTGTGCGTGGTGAGACAACGACACTTGCATGCGGACAGACACCTCACCCTTGTTCATAGAATGATGAATGGCAAGTCGCATGTTCCCCTCCGAGCAACAACAAACACAGAAATCGCGACCCCATGCCATCAATCATCCTGCTCTGCCCAGATACTGCATGAAAACTCCCCTCCCCTTGTCCATCAAGGAGGGCCGCGGCGAGTCCTTTCCCCCACCGGGCCCGCGTGTGTCGCTCGCGATCGATGCTCGAGCGCTCTGCGTCCCCCGCAAGAAATCCTCGTCGAGCGACCGGCGCACAGACGAGGCGGAGGAAGCCGACAGCCGCTTGATGGACGACACCGAGGCTACTGAATGTCTCTGTGAGTGTGAGAGCTGGTTGCCGTGCAGCCGTGTGTCGTCATGGTCGCTTGTCGACCCTGCACCGCTTCCTCGCGCATGTCTGCGCCGCGGACGGAGCTCAGCCAAGCTGCGCAGAGGGGGAAGGAGGGAGGAGGGGATACGTCGAAATGAGACATCGATGTGTGTGTTTATGTGTGTCTCCCTCCCTGAATGTGTGTGTCATCAACTTACAGTTTGTGGAGCGACAGCGCCCTCAGGTCGCTGGGCAGGCGGGCCGATCTCTTCTTGCTCTTCGGCCTGGGGAAGGACTCCACCGCCTCGACCTCGTTCTTGTAGAGCCAAGCCTTGAGTGCCCCATACATCATCAGCCTCTTGTCCTTCTGCTGCCGTGCCTGCTGGTCGATGTGCTTGCACCAGGTCACGGCCGCACGCACCCTGGCGTCGGCGTGGGTGTAGTCGAGCATCTCTTCGTCCTCCAGAGGGGCAACCTTGCCGCGCTGAGACGCGGCGCCCGAACCAAACTGCGCAGTCAGATGTTGCGTTTGGTCATGTCTCGTGTCTCCATTTGTGTCGGCGTGTGCAGCTGGGTGCATACCGTCCTCTGGTCTTCGGTGATGCGGTAGAGGCCGGCGGTGAGGGCCTTCTGCGCCCTGCGTGCAATCGATGGATCGATGGATGGGTGGGTGGACCGACGGACGGACAATGAAGGACATTGAGCTGAACGCACTCGGTGCTCACTTGCAAGCGTAGAGGACATCCTTCACCACCGAGCTCTTGAAGTAGTCCCACTTCTTGGCCTTCTTGAATCGGGCCAGAAGGGTGCTGTCTGGCGGGATGCGTGGCGTAGCGTGGTAGAGGGCCTCCCGCACACGACTGGAGATACTCTGAGAAAAGGACAGGATGTCCGCTTTCCTTCCCCTTTGACCGTTTATCTTTGGTGTCTCATCACCTTGAGGAAGTGGCGCCTCTCGATGGTGTATATCTGGACCACGTGTGGTTTTTTACATGGACAGCAGTGTGTGTGTGTCTCGTTCGTGTCTCATTTGTGCTCACCGAAGCGAAGGGGAATGCGACGAGTGTGACTTTGTATCTGTCCCTCCTGTGCACGTTGTGGAAGTCAGGATCGCCACCGACACTCTCGGCCTCCTGCAGCTCGGCCGCCCCGTAGAACGAGTACTTGCCCATCTCCAACACCTGACCAACCCGTCCAACCAGCCGACACACAAACACCCACGCACTAGTGCATCAGGATATCACCCATCGACACATGCTGTGGGCCGAGCTGGAGGATGATGCTGCGTTTCTCCTCCACTGTGACCCGTCTTTCCTTCTTCCTCCCACCGGTCGGCGGCACCGGCTTGGGGATCGTGGATGGCGGGCCGACCGGTGCCCGGGTGGCGGTGGGTGAAGTGGGATCTTGAGCAGCTTCGACGCTTCTCCTCTTGGCAGCCTCTGCCAGGTCTTCCGAGAGGCCGCGCGAGTATGCGTCCTGCCGACGGGGGGTCTTGACCTCAATCGCCAGCGGCTCCGCAGCTGCATGCAGGTCACGATGAATGCATACCAGGCAGACGTCGATACGTGAGCGGTATTCCTCACCGAGACTGAAGCGTCTCTGTCTCGTGCCCGGCACCGGCTTGCCGTCAACCCTGTATCGACAATCAGGCGGTGCGTGAAGAAGTGTCGCTCTCCATGCAGACAGACATACAGACATACATGTTGGTTCTTCTCTGCAGGTGTTTGTTGGACCTCCACTCGTCAATGAGGTCGTGTTCCGGCGTCACCTCTATCTTCCGCAGGCCAATGACAGTGCCTGAGTGAGATGAGCACAGTATAAGGATCGACCCACACAAACAGACTAAACAAGCCGTCCGTTTAGCCGACCGGTTCTGACGAAGATCACACGGTCGGCCTCGTCTCCTTGACGAGTAATGATCTGCAATCCACCAGCAGACGAGGGATGACATGCCTCAAGAGACATCGACAGTTGGCTGACCGTCGGTGATGGAAAGACGTGTTCGTTGAGACGATCCGACAGCGCTTTCAGATCGGCCGGGGTGATCTGACGCAAATAAGGGGACTGACTCAGGTATGCCAGCCTACAAGGCAGAGAAGCAGGCAGGCAGCCGAGACACCCTTTTCTTTGTCTGTGGCGGTTCGTGTGAGTGCATCTCTCACCTTTCGAGGATGAAGTCCTTGTGGTGCGCCAGCACATGCTCCTGATACACTTCCCGAGTCACAACTGCACATGCCAAGACAGAACTCTTTCGACGGCGGATAAATCGATCATCTTCCTTACCGATGAACTCCCCGTGTTCAGGACCCAGGCATACCACTGTAGCGCTTCTTGGCGCATCCTCCAGCAAAGCGACCTCACCAAACCCCTGGCCGGCCTCCACGGTGGCAACCTGCATAGAAGCGTCTTCAATTGCTGCCTGCATCCGTGGGGCCCATCTCCCCCTGACCCACCTGCTGGAATGGCAGGCTGGGACAGACGCACTCGCCGTCTTTGTGCTGCGTGAATGAGGAAATGGACATGGAGGAACGTGTGTGCGGCTTATCTTGCCCTCACACACAATGTCATTCAGGCATCTTCCTGCACAGGCAACAAAGGGAGAAGACCACACACGTGGGGCGCCCCGACATCCTGCTTGTGCGTACTGTGAAGCGGTGTCAAAATCCCGACTTTGCCCTTGAGTACAATGTAGTACTTGGTGCCCGAATCGCCGAAATAGAAGATGACCGTTCTGCGGGTCCGGAAGGACATGCACAGCCAGCAAACAGCCGCTTTCTTACTTGGGAGGGTAGGTTTCGTAGAGCATCTCCTTGCAGACCTGACGTCTGACCATGGGGTCGAGGCCCTGGATGAGCTTGTTGCCCCTGCACATCTCAACCAGCTGCTTTATCTCCTCCTCCTGATCGCATCACACAACAAACGTTCAGAAACTTACCAACTCTATCAAGGAGCTCAAGGCGCCATGCCCACCGTTCGCTCTTCTGGCTCTCTCCTCAGTATGTCACGCGCGAGCCTTACGGCCGGGTCGGGCAGTTTGTGGCGCCGCATCGTGGTGAGGGACGAACGGGTGCAGATCGGTTTCTCCGAGAGACGCGGGCGCAGCAAACCCTGAAACCCGAACCCCGCACTGCGTTGGGAATTTTTCTAAACTCTCCCTTGCGTGGCGATGCGACGCCTCGGCGATTCGGCGATCGGAGTAAAGCGCGGGTGAACTCCGACTGATTGGCATTCGTTGGATTGGGCCGTTGTCCATTTTCCATGGCGGCAGTGGAGTCGAGTCAGCAGGCTGTCGAGTCGGACTCCCTTGGCCTTCTGCCTGAAGCAGCGCCGCCGACGCTCTCTTACAATATAGTCGATCTCTTCACGTAGACGCTCACGGCATCCACAGCACAGCAAATGCACATCTTTCCTTGGCTTTGCGCATGCATGCGGGCGCCGGCGCGTTGGCATCTCTTCTCGTGTGTTTGTGTTGATGGATCGTTGATGCAGCACCTTTGAGGATGTCCAGAAGTGTCCGGAAATTCTTGTAGGGGAGGACGCTACTGAGGAGGGAATCGAAGGTGACTGGAGAAGTAACAACAGCACCACTGATCAGAGAGTGTCGCGTATGTGTGTCTGTTCAGTTGGCAACGCTGTGCTGAGTCGGCTGGTGACGACCGTCAGGAACGTGCAATGGTCCTTCTGGCTGATGCTCTTCTGCCTTGGCGTACTGGTAGGCATCCGATCCACACCACGACCTCACACGTATGTATCCATCTCTCCCTCCATGGTTGTGTATGTGTGGGGTGTGTGTGTGTGTGTGTGTGAGCCAGACCGCCCTCATCTCGTGGGCAATGGATATGTCGATCGACCTCCTCCTCGAACGTAAGCCACCAACCACACACACACACATACGACGGGGTGTGGTGTCCATCCTCCTCCTGCCTTGCTGGCTGCGTCAGTCCGGCATTGGCTGTGCGGCACTCAGACCGGCGCCGACTCCCCCATCCTGTCAGCCGTGACCCTCGCTGGATGGTCCCTTGGGGCATCGGCGGTGGCCGTCTTCTGCTGCCACGTCATAGCTCCAGAAGCGATGGGCTCGGGGATCCCTGAGCTCAAGACTATCCTGAGCGGTGTGCTGCTGCCGAGGTATCTCTCGCTGAGGGCCTTCGTGGGCAAGACACTGGGACTCACGGCCGCACTCGCGGGAGGTGAGTTCGGGCGGGCGGGAGGGCGGGCGGGCACACAAGACCGAGTCTGATACCGCCTGTTTTCGTTGGTAGGTTTGTCGGTGGGCAAGGAGGGTCCCTTTGTGCACATAGCGGCGATCATTGCCAACCAGCTCGCCAAACTGCCACCCTTCAGGGAATGCGCAAAGGTACTGCCACCGACCGAAAAAACAAACAAACACACACACACACACACGCCCAGAATAACCGCGCTCGTGTGTATGATTGACTCGACACAGACGCACACGCACCGGCTGACGATCTTGGGCGTGGCGGTGTCAGCGGGTGTGACGGCCACGTTTGGCGCTCCTGTCGGCGGTGTGTTGTTTGCCATCGAGGTCACGGCGACGTTCTTTTTCGTCAATGCGCTGTGGAAGGCCTACTTTTGCGTCATTTGGGCGGTCTTCACCTTTAGGGCCATACACGCAATAGGTAAAAGGGTAAATGGGGAAATGGGTGGGCAAGGCAGGGGCAGGGATCGGCGGCTGTGTGGTGTGGTGTGCGGTTCAACAGATGCGATTGAGTTATTTGCCGGTACTGATTTCCAGCGAGACGTGAACATATCGTTTGAGATCCTCGGATACGCCGTCCTCGGTAGGTGTTGGCACATAGCTGCCGGGGCAAGGGATGGATGGATGAATGGATGGATGGATGGACTCTCCATGTGTTGTCTGCGTGTGTGCAGGGTGTGTGTGTGGCTGCCTTGGCGGGGTGTTCATCTACCTCACGGCACTCTTCATGAGAGTACGGCACCAAACTCACTCACAACACACACACATTACCCCCACCACAGCGCAGTTCTCTCGTGTGTGTGTGTGTGTGTAGCTGGGTCGGCGCCTCCAAGTCCACAAAGCCAGGTGTGTTGCCAGTGGTTTGGATGTGCCACAGCGACTCACCGTTGGTCGTGTCGTGTGTGTCATCAGTTGGTACCTGTACACCTTTGTGCTGATGCTGCCCCTGTCGGTGGTCGGCATATGGGAACCATACCTCAGCAACAGGGTATGCGAGTCAGCCACATCCACACACCACCCACACACACCCCACACACACACTCCAGCAGCCAAACATTCTTGGTCCGTCACCTGCCTGTGCTTCGATTGCCACAGGATCGGAACACGCTGACGCAGCTCTTCTCGAACGAGGACCTGGGTACGCTCGTCCGCTCATCCCTCCGTCCGCCCATCCATCCATCCATCCATCATGTGTGGCTGCATTCTGTTGCTGCATTCTGTGTCATTTGTCAGATGTCTCTCGGTGGCGACTTGGTGAAGTGGGGTCGCTGCTCGTCTATGTCCCCTACAAACTCATCGGTAAACCAAACACAGCACACAATGGATGGATGGATGGATGCGTGTGTTGGTTGGCTGGTGCAGTGACGGCTTTGTCGCTGTCGTGCCCCGTCCCATGCGGCCTCTTTACGCCTGTGTTTGTAGCCGGCGCCGCATTCGGTAAACCCCATTTGTCATTTGTCAAGAGGAGGCTGGCTTCCAAATGTCCATATCTGCGTGTGTGCCGTCCATTTTTCTGTGTATCAGGTCGGCTGTTCGGGCGATTCATCGCGTCCATGTTTGGCGCATCGGTGGCGGCATCGTATGCCGTGGTGGGGGCGGCGGCCCTCGCAGCCGGTCAGCTGAGTACACCATGCCACAAGGCGCCCCATGGTGTTGTGTCTGTCATCGATGGCGTAGGTGTGACCAGAACCATCAGCGTGACGGTGATCGTATTCGAGCTCACTGGTGGGTGACAGACAACACGCTCACACGCGGAGGGAGAGAGTATGAGAGTATGCTTGTGTTGGCTGCCTTTTATGTATGGTCAGGTCAGCTGCAGATGATGCTGCCGGTGCTGCTGGCGGTGCTGATGGCCTACGTCACCAACGCGGCACTCAGCATTTCCGTATACGAAATGATGCTGCGCAGCAAGGTGTGTGTGGGTGGGTGGGTGGGGACCCTACACACACCTACGCCCACCACTCTGTCTGCGTGTCTTTATTGTCTTCTGTCTGTGTCTTGGTTCGTTCATTCAGCGTCTGCCTTATTTGCCGGCCATCCGCAGCAAGAAGATGTACTCTCTCACGGCTGCAGACATCATGTACGAGGCCAGCCATCCACTCACAACACACAAGCACACACCCCCGCAAATGCCCCCTCCTCTCCCTCTACCTCTGCGTGCATATGTATGTCACACAGGTTCTCCCCCTCCGCCTTCACTCTGCCCATCCGCGGCGCCACCCTCACAGACGCCCTCATCTGCCGTGTCGCATGCCTTGGTGCCGCAGTCCCACTGGTCGCCTCTCGGGAGCACCCCAAGCTCGTGGCGGTGCTGCCCTGCGCTGAGATCGACGCCATCATGAAGAAATACCGGCGGGCCAGAAGGGCCGCCAAGTTCTATGAGAGGTGGCTGCGGCCGACGCGACAACGACGAGCGGTGGCGTTGAGCCATGGGGCTCTTGGAGAGGCGCAGCAGCCGCTGTATCCCCAGAGGGCGGAGAATGGGCGGAACGGATCCATGGCGGCGCAGACCAACGAGTAGGCAGGGAGAGAGAGAGGGGAGGGGGAGGGGGAGGTGCTGTGACATACCTGTTGTTTTGTGTTGTGTGTTCAGGCATCAGGTCCCCCAATACACCGAGACGCCCGTCGGCTCAGGAATCGGTACATTCACAACACATACATACACCAGGCGCGCAGACCATACCACACCACGCCCATCTGTGTGTGCAGGTGGTGATCTCCTGAACGCCTCAGTAGCATCCACGACCATCCCGCCCCTCCCCATTGCTCAACAGCAGCAGCAGTCGGCAGCAGCAGCCGCAGCTGCCACCAATGGTCAGCGGGGGAGCCCCCAGCCCCCTCTCGCCATCCAAGACGGCAACCTTGATCTCTATGACATCTCCTCGCTACAAGGTGGGGTTGTTTCTCTCTCTCTCATTGCAGCTGGATGGATGGATGGATGTGCAGGCACCCATTTTGACCTGGATCTGTGTGCGATCGACTGGGCCCCGCTCACCGTCATGCCACACACGCCCGTGGTAAGCCAAGCCGGAAGGGCAGATAGATCGTATGCATGATTGCTGTGCTGTGTGTGCCGACCGTGTTTGTGTCTGTTCAGAGCAAGCTGCATTTCCTCTTCACGATGCTGAACATCGGTCAGCTCTTTGTGTGTGACGGAGAGGGACAACTCATCGGTACACACACCCTGAAAGGGACACGACAACACACACACACAGAGACACACACACACAGACACACACACAGAAAGTGTTGTCGCGGTTCAGGAGTGGTGACCAGGGAGTCTTTCATTGAGAGCGGCCTGGAGAATGTCGACCCGTCCAGCCAGCTGCCACGTGAGGCCATCCCCCCATCCCCCCTCCCACACACACACGATGCCCCCATGCATCCACCCTGTGTTCTGTCTGTCAGCCGAGTATGAGCTCCTGAAGGAGAAGTTCGTTCAGTCCTTCGTGCGGGGGGTCTCGCCAGCCGAATCAACTGAGGTACACGCGACGCGACACACCCATCCACCATTTAATTGTGTGTGTCTGTGTGTGTGAATGTGTTGGTTGCCATACTCACAGGCCAACCACTTCTCCCCCACAGTGCGCAAGAGCTCCGTCCTCCTGCGGGGCGACGCCACGGTGGAGTCCAACTACTTCGACCACCCCGACTCGCAGCCGCCCCCACCCCACCACGTCAGGCGATCCCCCACACGAGACTACTCACCCCGCTCGCACACCATCACGTCAAGGGTGGTGCCAGTCCCCCAGGACAGCGGCACCAGCGCTGCTGCTGCTGCTGCTGCTGCACGGCCACACAGGGGTATGAGTAGCACCAGTGGGTATGAGGCCTTTACAGATAGAGGCGGGCTGATGAGTCGGTCGGGCACTGATGGTGCGCTGGGGGCGACTGCGTCTGCGTCGGTGGAGGCTCGGAGGGCGCAGAGGAGGCAACAGGTGGGGAGGGGTGGGGGGAGAGCACTTGTGTGTGAGTGTTGTTTGGTGTGTGTGTTTTATGTTTGTCAGCGCCCGATAGAGTTCCGGATTGACGTCGATGATGCCAAAGGTGGCTATGAGGAGGAGACACCGACCAAGAAATGAAAGAGGACCGACTGGCTGTTGGATGTGGGGTGGGATGGGGGACAGAGAGGGGCCCATCGGTGGTATGGCACACGTGTGTAGGGATGGATGGGCGGAGGAGCACAGACAGAACCATATTGTATTGCATGTGTGTGTATATTACTTCTTTTATTACGTATCGTCAGTGGCCGGACACCGTCGTTGTGTACCTGTCGGTCTGTCTGTCTGTAAAACCACTTGAGAGCCAATCCATCCATCCAACATCACCTACCCATGACGGACGCAATCCCCTGCCTTCCCTGTCTGTCTGTCTGACTGCCTCCGCCCCTTAAGACACGCACCGTGGCGTCGCTGCCGAGCCGCAAGTGAGCTGCAGCTCGCCGGGGACGTCACAGTGCATGTGATAAGTGGCGCATAAACAGAGAGGGGGGGTGGGAATGGCAGCACAGCAAAGCGACGTCTGTCTGTTCCAGTCAGTCATCTTGTCTGTCTGTGTGCCTGCCCCCTCCCTCCCTGTACATCAGGGGTATCTCCAGTATGACAAAGCCGCTGTTTACACGGCAGCGCCCTCATCAAATGGCGCATACCCCACAGGGACAGACAGGGGGGGGCAGGGACACTCGACTCAACCCAACTCAACACCTGTCTGGGACAGTTCCCTGGTCTATGTATGTTTGGAAATGACGCTACCCACAGCACCTACAGCACCTACACACCTCCGTCTGTCTCCCATCCGATGGAATGAGCGAGCGCCCTCATGACTGGCCGGGCCCGTCTGGACGGACCTCTCTTTGCCCCTGCTGCTGCTGCTGCTGCTCCTGGCCCTGGCCTGACGCCCTGCGAACAACACACACAGCATGAGCCACAGGGTGGAGATCCGACTGTGATTGTGTCTGTGTGAGGTTCGCACGCCGCCTGGGCACCTGATTTGCCTCATCTTGTCGTCGATTCTCTCCTTCTGCTGTGCCAGCAGCGCCTCACCACCCGCACGAGCCTGAGATAAACAACGTGCACAGACGATGGACCGACATGAGGAATAAGAATGGGTGTGTGTGTGTGTCAGGTGACGTCACCTGCTGGTCTTCCCGCGCCGCAGCCACCAGGCCAACCACAGGCATCGCGCCAACCACACCTGCACTCACGGCCTACACACACAGACGACACGCGACACACACGGACAACACAGTGACAACCGCCGCACACGAGCCCTCTCCCTCCCCCCCGACTCACCGACGCGACAACCGATGGCGGCTGTTGGACGGTGGTGCCATTGTGGTTCGTCGTCGACATGAGCGTGTCCCCACCCTTATCCTTGACGGCCACCGCCGCTGCTGCTGCAGCTGCAGCTGGAGCAGACGAGGCAGCTATCGGCATCATGGCTGGCGGTGCAGGTGGTCGCGGCCCGTTGCCGATGCCAACCGCCGCCGCCCGCGTGTGCATGAAGGTGTGCTGCTGGTGGGGTATCTGTGGGTGGGAGCGGGGTGGGAGGGGGTGGGCCATCACGGGGCGGTATCGGGCCTCGATCTGTGGCGGCACCAGGTTCTCCTTGCGGGCCTGGAGGCATGCACACAACGGGAGAAGGCGATTCTCTCTCTCTCACTCTCTCTCACCGGGTGTGGTGTGGTGTAGTGTGGTGTGTTGTTGCAATACCTCTTCCAAAGCAGCGTTGATTGCGGCCGTCACGAGCTTCGGGTCCACCACAGACGCCAATCCCGCCAGCTGAACCGAAGACACACACACACACACACACCATGATCGGTGGAGGCCCACCACCCACCTCTCTGCACCCACCACCCACCCACCTGTTTCATCATGTAGTCCACAGCGCTCTCATCGCGTCGCTCCCGCATGGACGTGAGCATGGCTGCCAGGCTGCGGCTGTCCATACCACGCTCCCGCCCGATGCCCATGCCGGCTGCGGCTGTGGCTGTGGGGGGGAGCGGCGTCTCCTCCTCGATGGGGAGTGCGACGAAGTGCATGATGCACTGTGAGGCGGTCTTGCCGTTGCCCACGTGGGAGGCCACCTCATCCCACGAATCGCCATACAACTCCAGACCCTCTGAGAGCATGGGAAGCGTTTGTGCGACAGGTGTGGTGTGGGGTGGTGGGTCGTGCACTGACCGATGAGTCTCATGGTCTCGTGTTCTGTCCACATGGTGCCACTGGCGTCGGGGCGGCCGTCCTGGGAACCGCTCAACGGCACCGTCACCTACACGCATTAAACACATGGCAGGCGCAGTGAGTGCACCATTGTGTGGCACCGTGACCGTGTGTATTGTGTGGGGTGGTGTATGGGTGGTCTCACGCCCACCTTCCTGAGCTGCGAGGGCAGCAGGTTTGGCGGCAGCAGGCCCTCGCGGTAGCACAGCTCGCACCACGCACACCGGCTCAGCACACCAGTTGACAACGCTGCACCAACCACACACAACCAACCAACACACACACACACACACATCTCTCTCACATGATATCTTCCTCCGTCCTCACTGTCACCCCACCAGGTGCGCCAGCAGTCTTGCGGACGACATAGAAGGAGTAGAGGCAAATCTTGCCGCAGCTGACGCACTTCTTGGGACCGGGCGGGCCCTCAGGCACCTTGGGCAGCGCATACCGCTGGCCAGTCGACGCGAGAGTGGTGACATTGGTGGCGCCACCCACACCAGCACCAGCACCCACACCGGGCCGCCAACCCACACCTCCCTGTGACGCCGATGCGGCTGCCGATGGGCCCTGCTGGTGGATGCCCATCGTCGGCTGGGTGCCTGGCTGTGGCTGTGGCTGGCCGATGCGCCCAATGGGCCGTGCTGGCGCAGGTTGGGATGGTCCGCCTGTGGTGGTTGCTGCTGGCTGTGGGACGGTGTCTTCGCGGAGCTTCCGCGTCTTGAGGGGGAGGGTGGATGGGTCAGCCTGCATTGCAATGAGATACAGTGCACTGAATGTTTCGTTTGTTGTGGGTGGTGTATGTATGTATGTGTGTGGGGTGTGACCTGGAAGTTGATGACCCCCCAGAAGTCAAGGAAGCTGTGTATCTGCAGCACCAGCAGGGCATCGCCGTCGATAAACCGTCGACACTCCGTCGCACTCAGGTACTTCCGAGGATTCATCCTGACACACACACACACACACACACGCATCCATGCCTCCCTCCCTCCTTTCTCTCCCCAACCTGTATCTCTCCACAATGGCGTTCCTGACGGCCACATATCGTCGCTTGGTCTCCTCCAGCCCCTCCCCGTCCTCGTAGGCCCCGAAGAAGCCCCCCAGGTGCTGCATCTCGATGTTGTGCACACTGTCCGTGTCGAACCAGTCGGCGAACGACGGCAGCTGAATCGTCACCGGCACCTCAGACGCTGACGCGGGACGCGCCGCCTCCGCACCCTGATTGATGCACACACACACACATACATGGGGATGGATGGATAAATGGATGTGTGTGTGTTTGAGTGTGTGTCTGGGATACGTTGAGCTCAGTGTTTTGTGGTGGTGGTGGTAGGTCTGGGGGGACGGGAGGGCCGGATGGTGGGAGGGGCAGGGTGACCAGCAGCCCGCCCTCGCGAGTCACCGTCTGGGTCCAGCGGGCGTGCGAACTGACGACACACAGAACAACACACACCACACACACAAATAGTTGCTTGCATTGTCTGTCTTCTTTTGTGTCTGTTTGTGTACTGACCGTTTTGCCAGTGGCGCTCCGTCCGGCGATGCGGACGAGACCTCGTCCGACACAACTGACGGCGAGCACAGCTCTGACACAAGACACACACACGCGAAGAAGCAGAGTGCTGTCTGTCACTTTGCTCGCAAGCGCCAACCCACCAGGTGGCAATGGTGGGGCGTGGAATCGCTCCGTCACCACGCCGTCCACATCCATACCGTCCTGACACAACCGACCATTGCCGCAACACAAGCATCACACCCTCCCTCCTCCCTCCCTCCCTCCATCCCACCCTGCCCCTCTCTGCATACCGTGGCCTTCTCGATGATGGTGGGCAACTGGGCCTTCATGCGGACGTCCTTGCAGTGCTCACGCACAAACGCCGCTACCTCAGGTAGCACCTCGCCATAGTCCAGCTGCGCCAGGGTCTCGGGGTCCAGGACGGGGGGCGCCTCCCCCTCCGGCCGCCCGATGACCTTGCACTTGGTGGGGTGGTATATCGACGGATTGCACCGCAGCCGCAGCGCGTGCAGGTGCTGTGGCTGCTGCTGCTGCTGCAGCAGCAGCATCGGCTGCACACCGCCGCCCGCCGCATCCAGCACCATGCCAGCTCCCCCCGACAGATCTGTCGGGCCATGCACTCGGGGTAGGATTCCGGCGCCGCCATGCACCTTTCGCTTCTTCTCCGGCCGCCGCGCCTCGGCGCCCTCGGCCCCCCTGCCCCCAGGAGCGGACTTGCGCGCCTTGACACGGTCCACGCCGCCGACCCGCGATCGGGAATGGCCCTGGGAGGGCTTCAGACTGTCGCGGGTCACCATGCCGCGAGGTCTCTCGCTCTCCTCTCCCGGCGCTTCACGTGCTGGTGGGGGGGTCTTGTGGACGCGCAGGCGCATCGAGCCGGCGGCCTTGCCGGCCGTGTCGTCGGATGCCACCGACTCCGCGTCCCTCGCTTTGCGGCTCTTGCGCTTCTCCCTCTTGCCGGAGGGAGCCTCGGATGGCGTGGGGGGCTCGCCCTCATGGGCATGGGAGGCCTTCTGGCGCTTCTGTCGCGTCTGCACGGGCTGTGGGCGCTTGCCGCTGGCCTGCCCTAGGTGTGCGAGGAGGGGCGGGGGGAGGTGGGCCTCGATGATCTCGTAGTCGGCCTCGTTCATCCACTCGTTGAATGTCTCGAGGTGTGTGATAAAGGTCATGCCCACCTTCCAGATGCCGTCAGGGGGCCGGATGGGCGTCTCGATCTCGTCGTCGGCGCTGCCCTGCACCCACACGTCGTACGAGTCGGGGTGGTACCACCAGTGGATGAGGTTGAAGTTCTTCCCCAGGTCGGTCCGCATTCGCTCGATGGTGCGGAAGTAGCTCTCGGGGTCGCTCGGGTTGAAGTCGGGGTTGCACGCGTCAGACACCACGATGTGCGTCGCCTCCTTGATCGTACCCACCACCACACCGTGATGCTTGCTCACGAGCGCAGTGCACCTCTCCACATCCTCGGCGGTCACGCCGCCCTGCCCCGTCCAGAAGAACACCTTGGGGGGCTTCCAGTGACCGTCGGCCTTGATGCGGTCGAAGATCTGTCGGCACAGCTGGATGACGTGTGGCTTGGCCTTCTCGGTGAGGATGTCAAACCGCCGGCTGCCCGCACCCTCCTGCTGCGCCTTGAACTCGAAACACAGCTCCAGGATGGTCTTGAGGGCCCCGTTGGGGCGGTAGTCGCGGAGCAGGACTGCAGGGAACTTGGTCATCTCACGCTGCTCGACAGGCACCTGATGAATGGATACACACCAGACAGACAGACAGACAGACAGATGCCCCGCTGTGCATGCTTGATGAGTGTGATGGTGTCGGTGTGTTGGTGTCACACATGTACCTTAGCGCCAAAGTTGAGGTCCATGAAGAGGGTGAGGTGTGCGACGAGTGTGGCGAGTGTCTTGCTGTTGCATGCGGCGTCCCTCTTGATCCACTCGACCTTTTCCAGCTCCTGCCGCACCTTCTCGTACTTGTCAACCATGAAATCCTCCACATTGCGCACATTCCGCTGCACCACACCACACCGCACACACACGTCAGTCAGTCAGCCGGGACAACGACCCGCCCGTTTGCCTGACCTGATCAGCGGGTGCGTGTGGCTTCCTGCGTTGACTCATAGGCCGAGGGGGGCTCCGAAACAATGGATGGCGCGGCTTCTGCTTTCTCCCCGGCGTCTATCGCGTCCGCATGCCGTCACGGCACTGCAGACGGTTTTGTGGCTGTCTGGCGGCGAGGCGAGGCCAGATCACAAGCGGAAAGGAGGTGGGAAGTCAAATTGCCGCCAAGATGGCTGCGAACTCGCGCGTTCAGGGCCAAAGCAAAAATCACGCGAGTTCTCTGGAGGTTTCGCGGAGGAAGGGAGACCCTAAAGCAAATGGCGCGAGCTTTCTTCTTGAGGAGAAGAAAGGCGCTCTGCAGGCATCCGCAGCGTGTGTTGAGCACATTCGACGGCAAATCCATCAAAGGGAGGTGTCCGATTTCGCTTCTTTTTCCAGCTCCCTCTATCTGTGACCTGTGAGTGGTGCGGAGGCTGGTTGGGAGGCGTGAAAGGCTTCACAAGTCTGCACAAGGGGGAGGGGAGTCTGCAAGCAAGGCTGCAAGGGGAGGGGAGGCCTCCATCTATCGACTCAGGCTGTCAGTGTTAAGGTAGGTGGGTCAGTCACACCACACACAAGGACACACAAACACACAAAATTCAGGTGCATCTGGCTGACTCTGTGTGTGTGTTGTGTGTGTTGCAGGCAGGCAGGCAGCCATGTCAGAGGTGTCAACAAGAGATGCCGTGTGTGACGACACGCCCGCCGACCTGTCGACGCCCGACACGACCCCTGAGAGCCGCTGGGCGAGTGTAAGTTGGCCCTTTGAGGAGCGGTCGGTGCGGCGACGGGGCTACATATCCTTGCTGGAGGGTGTGTGCTCGGCCGTGACCTACTGCTACCTCTCGGTCCGCATCATGTGTGAGTACTGCCTCGTCATGAGGAGATACTCCAAAGTGCTCTACTTCAGGGAACATGTTCTAGAGGTACTTACGGCAGAACGACAGACAGACAGACAGACAGACAGACAGACACTATGGATGGCTGTGTGTATGTGCAGGTGTGCACCCGAGCGGAGCGTGATGTGATGTTTCTGCGTCTGGGCACGCAGCACCTGCAGCGGATAGTGCGGCTGCTGGAGGCCAAACCCACCCTCTCCAAGACACCACCACCCACCTCGTCAGCCGCACACCACCAGCAGCAGGCATCAGGCGGCCCAGCCCTGCTCCATGCCGCGAGGAAGGCGGCCAACATATCGTCAGCTGCCGAGACGGCCCAGCTGCACCTACTGGGTGTGAGTCTGCAGCGTCTCGAGTGGGTGACGGCCGAGCTGCATCGGTGTGACGACAGGGTGGAGCTGATTCTGAGCCTCGATGAGGGTGGTGTGGCGCAGTGTGCCGACTCGCTGGCCTTCAGGCGGGCGACAGAGTGCCACCAGCGGCTCGCCAAGAGGCTGGGGCGGATGCTGAAGCGGGCGAATGAGAGCCAGAGGTTCCTCAGGTCACTGCAGGAGGTAACCACGCGAGACAGCCAGCCGGGCAGACAGGACGACATCTGCAGACGCCAATCGATGTTGCGTGTCTGTTGTAGGAGTGTAATGTGTTGGAGACGACTCTCACTGAGTGTGTTGAGTCCTTCGGTCGCCAGCTGCCCCTCCGAGTGCGGAAGACCGCCTCGCTCGACCCGACAGACATCTGCATGATATGCCTCGAGGCCAACTGGGCGCCCTCGCCGCCAGAGAGCCACCGGTGCAGGGCGGTCTACCTCGAGCCGCCCATCGAGAGCTATGCGCTTCAAGGTCAGACTAATGCACCCACACGATATCGCCATCCATCCAGCCATCTGTCTGTGTCTTTGTGTCTTTGTGTGTCGCCTCCTTCGTTGGTCCAGGCAAGAGTTGGGGTGTGCGGCGTCGTCAGCCGCGTCGTGTGCACCTGGTGGGTGTGGAGGCGGACTGGACGGACTGCACCATCGAGGACCCTGCTGCCGACGGGGGATGTCATGGCGGCAGTGGTGGGGGCGATGGTGATGCGGACAGCCAGACGAGCAACAGCATTCACGAGGAGAGGAGCAGGGCGTGGGTGCGGCCGCCCTCCGCCGAAGAAGAGGAGGACTACCGCCCTGTGGACCTGCGATGCGGACACCTCTTCCACAAGTGAGGGAGGCGGCGACGCACTCCTGTGCATCTGTCTGTATGCGGCTGTGTTTCTCCTTGTGTGTGTCTGTCTGTGCAGGGCGTGTTTACAGGGATGGGTGTGTCAGTCTGGTCGTTGTCCGTGCTGCGGAGAGGACCTCCTCCCCGCCATACTCGAAGACGCCTCATAGCAGCGAGCGGGCCAAGCCCACTGTTGGCAAAGTCCGGCTGGATGCCGCTCTGTGTGTATTGTGTATGTGTATGTGTGAGTTTTCATTCAGTCATTCATTGCCCTTTGTCTGTCTGATGCAGTCAGCCAGCAGGTCGGTCCATACGTAGGGGGTGTCTATCTGTCGGCTGGGAGGAAGGAGACAGAGGAGACAGAGATCAAGGAAAGAAGAAATGGATGGCCTCTCATCGATGGCGGCAGGTGGGGTTTTGGCAGTGTGATGTGCGGTCGTTGTGTCGACTTTGCTGGACGGGCGGGGGTTAACGGGTGTTGTGTGTGTAAAGAATGGAGGAGTGACGGACCGACCGATCGGTAGTGATTGTTTCCCTCATGCACGGCAGCGTACAGACATGCAGATGCATGTGTGTGTATGCTGCCTGTGGTTAGCCAGCTGCCTCCCGGCCTGTGCTCATGGTCCTTTTTGTACCTATTGCATTACCTGCTGACGTAATGATGACATGTGCGATGGTTGGGGAGGGGCGGGCAGAGGAAGACAGAGAGAGGTGAGATGCTGATTTTGTTGCCCCGGGGGGAGGAGGGCAATCGATCGCCGGACAGAGCGACTTGGTACAACGTGGCTCTCGATATCTGCATGGCAGCAGTCTCGTCAGCTCAGCAGCATACACAACCCAGCCACCATCCTGGCCGTCGTTAACAGCGCTGTACCGGTGCCCACACAAACCGAGATCTGTGTGCCCTCGTCCTCTCAAGCAAGAAGATCGACGATGAAGCTTCTTCTGTGCGTCGTCGGTGCCCTCCTGGCCGGTGCTATTGTTCCCAGCACGGCAGAGAACTTCCGCGTACGCGTGGCGGCCATCCCCCCGACTGTAGGGAATCAGCCACTCCCTCTCTTGCTGTGCTGGTCCGATGAATCTGTGTGTGTGTCTATGGGTCTGCGTGCAGACTGACACTGCGCAAGCGGAACAAGACCCCTTTCTCGGACAAACCTTCACCATGGAGGAGGAGTACCTCGGCGAAGGTTTGGGGAACGTCACTTGCACGTTCGGCAGTACCCTGCCGGATCAAGAGCATCTCTACACGTGCCAGAGGGAGAGTCAGGACACCAGGTAGCCACGGGCAGGCTAGGCACACAGATAGACAAGACATGCACAAAGCACTGGCGGGGAGAATGCTGTTTGTTTTTTGCTTTCGGTCGACAGTTTCTCCGTGGGGGTGGGCCGGGTCGCTGATCCTGCAGACGGGGATGACTACGCGTACTACTTCCTTCGCTACGATTGTGGGTGTACCTACATGGGCATACTCCGATCTTCTGACTCCACTAAAATCGAGGGGACGTACCAGTGCCCGATTGAGATAGAGACTTGCCCGGAGAGTGGTACGAGCGGTTTCTTCACAGCTTATCCCTCGACAGGATCGTAGGGATCGATCCTTACATATCGATTGCAGAGAGGCAGAGAGGCGTACATGTGCGAGTTGCGCCGTGTACTTATGAGCACGTCATCTGTCCTTGGTTCAACTTAGTGATTTGCTTGAGTTTGTACACTGCTGTGCCGGAGGGCGGGCGGGCGAATGGGTGTCGTGGCGTACGCGTGTAATGGTCTCTGGCTGGTCTGGTCGAAATGGACAACAGACAGACAGAGAGGGGAAGATGAGTTGAGTTATGGTCAGAGGGAGGGAGGGGTGATGGGACACGTGTTCTTTGAGCTGCTCACTCCTTAATTATGTGTTATGTGTTTGTGATAACCGGACGGATCGTGGCCAGAAAGGCAGACTGACTGTGGCACAGAGAGTGATTTTTAGCCGTACTTTGGCCAGTGCAGATCGTTCTTTCTGTTGGTACACTGCCGCCAAATTGTGTGGTTTGGTGGGGTTGAGTGATTTGCTGCGTGCGTCGATCCTTCACTGATCTGCGTCTCATCTGCTGCGTTGTTGGATTTCTTGCCCTAGGGCGAGAGTAGACTTATCAACAAAGCGAGCGATGAATGAATCTCTGATGTCTCACATACCGCATCACGTGCTACATCTTTGTTCCCGCACGACACCATCCGAGACACACAGAGACACACAGAGACACAACAGCACGTACGACAAGAGGGATACCAAAAATGAGAGGTACGGAAAGGCAAGACACTGAGACGAGAGGTACGGAAAGGCAAGACAGCAGGCAGACAGAATCGTTCAAAGAATCGTGGGAAGGTACTATTGCGAGTCCCCTTGCAGTCTAGTGCAACCTCTGGTTGCGCTCTTCACAATCTTCTTTGAGCGACGCCGATGAGAGCGAGGGGGTCGAGCAGAGAGGCGTCCACGTGCATGTGCGGGGGAAGAGCCGTGTACTGTACACATCATTTGTCCGTCAGTTCGCCTGAGTGATTTGCTTGTGTACGTGAGTGCACTGGTGACCCTCTCGCGGCTGCCGTGTGTCATCTGCATATTCATAGCTAGGGTGAGTGCCGCTGGGTGGGTGTGTCATGCTTCGTGCTCACTGCTCCAAAAAGGCGACGGGCTGAGAGGGGAAGGGACTGTGTCTCTCACAGGGACCTGAGGTCGGCCGTGCAGTCAGCCTTAGTGTTATCTGTTATTTGTTATTGTCTGTGCTGGTGTTCGTTGCAACTGGGCGCACGACACCCCAAGAGACAGATTAACATACAAGAGGCGGGCAGACAGTGGGTATGACGTTGGTTGCCGTGGATGCGAGAGACTGGATTCACTTATAATGAATCCAATAAATGGATTCCTTGTGTCTCGCTTCCGCATCACATGCCACATCTGAGCCTGACTCGCCCTGGTGTCCCCCAACCCACCCACACGCTATTCGCACACAGAGCGGAGCACCAAAAATGTAACAACCACTGTCAGCAGTACATGAGTGAGACACGGCACGCGACGCAAGGCACAGATCACGCAGGGCACGAAAAAGAGAGATCAGCATTCACACGAGTCTTGTGTGACGAACACACAAACCCCCGGACGAAGAGCAGGCCATGCAATGTAATTGAAGCCAGCCCAGCTATGAAGCCACCAGCCACGTGAGCCATCACAGCAACACAATTCCACACCCACCAACCACATACGCGGCTTCCATTGCATGCACACACAGACAGGCTCTCTGATAAACAATAGGCCACCCAGGCAGGCAAGCGGCAAGCCAGCCCAGCCATATACTGCCAGGTGAATTGACGTCGTTTCGCAGAGCAGAGCTACCAGTCGTCTTTGGCAGGCCCACTAGCCCTTCGGCGGGCTTGCCAAAGACGAGAGGCATCAAGCAACCAACCATCTGGATCCACGCCGAGCCCCCCGTGCCAGGTGCCGGCGACAATCAGCTCCAGATAACCGTCGATTTGGGCATCCTTCATTCAGTGTGGTTTAAGAGTGGCGGTTGCCATGGCAATGTTGTCCTCATTCAGTGACGAATCCTGCACTGCAGCAGGTGAAGAAGGTACAGATATCAAAGGGTGTGTCGGTGGAATCGTGGGTGCTGACGGACGGACCTCATGCTGTTTGCGACTTCCTCTCTGAGTCAAAGGCGCTTCAGGTTTTCCTCTTCGTCACGCTGCATGCGCTCGACCAGCTCCGGATTCACCTGACAACACGGACACACAGACACACACCCATACACCCATATAACCACACAGACACACACATATGTCTCCCTCCGTGCCAAGGTACCCACCTGTTTGGGGTCAGGTTGGTAGAGTATGTCCTGCGCCTCACTCTCCTTGACATACACGAGTATGTAGGCGCTGCCGCGCCGCTCGTCGCCCCCCCCGCCGAAGTTCTCGTCGATGGCCGCCACAGTCGACGTCGAGTAGACGATGTGGTCGTCGAAACGGATCCACTGGCTGCCGGGGGTCGGGCGGATGAAGCAGTAGAAGTGGCCGCTGTCAAGCCCACCTGACAATCCATTCACACCGACGGGGAAAGAGGCCGTGTCTGCCGTCTTTCTCTTTCTGTGTGTGTGGGTGGATTTTGTACCCACCTCGGTGGACGATGACCGTGTGGAGGATGTATGTGCCGGCGCCCTGGCAGAACGGCTCGAGGTCGAGCGTCTCGGGGAACTCGAAACGGTCGTTGACCTTGACATTGTCCATGCGCTCCATATCAAACTGATAATACCCATGTAACGCGAATCATTTGAGCGCTGGGGGTCTGTCTCTCTCTCTGCATACCCGGATCCGTTTGAGATGGAAGCGCATCACAGGTGGGAACTTGAGGAAGCGCACGCCCTTCTTGGCGTTCTGCGGGCCGAAGTGCTCGGTCCAGAACTGATTCTGGCCCACGAGCAGATCCTCCCGTGTGTAGTATCGCAGCGACGCCTCTAAGCTGGAACAACCAAACACATCCAACTGCACACAGACGGAGCACACACATTGGCACATGAGTGTGTGTGTGTGGGGACGTGTGTGTGGGGCGGGTGAGGGAAAAGGGTTACCGTAATGTCGGGGAACTGTTCCGTCTTTTTTGTTGTGTAGTCGACCTCAGTGCAGGACACATAAGTCTCGAGCTCGCCCTCGAAGAGACGGGCGATGGTGCCTTCAACAGAGGTACCCTGACAGATACGACACACCACACAAGCCACCGGCACTGATGTGGGTGTGCATTGACCTCAAGACGCAACGCATGGACGGACCTTCATTTGCTCTTCGAGTTCGTCGCACAGGAGTCTGGTCAGCTCCTGGGCATCGTACTGCGGGAAGGCCTCTGAATCCCAACCAAGCGGCCCGCACCAACGCACACACACATGTATCACCTCATCGCTCTGTATCTCTCTCTCTCTCTCTGTCTGTCTGTGTGTGTGTGTGTGTGTACTTGATGAGTGGGTTGATGTCGACGGCCTGGTGGGACTCGTGTAGGTGGTAGAATACCGTCTGCACCGCCAAAGCCAGAGAAGGCGTGTTCCCCTCCCATATGCACAACACACACAGAGAGAGGGTGAGTGCAGGATGGATGGATGGATGGACGAATGGGTCAGTCACCGCTCACCTCCACGTCTTCCTCATTCGTCATGCGATAGATGGCGTCGGTGAGTTTGCCGATGTGGTACAACGACTGCAGGACGCTGGTCATGCTGCACGTCGCCCCACTGTTCACGATGCCGACGTAGTCCCCACGAGGGCTGGTGCGTCTGACGGGGAGGCTGCGGCAAAGGCGAGAAAGAGCAAGGCCGTGCAAAGTGACCGGGACGCAGCGGTCATTAACAGCCGAGAGAGAACGGAACACGACGTCGACCGATAGCCAGAGCGGCTCGAAGAAATGGGACGTAGGAGGAGAACGTCCGCAACAGCCGCAGGGGCTCGATACCGCTTTTTTTACGTCCTACTGCCTCGGACAAGGCCATTGGAGATGGCGTAATGCTGCTCCTGCCCTCCGGGTCACCCAGCCTGCGGCGGGATATCTCTCAGACCTCTGCAGGTGCACACAAAACCAGATGCAAAAAAACAAGGATGACTCCCAGATCTGCGTGCTCCTTCTTTCATTGCCTACCCAGGATACTTTCCTTCGCCTTTCTTCCCCGCTATGGGGATCGGTGACTTTGAGCTCGCACGCGCATGCATGCAGACGGGGGGCGCCCTCTCGAGCCGCTCTCCGCGCGGTGCTGAGCCGTCGTCAGGATGTTCAGCAAGTACGCCAAGCAGTTTGAGATCCCCCATGGCCTGCCCGAGGTGCTCAAGGGGTTCACGCGAGAGGTCCTCCGTAACCAGCCCGATGACATCTACCAGTTCGCAGCGGAATACTTCGACAGAAAGGCAAAGGTCAGGACAAACAATCAAAGACGCCCATCCATCTGTCCAGCTGAATGAGTCTGAGACGCCCCATCTGGTCTCATGATGTGTCCAGGGGCTGCCTGACGTCGTTGTAGAGGGCGGCTACGCTGGTCCACCGGGCGTTGCAAAAGGCGCTGAATCGGCAGAGGAGCGGCAGGCCCCGGCCGCTGCAGAGGCGCCTGGTCCACCTGCCGAGAGAGAGGAGGAGGCAGAGCATGCTGAGAGAGAGAAGGGGGAGGCCCCTCCCCCTCGTGAGGCTGAGGCTGAGGGTGAGGGTGAGGGTGAGGGTGAGGGCGAGGAGAAGTCGAAGGTGTGGTCGATAGCGGAGGTCAAGGCCATGATTGAGGGGCTCTTCCAGGCATATGACAAGGACGGCAGCGGATACCTTGACAAGAGCGAGTTCAAAGAGGTGAGTCCGGCACAGGGGCAGCCTTCTCTCTCCATCGATGTCTGCGGAACAGTAAGTCTCTCTGTACAGTGTGTGTGTATGTCAATGACCCATGATGCAGCTGATGCACAGCCTGCAGAAGAAGCTCGCCTTCCCCGAAGACGAAGTGCTGCGGTACGGTTGTTCGCAGGGGCACGCACGGACCGTCGTGTGTGGGTGTCTGTCTGTCTGTCTGTCTGCAGGTTTTTGGCCGAGGCTGACATGGATCAGAACGGCAAGGTGGACTACAAGGAGTTCATCCCGCTGGCCATGCAGATCGTCGAGGCCATGTACGCCAAGGGAGAGACCGAACGGGTGGGCGAGAGCAGAGCAGTGGGAGACAGACGGTCGGGAGCTGAGCTCCACCGGAAGAAGAAGGAAAGGTGGTGGTTGTGTGTGTTGTTTTCAGGAGATGCAGGTGGCTGAGAAGGAGGCCGAAGAGTTCTTGGTGCACGGCATGACCAAGTGAGACAGGCAGACAGAAAGACAGAGAGGCAGACAGACAGACAGCGGAGGCTGCACATATACATGACAAGTGCCACGATGCACGTATGCGTCTCTGTGCTCCCCTGTGTGTGTGTGTGTCGTACAGGGAAGAGTTGACGGAGACCATCATGACGATGTTCAAGGAGTTTGACAAGGACGGCAAAGGATTCGTTTCCAGGTCAGCGTCGCTTGATACGTGTTGGCTGCTGTGCCTCTCAATATGTGTCCCTCTCTCCCCTTGTGTGCAGGAGTGAGTTCATCGACACCATGTGCAGCATGGAGCTCGGGCTGAACCGGTCGCCTCCATGTCTCTCTTGCCCGTCTGCAGCGATGGATTTGTTTGTGTCTGTGTCTGTCTGTGTGCAGTCGTGAGTTGAACGCGCTGTTGTTCCAGGTGGTCGACCAAGACAACGACGGCACCATCAACTACAACGGTACAGACACAAAAAAAAGTGGATGAGTGAAGGCGCTTCTCTTTCGCCGTGGGGTTCAGAGTTCGTGCCGTTTGCCTACGACATGCTGCGCAAGCTCGGTGAGTAAGTGACGTGTGGGGGGGGGGGGGA